CAGGGCGGGGCAGCCATGGGCCAATCCACTACCACCAACTAATAATACCTTCAGCCTACAGGCTGGCTACCTGCGCCTGGACAGCTGCTACCTGCCGGCCCTCGCTCCAGCTGAAGGGGCACATGAGGCAAGCCCGTGCTAAAGCGTGCCCCTTGCGATGCATCAGCCAAGTATTCAAGTGTCCTCGCCTTGTACCCGCCCATGTACCCCGACTTACCTTGACTTGCCTTCCACATCTGAGCATGTACCTGGCGGAGGTACCTCCAAGACCTCGCCTGAGTGCGCTAAGCTCTAATCGACTGCACTGCGTCAGGCCAGCTCCAGCACCACCACTACCGTTTGGCGGCGGCTGGCTCGAATCAATCGGGACCCAACCTGACGACACCACACAGCACACACGACATGGAACATACCTTCACATCAGCCTCTCCCTTGACCCTGGGATCCATTTGGTCCCTTTTTCCTTTCTTTAATCTCTATCTTCATTCTTCACCTTTCAATATTTCTGTTCTTCCTACATCGTTCCTGCGCCGTTCAATTGGACTGCAGGGTTGCAACTGTTCACAAGTGTTCACAGCCGACCGGGACCTCTCACTTTCACCTCGCCTGCTGTTCAGAAGCTTTGATATTCTGACTATTGTTGACTGGAACAAAGCCGCCGAGCCCGACCCCCATTCAATCCTCCGGTGACCTGCCTGAGGTGCAAGCAGCCGTTTCCCGTCATGGCTTAAGTTTGTTCTCGAACCGCTCAACACAACTCAACCTCGTTCTCCTACTGTCGATTCTACGCTCGACCACCACAGCCCTCTCCGAACCCGATCTCGCCCCATCGCTATCGAGCGCCTTGCCTACCCTCGCTTCGGACCAGGCTGGCCCTGTCAAAAGTTGTTTTCTTTTGGCAAGCTTGTGTGTCTTGACTGTTCTCTTTGAACCAGTTGATTCGGGGTGCTGAGGGCCTTGTCATCCTCGCTCGCAAGCCCGGGTCGTATTCCTCAATACGCTTCACATTAAACATACAGTGTCTCCATGTTGGTGCAAAATCGCCGTCCGATTTCGATTTCGACTTTGCCTCCTTCGCCCTCGTCCGTTCTTAACAAACGCAAGAGCTTTACACGACCTCCACCCATCGCCATCTCGAAGCTTCACGCCCTTGCCCAGCAGGCCAACTCCTGGGACTCCGGGCTACGAACACCTCCAATCGACGAGATGAGTACCGCCTATCAGCCTTCCCTGGCGACTCTGGACAGCCATGCCATCAATCCATACCATGCCGCTTCTCTTGGTTACCCAGGAAAGGCCCGCATGGACGTGGTCGAATCTCACCAAGCTCAGTACTCCAGGCCTGTAGTGCAGCAGCAATACACATTGCCGCAGACTGCTATGAACTGGGCACCGAGAGAGACCAGCGCGAACAACCCGTTTTCATCAACAAATCAACTGAACACAATTAGAGAGCAGCCTCCGCAAGTATCCTCAGCGAAAACTGAGGCCTCAGTTTGTTCTCAGGACGGTACTAATTCCAGACGCAATTCGGAGAGCCTCGTTTACCACAGCCTTCAGATTCCGAAGTGCATAAGTCCAACTGGGGGAAACCTGGCCGAATTTGCTGCTCAGGTAGGCGATGCACCAATGGTGTCCTTTTTCTCCCATTCACTAACCTCAGTTTAGATGACCTGTCTGTTCTGGTTTGAATCAGTAGACCAGTTGAAACAGGCCGAGAAAATCCGAGGACCTGGCCCAGCACCCGTCATTCGCCTGCCATCTTTGGCCAGACCCTACGAGCAGTTTCAGAAATGGGTTCTGCAAGTTCTCTCAACCACTCAGGTAACACAAAATGTCATCCTCCTGGCGCTGCTCTTCATCTATCGCCTGAAGAGGTCCACACCTCAAATCAAGGGCAGGGCAGGCAGTGAGTATAGGTTGCTCATCGTGGCGCTCATGCTGGGAAACAAATGTGAGCTTCCGCACCAGCGATCTCATCCAGGTCGACCCTAAGTACTGACATGTCTCTAGTCCTCGACGATAACACCTACACGAACAAAACGTGGGCCGAGGTTTCGGCTTTCGCTGTGAAGGAAATCCACATCATGGAGGTCGAGTTTCTCAGTAATATGCGATACAACCTTCTTGCCTCCCAGCAAGAATGGGAGGAGTGGCTCGAGAAGCTGGCATGCTTCCGCGAATACTACGAACGAGCTGCCCGTCTGCCCGCCTCCCCAATTCATATCCCCGCTTCTGCCAACAGTCTTCCTCATTCCCCCATTCCCTCTCCCACAAATTCAGTTGCTCCCATGATTCCTGATATGCTTCCTGTGACTCCCTCAGGCATGCACAGTTTGTCACCAAGCGCTAACCGGACACTCGACTGGTCAACCTATATGGAGAACCTATCCCCGCTCGCTGGTAAGCGTGCAATCAACCTACCACGCCGGAAGCGAAGCTTTGAGGACGATGCATCTGAGCACCCTGCGAAACGAGCGGTGCCCGTGTCCCGTCTCGCGCACCCTGCTGGAAGACTCCCAGCGCCTCACCCGATCATGATGACGAACCCGGTCCAAAATCAGGTCCAAAACCTACCCCCACCACCACTCATGATCAACACCCAGAACAACACCTCTTATCCACAGGCAGGATTTGTGCCTCCCACAGCATCCACCGCAGTGAACTCGGGTCATGTGTCGTTGCCACCCCTACAACCCGGCATGCGAGCAATGTCAACCGTATATCAACCACCAACAATTCAGGTTCCACAGCCACCACAGGCAATGCCAGTAACCACAGCGCCCACTTTGCCTGTGAGCGCCTATCATGCACCCACCCTACCAAGCCATCCTCAGCCTGCCTTCGGTTCAGGAAAGCACCGCAGTCCTGGAAGTCTGGCTCCTTTCACGACCTCTCCCCTGCCTGATCACTTCGGTGGTAACTCTGGCATGCACACTCCAATCGCGCAAACCCCGATGTCGCACTCGCCGACCTTCTATCTGCAGCAGCGCAATAGCCCCTACAAACCCATTCGACATGTCAACACCCTTCTTTACCCCCCCGCTGCCTCTCTCGACCAATACCATCTCTCCGTGCCGCTTGAGCCTACTCAGATGCATTATCATCCTCTTGGACGGCGCAACATTGTACGGACTGGTGTTGTGCCTGAATTCCTTGTCTACAACCGAGGCCAGCATCCACCTCTACCTTCTCAATTCACGCCTCAAGGACACTTCGCCGCGTAGGAGTGGCCGACATCCTATGGCAAGGAGCTACAGAGGCTGGCCCACCTTCCATACTTTGGCCATCGCTGGTAACGGCAAACCACTCATGCAACCTTCGGTTCATGGCAATTCTACCGTGTCTGCTCTTCTTCAACCTGAATGATTACTCTTCTTTTCTTCTACACTCGTTTATTTGTTCTTCGGTTTCATCTTGGTTTTGAATTACAGTTGGCTCTAAAGAAGGAGTACGGGTCTCTTTTTTTTTTTTTCCTAAATTTTTTTTCTCACATTGCATCGCACAGCATGGAATGGACGGCATCATTTTGGCGTTCTGGAATCAGAAGGGAAGAAATTCCCCTTTCACTCAGTCATAGATAGGCTGGGGAGGGCCTCACCGGTACATGCATAGTAAGGAGTTTCGGTTATTTTCTTCCCAAGTTCAGGGAAGCGGACAAAGGGCACAAAATGAAGGGAGAGGGCAGGCAACCGCATGATCAATGCAGCGCATTTGTCTCATATTATCCCTCTGGCACCAAGATAGATTAGTTCAAGTTAGAGATTGAGGGTTCCTACAAAAGGAGAAATTCTTCACCCCCCCAGACAATGGATAGAATACATTGTCAGCAATGGCACACCAGCAAGGGAAGATATCGAAGTGAATAGAAACTCAAACCCCCGAATTTGTTTGCTTTCTACCACGTGAATGTGTCAGTGTGATATTTGGTGCCAATTGGAGCCTCCAATCGGAGCTCTCAGTCTTGCGGTTTTCAAATGAGAACCTCGTTTAACGGTGCCGTTTGGTGGCGCCGCAAGCGCCCAGAGCGAGCAGCCTCAGCTTAGGTAGGTACCTATGTACAGGTAAGCTCACCGGGAGCTTCTACCTAAGTCACTCGATAGTATCCAGGTACTCAACATATAGTCAAAGGGAACTTTATCCTTGGAGAGGCATGAAACAATGAACAGCTGCAGCTTTACTTCTCACGTTGCAGGGCCGGCCAGCGGCTACTGCCATGCATTCCTTGCCTCTTGGTCTCGTTGCTCCGGGAAATGAATTGACTTCCTGGGGTCAGCTGGTCTAGCGCCGAGCTAAGGTGGAACGGCGCAAGTGTGGTGGCCGTCATAATAACGCAGCACCTGGCCGGGAAATTCATGCGAGTGCTACACCAGTATTTCTGTCTGGCTTGCCAATGTGGGGCTCTGCCCGTAGGGATGCGCGGGAAGGAGCAGATTGGGGCTTGTGCTCAGCTTGAATGGATGGGATTTCCCTGCCCGCTCTCTCCTCTCAGTGTGTGTGTCTGCGCCATTCTCTCCCTTTTCCACGGCAACGAGGCACCACCACTTGGTCCATCCTCCAACCCGCGGGTCCAGTCTCGATAGTCTGTCTCCCTTCCGCCCTCACATTCGCTTACATACTCTATACCCAACTACATACACGAGAGACGATCGCCCTTCCTCCTTCATTCTTATCCAGGTCCATTGGTCGCCATTCGACTCTTGCCAGCGTTTCCTTCGTTCAGTACAATCCCCTCCGTAACGACAATCGAGCGAACAACTTCTTGGAGGAGGCTTCATCAGGGTTGAGAGGGTGGCCGACTCGATAATCAACCGCCCTGTTTTGCTAGGCTTATTTCCCTCGCCTACATATTCTGATCGACGCGACCTCGCGCACGCTACCTTGTCGCCCCTTCGCACACACCGAGTCCGAGTCATATAGGAGCCTCGCCTCGGCCAGACCAACGAACTTTCGATTCCCACACCACCTGCTGCCAGACGGTCGTCGTCGAAGCCGCCATCATGTCGGGCTTTGGTGACTTCACCAGCATCTGCGAGATGGCGCCGCTGCCGTTGTGCGCGTCTCTTGGGCCGGTAATGTCGTCTGGCCGCGTTGGGATCGAGCCCAACTGCTATTCGCGCAACATCGAGCTCGCCAACACCATCATCTTCGAGGGTGCTACTGCCGTCATGCACATCGTGGCCATCCTGATGACGATTGTCATGATTCTTCACATCCGCTCCAAGTTCACTGCCGTCGGTCGCCAAGAGATTCTCACATTCTTCTACCTGTATATGCTCCTTTGCTTCATCTCTCTCGTCGTCGATGCTGGAGTGGTCCCGCCTGGTAGCGATCCCTACCCGTACTTTGTGTGCATACAAAACGGCCTCAGCAGTGCGCTTGTGACCTGCCTTCTTATTAACGGGTTTGTGGGATTCCAACTATACGAGGATGGAACGCCACTGTCATTGTGGATGCTGCGTCTCATCTCTGCGTTCTCTTTCGCCATTACTTTCCTTGTCTCCCTGGGTACATTCAAATCAGTAGCCGGCATGAGCCCTACAGAAACCATCGGCTTGTTTGTCGTGTTGTATCTGTTGAATGCCATCCAGCTCTTCGTCTATGTCGGCATGCAGATCTTGCTGGTCGTGAGAACCCTTCAGGATCGCTGGCCTCTGGGTGATATTGCTTTTGGCATCTTCTTTTTCATCGTGGGCCAGGTCATCTTGTACGCTTTCAGCTCCCAGATCTGCGACGCCGTCGCTCACTACTTTGATGGCCTGCTCATCGCAACTGTCACCAACCTTCTCGGCGTTATGATGGTGTACAAGGTATGTTATTTTCCTCTATTCTTCTACCCTATCCCACCCCGTTAAAAGCATATGGCTTACAATCATGTGATAGTACTGGGATTCAATTACCAAGGAGGATCTTGAATTCTCCGTAGGTACCAAGATGAACAACTGGGAGGTCAAGGAACTACTCCCCGAGGAGGAGCGACGTAACACTGTCTTCATGGACGACCCGTATGGCAACACGAGCGGATATGATATGTCACAATTCTCACCATCAACGCCCCGATACTCGGCCAAGTACTAAATCCTGATTTCGAGCTATACGACGGCCTTGGCGCTCCTTGTCATGTTTTTCTATTTTTTTTTCTCAGCCTTTGATATGATTGTTTTGGGACAATAAACCGGCGCATGGGGGGCTCATTTGATTTCGACATTTCTTATATTGGTCCGCTCATTCCCCTCGCGGATGACACCTTAATCGAATTAGGGCGGAGATTCTAATCATATATCCATCTGTTTTTGAAGTGGGGGAGGAGCTCTTGTCTGGGTCTGAAAAGGATACCTCATACTCATCACGAGAGTTGCAAAAGCGTCGACACGCTACATCTTTCTCGTTCTGGCTTGTCGCCTTGAACCCCCACATGTGTGGTCACGAATGCCACGACATTGGTGACAACGCCGAGCGGTCAGGGAAGGAGATGAGCTGCAGCTGTGTAATGATGCATGGGCGCTGAGCATTTGCATTAATATCTCTGCTGCAGTGCCAGGGGCATTTGATGTGTGCCTGCAGATTCGAGCATCGCATATAAGTATATAGGTTAAGAGTAGTATTACAAATATGAATAGCATTATATCTATCAGCTGGAACTAGGTAGCTTCTGATCCATAATCAAGGCATGACAGTGAAGAGGGGGGAAGTTCCGAAAGAGGCTGTATAACATCAGCAGCTCTTACCATTGTTCCATCAGCATCAGCAGCAAGGGACTATTATTAATGTACATGCACATACGTGTATATCTGCTGGATACTAGCGATTCCCACCCTTGGCCCAGCGACATGATTCCAGATCAAGGTTGACGACCTGGCGGTGGGCCCCGGAGCCACCTCGGGGCATGTCGCACCAGCTTACTTGGACTACTCTCTTTTTTTTTCAGCTCGGGCGCAACGAGTGGCCAGCAACCTTCCCTTTTTATGCATGTTGGTTCAGCGTCGTAAGAAACGGGAATTAAAAAAAAAATCATCAAAAGGGCCCCTAGAAAACAGATAGAGAGGAGGTAAGTGGAGCGTTTTGCGGCGTGGCGTCCCAGGCCGGAAAACCGTACGATAATAACACCGCACCTCACTTTCTGACTAGCCGTTCATTTTAGCCTGCTGGTTTAGTGCGGGTTGGTGATATAGCGAGGGCGGGCCATATTTCGCCTCCCTCTCTCTGGGCCTTTGGGAGATGATTGAGGGCGAGTTTAGACGGCTAGCTTGTTGGGCTAGCATTAATATAAATAATGTCTATGTGCTAGGCTTTGGCCTCTCTTGGGCAAGTGTGGATGGTCCCCGTCCGCCATTAGGGCGGTTATGGTGGTTAATTAAAAACAAGGACACTGGGCCCTCATCTTTTTTTTCTTACGTAGCATACACGAGAGAGTGTGTGAAAGAGAGAGGTCATTCCTGGGATGATGCGAAGGTGGGCCAGAGGATCTGATGTGTCAGGTTGATTTGGCTCTACTGCAGACAGAGGAGGATTGGATGGTTAGGTAGCTAGCTGGCTTGCGAGACGGATATATGCAGATGGGATGGCACAGCTGGCAGGGCGTAGCGAGGTGGCGAGCAAGGGTGCATAAGGTTGTGATTTCCGGCGAAGAAGCAAATAGTAATGGAGTGGACTAATGATATGTCGTTATAGGTAGGTGAGGCAGGATATAGGCTCTCGAAAAAAATTAAAAGATTAAAGGGAAAAAAAAGTTCAGCAGGACCAGGGGGGGGTTGCTTTTGGCTGGTGGAGCCTCGAAAAATAAGACCTGAGCGCAACGAGAAGCAGATATTGGAGGATAGAGCTGGCTTGTACCTTGGCGGTACCTCCAGCTCCCCACCCCTCCGAAGAGAAACTACAAAAGGGTCTGACCACCGGTCGAGGGGCCGGTTTTGGCCGACAAGGTGGTGCTCTAACGGATATTTATGGTCAATAGTGCCAATTTATCGGATAACGAAACGGGGGGAGCATAGCAGGTTTGCAAACAGAGTATTGCGGGTTAGTATTTTGCCGTTCCCTCCCCCGTGCACTTCCGGAAGGGGGAGAGGAGTGGTTGGTGGGTTTACGGATGTTGCTGAGTCGCGCGACGCCGGTTTATCCTATTGCCAATACGAAGGAATCGGACTATGCTGTTGGTTGAGTGCCTGCATAATAACAAGCCAGAGATAGATACCTTGGCGCTACTTGCAGGGGCCAACCTTGTGATGTGATGGGCTAGTCTTACTGGGTGTTATGACGACTCAAATCTCCGTGAAGGGAAAAAGTTGTCGGTACGCCGATAGACTTCGCGGTTGCGTATTGTCCAATTGACGACCGTGGCGGTGTATAGTTGCTTCTCATCCCTCTGCCATTTCCCATCTATCCTTGGTAAAACACAGGCCGACGTATTTCGGGTTCCGCTTGATAAGCGTCAAGGCAAGCTTCCCGGGTGGCTGCATTTACGTACTTAGTGGCATCTTCATGCCTGCATCCAATAAAGATGACGACTAGCAGTTAGGTACTTTGGTAGATATTCAATAAAGAGTGACACCACATTGGCATGTGCCAGCTGCGACGCCGACAGCAGGAAAGGAGCGAGACTGGCGCAGGACCAACAACGGCTATAGGATGCAGGGTAGCATTGCGAAATGGAAATGTCTGTGTGAGGCAAGGCAAAGCAAGGCCAAGTGGATAGACATGGTAGCATTACTAGCAGCCAACCTAGCATTTAGGTGCCCAGCTAGTCTTCGCTCAGGATCAGACACGAAACGCGGCGCTGAAAAAGAACCTTTTTCCCATGCTAAAAGTAGGCTGGTCAGACAGGCTAGGAAGAACGCGCCGATGGATCAGCGTCGAATGGCGACGAACATGGAGGGACTATTGCAGCATCTATAATTGCTTCCTAATTCATCGAGATCATGTCAACTGTCTCAATTCTCTCCTAGCAGCCAGCGACAGGGCCGGATATCCCTGGCTTCGAGGACCCCCTTTGTTTCTGCGCGAGGAAACTGTCTCATAGGTCTGCCAGTCTATATTAGAGCCTCTGCCTGAATGGTGCTCCATGCCTTAATATCCAGCATCCCTATCAATACCGGGCCCGGTTAATGACCAGGCAAGCAAATGAAATAGGACAGAACAAATACAAGTCTACCTGCCAGCAAGGTCAAGGCCGGCAGGGCAGCTGATCACTGGTCACTGCTGGCGAGTACCCGCCAATTAACTTAAAAGACACCTACCTCCGACCCAGAACAGCTAGCCCGCCTCACCATCTCGGAGACTAAGATGGTAGTACAGTGCCTTTGCCTCGCTCCGGTTCCGTGAAGGTACCTCAGGACCCTTCGGCGTCGGCCTTTCCTGTCAAATTATATGTCGACGAGGACCAACCAGCTAGCTCCGGAGACCTCCCAGAACCAGAACCAGAGCCAGACACACCCGTCTGCAGATAGACGGACCCAGTTGCATATGTGGACTGCTGGCGGCTATTGCTTGTTTGTTGCCACCAGCCAACACCAACAACCTACCAAACCAAACCAAACCAAGCCTGCTCAATGGACACCTGCCTGCGCACGGGTTTAATTAGAGGTACCTGACCTGACCTGCCTGGCCTGATCTGATCTGACCCGGGGGGGCCATCATCTGCATCTGCATCTGCATCCATCGTAGGCAGCTCCTCCGCCAGTGAGTCCCAGGTTGGCAGCCGGCGCGACAATTCGCATCGCATCACATCACATCGCAGTGGATCGTCGCGAGCCAGGTTCCAGTGCTTGCAGAGAGGGCTTCTATCGAAAAAGGTAGGTCGGCCCCCAGCGCGCTGTGTTACCCGTAGCTAGTGCGTGCCTCTCGCTACGAGTGACCTGACTTACTATTATTGCCTCTCCATCGATGACTGTTGCTGACCTCCCACTAGCTCCAGCGCAGTGCGTGCCTTATCCACTCGCGCAACTGCCGCCAGGTGACGCGACTTGACTCTCTCGCTGCGTCGACCCTTCTGCCTCTGCTTTGGGGAAGCAAATCAGCCTTTCCCTTTCCCATCCCATCCCATTCTTTTGCATTCTTGCATCCCTCCCGTCCTTCTGTCGACACCCCCGTCGCTCACCTCACCTCGCTCCGCCCCATCTGTTGGTCCAACACTGGATGGTACTTTTCTCTACCTACTTTTTTTTTAGCCTTTCTTGTTCCGGAGCTTATTATCGCTTTGGACTATATTCTTCGCCCACTCTTTCTTTCTTTTTCCCTTCTCTCTTCCTTTCCGTCTTCGCGAAGCTTGTTCCTTGTCTTGGGCCACTCGCCTATTCCTACTTATTCCTTTTTTCCCCCTTCCATCTCCAGCCCTGGACGACGTCCCGCTGCTAGTGCAACCTGCCTCCCCTGTCGGATCCGACCAGGAGGAGCCGCATTCTCACTTCATCTGCACCGGGATCCAAACTACAGCGCGACAGTTTGGACACTTGCCTCTTCCTGCAATCATCGGATATAGTTTGCTGTGGGGTTTGCATGGTGTCCTCTCCGCGAAGACGGTTTCGCCTGGCGCCCCTCAAAAAAAAAACCACATCGACGCAACTTCTCCTTTAGCCAAGTGTCTCACCTGTTTACGGGAGCGCGCCCATCTCAGCCACCAGAGACATCGCCGCCCTTCCCAAGTAACCGGATCTAGGATTTTTGGGACAACATCGCAGATCAAGGCCCCCCTTTTACTTGAGATCCCATTGATTAATTTGCAATTTGCAAGGTATGTGTTCTAATTCACACCACGTCCTGGTAGGGTACGTCCCAAGCATCGCCAACCCTGGTTCTCACTATTTCCATGAAGGGTTCATACGGTCTTGCCAGCAAGCTTTCGCCCGGCGCATTTCGTTCGGGGCTCTATATCCCAGCGGCCTTCACTTTATGGTCTATGGTCTAACACGCAACGCGCGGTTCTGATATTGTCTTTTGTCCGTGCTTACTTTTTCACCTGCTTACCGATCTAGCTCCGCGAGAGCAGGCTGCCCAAGATGGACGACGAAGAGGCTATCTGGGGCACCCTCTCATCCGAGGAGCACCGTTCAGTCTGGGCGGAGACGGAAGCAAATTTCTGGGCCAAGTTTGCCCTGGAGCAGAAGGAGTGGCGCTCCGAGCAGGAACTAGATTTCAACGAGGCCAGCGTCGAACTTCGCGCCGAGCTTACCAGCCTTACTGGTCAGCGGAAGCAGCTCACCGAGACCCAGGAGCGACTCAACGCGCAGCTGGCCAAGGTGGCAGGCGATCTGAGGAATGTGGTTGAGCAATGCGACGCCAGGACACACGAACTGTCCGAGCTGGACCAGGCTTATCGCAAGAGACTTGAGGAACAGTCGGAGAAATGGGAAGTCCAGCGGTCAACCATGCAAAGATTCTTCAAAGAGAAGCACGGCGGGTCGGTCCACAGCGATGATGAGGAAGATGAGGAAGATGAAGATGAGGCAGAAGATGAGCCCATGATTGATCTCCCTGTTACCGTGCAGCAGACAACTTCCCCCAGGGACCCCAGGGACCCCAGGATCAAGGAGTTCAGGGAAAATGGGAAGAGGAGCCCCAAGCCAATACCGATGGTGGGGCACCGTGAAAAGAGGAGGAAGCACACTGAGCCTCTCGTCAATGTGATTGATATCACCGGTCGTGTCATTGGCCCTGTGGAGCTCATCGAGCCATGGAATAAATGGGTGAAGACTATTCTCAAATTACCTATCCGGCGCCCTGTCACTATCCGCCCGGGACGACGCTTTACCGATGAACACTTGGCGACCATCTACGATCGTAGCGAGTCCAAGGGTGTCAAGTGGCTCTCGTGCATGATCCAGGCGATTGGAGAGGTTCAGTCTAAGAGGTGTGCGTCGTGTGAAAAGAACCAGGGAGTCTTCCAGCAGTGCATCATTGTCGGCGGCGACCTCTTACAGAAATGCGGCAACTGCGAATGGAATAGGCAGGGATGCCATGGCGCCTCTGGCGAGGGCATCGATTTCAAGGAGGCTGCTGAGCGCATGGAGGAGATTAAGAAGGCCAGGGCGGAGCAGAAGATCCCGGCCTCCCCCGAATATCCAAGAGACGAGGCTGATACTAACAGACGCTTAGCCACCCATCTTAAGGCCATGTTTCCAGAGAGAGAAAAGCAAGAGTCCAACGGAACCAGTGAAGGACAACTGGAGCCAAAGCCGGCTGTGGATGAAGGCAGGCCCCAGGCGGAAAACCCCGCCAGCCCTGCTTGGCAAGCAATTCGAAGTAATCAGCCTGAGCAACCGGCAACCAATGGGTCTACGCCATCCAGAATTCTACCTAATGGCTCTTCGCCGGACCTGGCCAGGAGGGAGTTTACTCACACCCCTCTGGCTCCGGCACCCAGGGTTCCCCTCCCATCATCTGGGTTCACACCCGCAAACCCTCACAGCCGACCGTCCTCAAGGCCACCTTCGAGACCACCTTCAAACGATATGTCGACGCCAAAGGGAGGATCACTCGAACCGTCGCCCCAGCCGTCGGGCTTGCCAACATTGTACCCTGCTCCTCCTCACTCGACCGCTCACTCGACCGAGACGCTGGAAGAAATCAACAAGTACAACCTAGTTTTGCGCCACAACGGCGAGGTGTACACACACCCCGACTGCATGGTTGGTGTTCCAGTGGCGAAAATTGACGAGAATCATCCTTATTGGGATCGAACGTGGAAGGACATCCGGGCAGAAGTGAGGGACTCGCGGGAACGATGGGTAGGAAAGCAAAAGGCTATTCACCTCGCTGAAGCACGCAAGGAGGCGTGTGGGTCATCCAAATACCAAGCCGGCCGACAAATCAACCGCGGTACAAAGATCCTCGAGTTTCTCGACGAGGGCGAAATTAGCCCCTATCAGCTCCTGGCGAAGAAGCACATGCACGCCAGCAAGGGAGGCATTGCGTCATACGACACTCTGTTCCGACTTTGCGACACCGTCTCGGAGCTCCAGAAGTACAATCTTGACATCACACCCTTGGAATGGATTCGACATCGACTGCATGAACTTATACAGGCTGAGGGCAAGTCGTTCAACCTGCCTCGGACGATGCATGATTTCTACCATGACCCGAAGCTCAGTGCTCTGCGAACCAAGCACGGCTACAAGAACATAGGGCGCCCATCTGCCGCAAAGAGTGGCCGACAGAGCCTAGGCGCTACGACTCCTGGCGGCACACCCCAGCCTCTGAAGAAGCGCAAGAGCATGTTGCTCGATTCCGAGATCACACCGGCTTCTTCCCGAGTCGCATCGCCCACCCCATCGTCCCATGGTGGAGGACCTCGGATTCACGATTTGCTGAATAGCCCCAATGGCCCAGCTGTGAAGCGTCCTCGTACCCAGGAAGACTCTGTGGGCTTCAACGAGAAGCGGCCGTCTCCAGTTATTGACATGACCCCAAGCAAAGTCGTGTTAGGAGAGGAGACGTTCTTTATTTCACGGGTAAGGGAGTCTGGATATGAATCACCACCCCACTTCCAGCTATTCTGGAAGTTCCACCCCATGCAAAGGTCGCTGCAACTTTGCGGTCTTCCAAATGACAACATCGTTCAGCTTCATCAACTCACTAAGGGAGTGCCATTGGGTGATGTTATGAGTGTCAGGTGGAGTCCAGAGTCGCTTTGCATAGTGATAATGCGAAAGATGGCGCATTACAACCCACCCACTTTTGCGAAGACGCTCTGCTCATTCCACGAGAAGGGCGCTCTTGACCGCTTCCTCGATTTTTGCAAGGCTCAGCGCCTTAACCTAATTGCCTATTCTAGGTAAGTCACCCCTCGAACACTGGCTTGGGTATAAACTAACATGGCGTGCAGAGCCGAAGTAGAGGCGGACTGGCCAAAGGTTTAGGAAAAGCCGTACTGCCAAGTACATCAAGGACATAATCTCAGCTTCATCCGATGATACCATGCGCCTATAACATCATATTCTCGACATCCTCGTTCTTAACAACATATTAGTTTCACATGGCGTCCATCCCAAGACGCCAAGTCAAAACATCAAAGTTCAGCTCTTCATGAGGAGTTTGCGCTGCTTCTTCACCTTTTCTTGCGTTCTGCATCGTTCTTGCCTCATCACCTCGGCGTTTTGGCTATAGTCCTGGTTGTATTCGTCCTCGTTCCATTATCCCCTGTTCAAGGGGACACAATACCCACTTTTCTTTGCACCTTTCTTTGCAGTCTTTCTGTGATAGACAGTTTTCTCATCGTTTTCCTGCGATTTACTGCTTCGTGCTCGCTCAGACTCGGAGCTGGGGGGCCAATGGCGTTTGGTGGTGTGAAGTTAACACTGCCGGGGAAGGTATATCTCAATCTTTTTCTTCCTTTTTCTTTTGTTACATCTAAAAGGATACCACTTTGAGGATTCGGGTTCGGCCAAGACCGGAAGGATGTGGGTGTTTACACACGTACGCCCCATGCCTGTCTTTAAAAGGGCCAACGGCGGGAGGCTTTCTGATTTATAATTATTATTCTTCTCTTTCCGGCTTAAAAAAATCCATGATTTTTAATTACTCTAGATCAGCATGGCTGGGAAGCAATTCACATAGGAGGCAACCTCAAGGAGTCATACTGTTTTTTTTTCTTCAAATCATCATTCCCTCCCCCATTTTTATCTAAGAAGGGGGTAAAAATAAAGAGGAATAAAGTAATCTACTAATTCGATGTTTTCATTAATGCAGTATTCATTGCTATGCTACCTGTAACATAAAAAGTTCCGATCCAAACCAAACTCCCATGACATTCCCAAATTTCCTCTAACCGCTTGTGTCATCTTCGTCTCAACGTCCGTGCTGTGGTTACCGACACCCTGCTGCTGGCGGGCGGCTTCGCAGCGGCCGCGCCGGGGACTTCGGCGGCGTCGATCCCGAGCAGGCGGCTCATGAGCTCTGCCTTGTGGGTTTGGGCCTCGGGATCGGCATATCCGATCTGGGTGGACGGAGGCTTGGCCTGCTCCTCCTCGTCTGCCCCGTCGTCCCGGAAGCCGCCGGCGGCGGACTGCGGCGCCGAGGCGTTGTCGCCCGCTGCGACGCTCGACGCGTTGCTCATCGCGCGGCCGAGGATCTGGCGCTTGCGCGGACGGGGCCCCGTGGTGTCGCGTTCGCCGTTGGTGGTGTTGTTGGCGGTGTGCGTGTCGGGGGTGTCGAGGAGGGTGGTGATTTTCGAGGTGAGGGCTTGGCGCTCGGCTGCTTTGGCTAGACGGGCTGCCTCCTCGGCAGGGGTGAGGGGAGTTGCCTTACCCAGGGGCGCAATGGACGAGGATGATTTGCTCAGCGGCGGAGGTTGTTGTGGCGTGTGGAGGGGTTTGTCGTGGGAAGGGTCGGAGGCTGTACGGGATAATGCGGTCGTTAATCTGGGGGCCGTTTGGGGCTTGTGGTTTAATGCACCAGAGGAGAGTTCTCGAAGAGGAGGGTCGGGAACAGTATCAGTCGAGGCTGCGTTTGGTGCCGTGAAGAAATCTGCTGAGGTAGTTGTGTCGGCTCGAACAATGGGTTTCCTCTGTACGGGCTTCGCTGGGGGGCTCTCACTCGAGTCACGCTCAAACCCGGAGAAATCGAGGCGCTTTCTGTTGTTCTTTGTGCCTGTGGCGGCTTGGGCCCCAGGGTCAGATCGAGTTCTTAACTGAGGCCGGCTGCTGGCTTGCGATTCCTTCGCCTGCTCAGCTAGAGGCTTGGCTTTGAGTTCTGGGAACAAAAAGTCGTCAAAGGGCGCTTTAAACCCGGTAGAGATACATCCCCATAGCCAGTCCGCAGACACGATTGGAACCCCCCAGCTCAGAGCACATTTCAACTTCTCCTTGCGCATGGCTGCCAGTGATTTACAGACCACGACGCTGGTGGTTTTGCAGAACCTCTCTTCAAATTTGGCACCCAGCTGCACAACACTTCGTGCAACCTGACTCAGCTCAATATCGGTAAATGCAGCGCTGCATATCGTCAAGTCTGAGAACCCGGGTATGGGAAACACTGGGAATGGTCTGCCAAAAGCTTGGTGGCTATCCGGAGGTAAGAATCGGCGGCTCTGAAGGCACCGCTCGATGTAAAATTCAGTGACAACATTGAGTCCATCGTGAGGAGCTTGCGGGTGGGTTTCGGGCTGCGTATCCTGGGGAACGATTAGGAATTGATGCCACGGTGAACCATATTTGGACTGATCAGCGGCCTCTTCAAGTGAGTTGACTAGATGACCACCACCCGACGTGATTGTTTGAGAGAGAACTGCGATTCTTTGTTCCCTGAAACCATGGATAAAGAAAACACATCGTGAGAAAATCCCCTCTTTCTCTGGCACAGGGACTTTCTCCGGTACAGAGGGCTGTTCTGGTTGCTCTGGCTTCTTGGATTCGGCTTTCTGCGGTTGTACTTCTGGCTGGCCTTCGCGAGGTTCAAGGGAATCCGGTGAGGGGCCCCCAGCCAAAATATCACCCCAAAGTTTGTCTCGTTGGTTGTTGAGCTTCACGCTTGCAATTCTTCTGAGCTTCCTCGCGCCTTCATCCACCCCATTTGACCCAACACTCGGCCTCTTGCCAAGTGCCTGGCGAGGCGGGTGCTTTATGGCTATCGCTCCAACGCCCTGTTGTTCCGGCGGCAACATTGGATCAAACTTGTCCTCGTCGAGAATCATGCCCCGCCCAATACTCTGGGTGACCCATTCAAGGGTCACGATTTTCACACCCCATGTCTGTGCTGCCACAAACTTTTTGCCTTTGGGCTTCTTTACAACGAGATGTGATGACTGAACGGACAAGTGATCCATGTAGAACCCCCCATTGGCGGTGATCTGGGCTGCGATCTCGTCGTTTTGTTCTCCAAATCCAGACAGACATATACGGAGCGATTCCCGATCGAGGGGCTCATGTGGTCGGGTCAACTGCTTCGCCCCTCTGGACTCGAACGTTTTGAGTCGGTACTTTTCCTCGAGTCCATAGAAGTCGATCACCTCGTCATTCTTCCACAAGTCCGAGACTGAATGGACCCAGGCGGCATCCATTGCCTTGATATCTTGGCGGTGACGGGCGACATGGCGGTATTTGGGCGTGTCGTACTCGCCGACGATGAGATGCGTCACATCGGGAGTGAGGTCGAGTTTGTGAACGCCTCCGAGGTCAACAACTTGCTGAGCAATTTGGATCTGCCATGCGAGAAAGGCATACGATATTAGACGCCACTCGGGAGACAACAGCCACAGGGAAGAGAGCGGGGGACTTACACGGTGCTCGGAGGATATGCTGGTGCAGCAGACAACGAGGCCCTTGAAGGGTTCGGCAGGATCTATAGCGGGAAGGTTGTCGTCATTGGGATTTGAAGACACCATATCGCCATGCCCGGGGAAGTCAACAACCTTGCTCTCAGGACCGTTCGTAGATGGTGGCACAGCAAGGGTGATTTTCTCCGCGATAAGGTTGGAGATGGCCAGAATATTTGGGACTAACAATCGAGGTCAGTCAACGCGACACACGTGCAGCAGCACCGCGTTTGGCCCACCCACACAGTACAATCCAGCCCAGACGTCATTTGCCGTTGCTAGAAAGACTGAGCGCGTCCGCCCCGCACTGTACACAGGCCTGTAGAGCGGGTATCAGTCCGCCAGTAAGGCGCATGTTCGTTGGCGGCTCAGCGGTCGGAGCACCGTGCTGCTGGCACCGTGGTCGGGTCCACGGCCCCCAGCGTTAGGCTCATTTCTTAGCCTGAAGGTGCCTTGCAATCAATCTTAGTTCACGGACAATCTGTTTGTATAACAATTGGCCCCAAGGCACCATTTGCACACTTCCTGCGAACAGCCCAACTCCCTCCGCATCTCGCCAGCCGCACGCTCAAGCCATGGCGCCTTCGTCTGCCCAAATAAAGTCTCTGGTCACTCAGTTCCATGACTTATCTGGAGCCCCCGAGCGCGTAGCATCTCGGGTAAGTGTGTCCAGGAGCGATCACCTTCCCCTCCAAGCCCCGCCCCCTCCATGATAGAGCAGTCGAGGCGGCCAACGATCACCATCAGCCCAGCGCGATCACATTCTGACCACCGTTCCCCGCTCTCTCTACATGGCTAGAGGTTGCTGCTAACACGAGATCCTCATAGTACCTAAAGGCGACCAACTATAGATTAGATGCCGCTCTTGATTCGTAAGTACTTCACGGGCAACACGACCAACTCAACCGCCGCACCCATCCACCGATCCACTGAAATGAGCACACCGAACTGTAGCCGCTTGGTATCTATATCCCAGTATGGAACTGGATCAGCGACGAGGCTAGCCGATGAGGGACCCGAGGTGTGCCCGCCATCCCCCCCGAGCGAGATGCCCTACGTATGCCTTCGAGCCTGAGGGAAACCTCTGTGCATAAGCGTTCGCTTCTCTGAGCATGGAGGATAGACTGGCGATCACACTGTTCCGAGACCAAGGCTATAGCCATCTGTCTTGGATAGGACCTGTATCTGAATGGATGCGTTCCCACGCTATTCCACCAGGTAACACAACAACAAGTGTTGACTTCCAAACCCCGGGATTACTTGTCAAGATCGGTTCAGACCTCGATTCTGATTATCGAATAATGGCTAGCGATCGCTTACCGTCTGAATACATTGTCTCTTCTCAGCCATCAACCAGCGACTGATCCCTACTTCTCCCGCTGCACCTTCCGATTACAGACGAAGACCACTCACTTGGACCCGAAACTGACCAGTGATGTAGATACTATGCAGGCAACAATGATGCGAAACCTTCTCCCTTGGAAACTCGACTCAATTCTCTTTTCGATTCGTTAAGAGGTAGGATCCGATAGCCACAACCCACAGAGCCTGTCTAACCCCAGCAAACAGATAACAAAAATGACGAGAAGGATAAAATGGAGGTTGATTCTACGATGAGCTACCTCGGGCAAAAGTTGGGAGTCAGCTTGGAAAATGCCGAGCTTTTTGTTGTCTTGGAGCTTGTCCAAGCACCGAGTGTGGGAGAGATCACCCGCGCTGGTTTTGTCGAGGGATGGAAGGCTACTAGGTACATATTCCGTCAACGAAGCATAATCACGGCCAATACTAACCTCATGATTGCAGGGCTGAAGCGACCGTCGAAGCACAGGCCGCTTATGTTCAGAATCTGATCTCCTCCCTCTCATCTGACCCAGCTTACTTCAAAAAAGTGTACAAGCATGTCTTTGTTGCTGGAAGAGAGGGCGACCAGAAGGCTCTGGGTCTTGACGTCGCGCAAGTCTATTGGGGAATCCTCTTCTCTGAGCCAGGATTGAAATGGACTAGCCAGAACTATGACTGGCTAGACCTCTGGAAGAAGTTCCTGGCCGAGAAGTGGACTCGCTCCGTCAACAGAGACATGTGGAACATGATTCTCGAGTTCGCCTTGAAGTCCAAAGAAGACGAGTCCCTCTCCTTCTGGAATGAGGACGGAGCATGGCCCAGCGTCATTGATGATTTCGTGGAGTGGTGCAAGAACAACGGTATTGGCGGCGGCCTAGGCCCCGCCGTCGTCAAGTCTGCAATGATGGATTTGGACGACATCAACTAGATATGAGGTGATCGGTCTGGACCTAAATTGTTGTCAGAGGGGTGATTTGGTACATACCAATTCCCCGAGGAAACGTTGATTATGAGGTACCAATGTGGTATCCAAGAAGCATGGCGTCTATTACTTGGGATGGATTATGACTCTTTCTTATTTATTGTATTGTAGTGGATACGTCAACAGCACAGCACCAAATGTGAGGGACTTGCCTCCATTACCAGTTGTGTCTGAATCCGTTCAAACACTCACATACATATCATACGTTCAGCGTTGGTAGCATCCGCTCATGGATATTATAATTTTAGGTGAATTTGTGTTATTATTTCTTTGGCTTTTGGTAATGTATAATAGCAGCTTTTGTACATGGCGTTAGTTGCCCCCAATTCTCAGAGTCTCGTACAGTATATGTTGGATGTTTTAGCTGTGTCGTCCACCCAACAGCCAATTGTTCGTTTCATTCCCGTCTTTTTCTTTCTTTTTCTAGTTTTCGCATCTTATGATCTCGATTCTTGCCACTTGGGTGCCCCGAATCGCGCAAGGGTCTCAAGCTTTCCATCACCGAGCTTGACATGTGCCGATCGAATCATTCTGGGCTCTAAGCGGAGTGTGGAGCGGACATCTTGGTGCACCTTGGCCGAGGCGTCGTATCGCATAACGAAGTAGTGGCCGTGGGTGTGCCTCATCTGATGGATGGAAACGGGGCGGGGGAGGGCGAACACGCCCCAATTGGCGAGGCCGCGGATGACGCCGCCGTTCTTGACAACAAGGGAGCCGACAGTCTGAGCGATTCTGCAGGGCGGAAGGTTAGCTGGTGACGTCGGGAATCTGCGAGGGTGGAATTGGATGGGATGGACGAACTCCCTGACTTCGGTCAAGCTGCCTTGGCGGACCTGTTGCAAAAGTTAGCCATGGGGAACCAGAATCGGCGAGCTTTTGCGCAAGCATACCACTCCGATTAATTCGTACAGCATGGTGGCGGCTGTATTAACCTTTGTTTGACTGGCGAAAAGCCTGGTTTGGTGATATCAGAACTTGTCGAAATTCTGATATGCCTTTGTCACGTGCTCCACTTGCCGATTCGCGACCCATATTTTCTTCGAGAACACCACGCCGCAGTAACAGTCAACAAGAAGCACATCCAATGAAACGAGAAGCAGCACCTTCAAGTCTGACTTGGCCATGCTGGTCTCAGCTACGCTCCTACTGGCTGGGAAGCATATGTTTGCTCATATAGCGGCAGTCTTGAAGCCATGATGAGCCCAGCACTCATTCTACTTGGTTATCTCCATGGCGGGCTCTTGATACCAAATCTAATTTCTCCGACTTGCGCTCGTTATTATCGTGTATTTACATGTGTTCCGAGACTACACACTTCATTAATTACAAGACAGTAATTATTACGGATCAAAATGCTGTTTGTACAGTTTAGTCCCCACCACCGCATCCGCCACCACATCCACCACCATCTCCTATAACAGGAAGAGAACTGTTAGCATACAGACATGTCACATTATTCCAAGTTTTCGTAGGGGCATGTACTTACCACCACCATCCCCACCATCAGTCGAGACGGTGTACACGTCACACAGGGCGGATATATCAAGTCCAGGCTGACCACCCCCTCCGAGCTGCTCTGCGTTTCCGCAACCTGCAATGCAACCTCCGATATTTCCGTCGGCATTGATTGACGCTGATGACGGGGGCATAGGTATGTTGCTCGGATACATCTGCGTGTCCACGTACACCGGGCAGACCCAAGGCCCCGGCAGCATAAATGGGTAGCCCCAGTGGTCGTAGTACTGCTCCTTGCTTGGGGACTTCCTGCCGTTCTTCTTGGCGATTTTGGCAGCTCTGCTTTTCCCGGCCTCGCGGCGCTGTGCGTGCATCTGGAGGAACTGCGTGGCGCTCCAGTGGCGCAGGGATGGTTTGGCGACGGTGACCTTGACGGCGTTGTGGGCGGATATGTGAGGGCCTGGGTCGCAGGATGTGAGGTCTTGCTGGGCGTACAGGTCTTTGAGCGCTGGTTGTGACTGTCAACTAGGAGGGCTTCCCTAATGCACCAATGAGCTGACATACCTTGCTGTCTCTTTGACTTTCCCAGCATGATACTGATACTGGATGTCTGGCTTCCTCGTACAGCTAGAAAGGGTTAGTTTGTCGTTCAAAGAGGCTCAAAATCTACCATTGAAGTAGGGAACACATACCTTCACAATACCAGCAGATGCAAGTTGAGTAGATCTCGCCATACAGTTCGAAATATGTCTCGCACATCCACTCAAAGGAGGCTGAGAGTTTATTGTCCTCGATCTTGTCATCGTGATTCAGAAACTTGGAAAGCTCCCTGGTCGTCGTACGGTAGTAGTCTTGAGGGCTAAGTTGATGTGTATGCCAAGCTAGGTCAAGGTCAAGAGTAGGAACGACCATTTTATCCGGATGTTTCTTGGCAATCTCAAGAAAGCGAGAGTACTTCAAGACCGATCGATCCATCGTCTCCATTAGAGCTGGGCTATGGAGCCAGTCGAACTGATAACTTGCCGTGTTAGCTACTGGCTTCCATGGTGTAAGCGCTTGGACTTGCTCACTGACCTTGTACATCTTGTCAATGAAGAGGCCCTGTCGGATCACGGCTGCGCGCAAGTCAAGCCCAAATGAGGACCAGTTGTTGTCCGAATAGTTGGCAAGCACCTTTCGGAGGTGCGCAGCGGCCCTTGGAGTGATGACTCTAACTCTTGGAGAAAGGACCAACTGGGGGAGAGCCTCTGTTAGCACCACGGCATAAATCTCATATTTTTGAGACATCTTCTATATGGCTACTCACCTCCGAATCGTTGTTGGCCATCACTGACAATGTCGAAGGCTCTTCGAGTAAAGTAGTTATCAGCGTGCGGATGTCCTCCATCGTTGGTTTCTTCTCGCGCACTCGCCACTGCCTCATCATCCCACTCACTCGGGAGGCGAGAACATGTCGAGTAAGTCGATTCGGGCTTGTAAGAGCCGACCTTGATTTGAGAGAGCCACCACTCTGTTTATTAGATTCCGGCATCCCCGTCGCAAGCGAGAGCAGCGTGCCGGGCATGGGCCATCCATTCTCCACCAAGTTGTCTGCATCCCTGGCGAACTTGGCGACGCAGAGCAGGTCTGCATCGGTCATGATGTTGCACTGGGGGCATCTGTGCTTGAAGTCCCCATCGCCATACCCGTATCCTATAATTTTCAGCTGGCTAGCTAACGAGGCTGTCTTGGCGTTTGAGCTCGAAGCCAGAGGCTGCTCTACCAGCTCGCAAGTCGTCCAAGGAACTGGCGTTATTTCATTGCACACTGGACATGCGAGTTCGATGTACGGTGAGTCATCCAAGTTGTCCCATTCTAGCCCTGTTTGTGAAGTCCAGTTGTTCTTGGCTTCCTCGGGAGCCTGGTACTCAAACAAGGAATTTGGGTCACTGGAGATGCAAAGGTCGATTAGATCCCAGAGGATGCCTCCAACCCATAATTTCGGCAGACCTCGACGCATGGCATCCTCGAGGTAGTTTCTGGGACTTAGGATGTGAGTATGCCAGATCAGGAGGACATCTTGAGAGTGTAGGACAGTGGTCAGTTTCGGACTTCCAGAACGACAAACAGAAGAGCTCATAGCATACCAAGCGGAACAAGTTCGTGCCATTCCATTCTCATTGGAATATCCACCTCGGGAAACCTGTCATATCGCTCACAGTCGACCAATTCCATATCAACTTCTTGGAGAGGAGTCCCGTCCAGAGTCTTCCACCAGGTTTCGTAGCGATGAACAGCACGAGCCAGGTAGATAGCCCATCGCTTCTCCCTCAACTTGGATTCTCCTCTTTCAGTTTCCTCGCTACTAAGGCCAACTTTCTTACTGCGGCCATCTTCAATACCAAACAGGCCGTCCTGGTAGCCAATACGCAGTGCCAAGCCTCGGAAGGCATAAAGAAGGCGAAGATGTGTTATACATGTCTGCGGCTCTACCAGCGGATTTGGAGCATACGGTGGCGGTGCTTCGAAACTGCTCATACTTCTGCGAGGTACTGGTTTCGAGGACTCGGATGGTCAATTAGAGAAGGATGTTCGAACTGTTTTTCTTTTCTGAACTCTCTAGACATCCAACCGCTTTGATATAATAGCTGCGTACAGCATACATCTCCAGATCGCCATACTAACCAGGCGCCTTCCCGTATTGCACCGCCCTTTTCTGTTGGCCTTGTCAAAGCGTTCTCTCCATAGAGGCTGAGGTGGATATTCAAAGATCCGAAATCCTTGTGACGGTGCGGCTGACAGCTCAACGCGAAATCCTTCCAATGGGCAGTTGAGATCTGTGAACGTGGCACCATTAATAGAATGGAACTGTTGTACTGCGCATAGTGGGTAGAGAAATCGGGCAACCACGCCCCATCAGATACTACGCGATAGGCAGCTCTATGGAAGACGAGTTGCTTATTCAATCTGAGTGCAGCATGGAAATGTCGGCCACATAGGCAGTAAAGTACCAAGTCTGCCTACCCTAGGCTTTTCTCATCATGCACCACCAACCATAGGTATGAAGCTTCCCCCTTTAATTGGTTCATGCGATATTGTCTTGTTTCAACAGCTGTGTGTTCTGCTTTCCAGTTGTTGCATCTATTCTTTAGTGCTACATATCGTTTGGATCAACCGCACGAGGTCCTCTGGCCATGATTACTTCAGTATATAGTGAATATATTACATGATATTACAAGTACCTATATAAAGTACAATCCCAGCCCTCATTAACTCATAACCGTTGTTTGGATATCGATTGCCAAATCCTCCAAGGAAGCCTCCAACCACTGCTCTTCACTGCAAATGGATCGAAGTTTGCCTTCTCTAAATTTTCCAAAAACTGTCCGGCAGGAATTCCCTCGAGCAGCACCCCAAAACCGCGACGCAATTCTAGAGTCGCATCATCTCCTTCCTCGTATACATGCTCACCTTCGCCTTGATGCTCGAATTCGTGACCTGGATCCTGTCCTGCCTGTAGCCTCTTGAGCATTTCTCGCGCCGTGATGAGATGGTCGTTTGCTCTTGTAGCAACTTTGAAAACTGCCTCTTGCAGCCCCGGGGCATTGGGACCTTGCCTGAACACTTCCTCCTCTTTTACGCCCTCCTCTGCCATGACATCCAAAGGCAGCAGCAACGAGGGCTTGTGTGTGGTAGGCGCATCGAATCCGGATGGCGTCTTGACTGGCTGCGCGGGAGCAGCTAACACCGGGATGCCTCGCAGAACTGCCACAATGCCGCAAGCTTTCCCAACATGACTGGCTAGGTGATCCACGTGCATCGATCGCAGAGGCATCATGGCTAGTGTCGCATACATCAACGTCGCATAAGTATTCTCCCCGTAGTCCTCTAGACTGGCTAGACTGGTAAACGGACGGTTGTCCATATGCTTTTCCCTAGTCTTGACTAGCCTCGACACCCAATATTTGATACTCTTCTTCGTCGCGCTGCCTGCTCGCTTCTCGAGGTCTTGGAGACTTTTGTCGAGGAGGATACAAATGGGCTCACGGGGGGGTTGCCCAGCGAAGGTTTTGTCGAGAGATTCCTGCCAGAACTTCATGCGCATCAATCCGATTGTGGGGTTTGAGACGATTTCGGGGAGGCGCACGAGCTCTAGGTTGAGAGCCCGAAGCGCGGCATATGCATCCTGAACCGGGGGAGGGACGAATCGACGGATGAGGTGGGCGTCATAGTCGCTTGTTCTGGAAACCCATACGAGTTAGACGCTGTACAGAAACAAGGAAATTTGGAATCGGAGCTGGTAGACGGACTGTAATTGTTTGAGGCAGTAGTTTCTGGCAGAGGCGATGTCGGCTTCGGTCACATAACTTCGGGTCTGTGCAGCCCGCGCAAGCCTGCTGAGGCCATTGCCTAGAAGTTTGGGGCGATGCATACAGAAAAAGAGCGAATCTGTGTGAAGAAAGAAAACGAATTTATGGTAATCGACGATTACACTGTCATGATGGTCGTGCAATGGGGCTGTCCTTGCTGGAGAAAGCGCCCACCTTGCTGAAGTTGAAATTATTTTTACCTGGACGCTGATTAGAGTAACATGACGTCGGGATTTCCACTCACTGGAGCTTCGGTAGAGGTACCTCTTTAGCGTGTACGTACTGAAATTGTGTCACGTGCTCGCCCACTTTACGCGGCCAGACGCGGTGTGCAGGTCGGCGCGTCTCTCCAGCCATAGTTCGAGAGCTCTGAACTTGGGATAAAATCGGCATTTGTTCTGCCGTTGAATAAATGAACAACCAATCATTATGAATTCGGGAGCCTCTCCAGAACCTCCCGCCAAGAAAAGGAGATTTTTCCAAGATTCGGACGAACCGACCCCGCCAGTGCAAGATGGCCCGTCCTCGAACCAGAAACGCTTTTTCGATGATAGCTCGTTCGCTATCAAACCGGAGGTGAACGACCACAGGACCTCAAATGGTGCAAGCCGCAATTTGTCACATACAAATCGTCCGACAACACACGCAGAGCCTGGATCAAGACACGAGTCATCCGATGTGACTTTTGACCAAGATGTTTTCGAAAGCTTCGTGGGGGAAAAAGTCAGCCCCGATGTGCTGGCCATCATCCGCAGGAATTGTGGCGATAACCTCGAACGAGCCGTTAATATGTACCTTGACGGCACTTACAAGAAGTTTCAAAAGCCTATTCTCTCGAAATTTGCACGACCGTCGGCTCTGGGCAGCGAACAATCTGCTTCCGGTAGTCGGTCAAACCAACCTGTCACCCCGCCGAAGATCTTCCAGAACATGCCAGAGTCGAGATATATAGGAGCATTTGGGGCTGAAGGATGGGCGACTCGAAGCGGTACAAACCTGCTCAATCACGGCGACCTCATCAAGATTGAGCGACAAAAGATCCAGGCTCCCCAGCCTTCAAAAGGCAAGGGCAAGGCGAGCGGCTCGCCAGTGTCGAATCTCCGGGGATCTTATGCGGCCTCCCGGCGAGTCGATGTCGTTGTTCGATTCACTACACAGAATGGCGTGGAGGTTGGGCGATTAACCAAGGAAACGGCCAACTGGGTATCGACACTGATTGATGAACAAATTTGCAAGTTCGAGGCGACATGTGTCTATGCACCCGAGCGCATGCGTACCAATGACACTGTGTTCTTGCAAATACGATGTTCCCTTCTGCGTACTGCGTTCTCCCGAGCTTTTCGACTGGCAGATGATCGATCGAACAGACCTTTCGAGCAAGAAGAGACCACGGACGAGAAGAAGCTCCGGCTTGTGCAGACGGCAATGATGAAATTATTTCAAGAAATTAATCTACAACCCTCTATGGCCAGTGCGAAATCTGCAGAGGGAAGGAAAGGGCTGCTTCGAGCCGCCGAGATGGACGAACAAAAGCAGAAGGATATCAACCAGAAGAAACCCAATCAGGTTGTCAGCAATGGAACTGATTCCCCTCCATCCGAAGAGCCAGAAGAGGGAGAGGAGCTGGAACAAGATCAGCTTGATGCGTTGTATAAGAAGGCACAATCTTTCGACTTCAATACGCCGGAAGCCGAACCTGATGACACCTTCGCAATGAACCTTCGACCGTATCAGAAGCAAGCGCTTTATTGGATGTTGGCCAAGGAAAAGAACCAGAAGGACAACCGCGAGCTTTCGATGCACCCTCTCTGGGAAGAATATACCTGGCCAGTCAAGGACGTGGATGATAAGGAGCTCCCTGTTGTGAAGACTCAGCCAAAGTTCTACCTCAACCCGTATTCAGGAGAAATGTCTTTGGACTTCCCGGTCCATGAGCAGCATTGTCTGGGAGGCATTTTGGCTGACGAGATGGGTCTTGGAAAGACGATCCAGATGCTGAGCTTGGTTCACACTCATAGGTCTGAGGTTGCTCGGCAAGCAAGGTTACATAAGGGAGAGCTTGCTTCCGTGAACCAGCTCCCACGACTCGGAGCAAATGCAGGAATTACGTTAGACGCTCCTTGCACCACCCTTGTTGTCGCGCCGATGTCCCTCTTGGCTCAATGGAAGTCGGAAGCAGAAAAAGCATCGAAAGAAGGAACAATGAAGATTGAGCTCTACTACGGTACTGAAAAGACCGACAACCTTCAGGCCCTCTGCTCAAGCGGGAGTGCCCCAGATCTGGTCATTACAAGCTATGGCATTGTGTTGTCAGAGTTTAGTGCCATTGCAGCCAGGAATGGCGACAAAACATTCCACAATGGCCTGTTCTCCTTAAATTTCTTCCGAGTAATCTTGGACGAGGCGCACAACATAAAAAATCGAGCATCGAAGACAGCCAAGGCATGTTACGAAATCTCCGCAATCCACCGCTGGGTCTTGACCGGTACTCCTATTGTCAACAGGTTGGAAGATCTGTTTAGTTTGGTGCGATTCCTGGGCGTGGAGCCATGGAACAACTTTTCCTTCTGGCGTACTTTCATCACTGTGCCCTTTGAGTCTGGGGAATTCGTGCGAGCTCTAGATGTCGTGCAGACTGTGCTCGAACCATTGGTCATGAGACGAACCAAGGACATGAAGACCCCCGATGGCGAGCCCCTGGTTCCATTGCCGCCGAAACATGTCGATGTTGTTAGCGTGGAGTTGTCACATACTGAACGTGAAGTTTACGATTACATTTTCAATAAGGCAAGAAGAACATTCTCGAAAAACGTGGAAGATGGAACTGTGATGAAGGCGTTCACGACTATCTTTGCTCAGGTCCTCAGATTGCGCCAATCTTGCTGCCACCCGTTGCTTGTGCGGAATCAGGATATTCTTGCAGACGAGGAAGAAGCTAGAGCAGCTGCTGATGCTGCGTCCGGCTTGGCAGACGATATGGACTTGGAGTCCCTGATTGCAAACTTCTCAGCAGATATTGATGAAGCGTCCCAGGACAGCAACCGGGTATTTGGTGCACATGCACTGTCAGAGATTCGTGACGAGTCTGAGAAAGAATGCCCCTTCTGTTTTGAGGAGCCAATGAAAGACCAGATCGTCACTGGGTGCTGGCACTCGTCATGCCGCAAATGCCTTCTCGACTACATGCAACATGAGAGTGATCAAAGGAAAATCCCCAAGTGTATCAACTGTCGTGAACCGATCAACAAGCAGGACCTCTTCGAGGTAGTGCGGCATGAAGACCAGCTCGACCCAGTATCAGGAAAACCGCAGATTAGCTTGCAACGACTCGGTGCCAACACTTCTTCCGCTAAAGTTGTAGCTCTCATATCTCACCTCCGCGAGCTGAGAAAGGAACACCCGCGGATGAAGTCGGTTGTCTTCTCTCAATTTACAGCATTCCTCAACTTGATAGAGCCATGTCTCACAAGGGCAAAGGTAAAATATTTGCGTTTCGATGGCACCATGTCGCAAAAGGCACGTGCGGCAGTGCTGCAGGAGTTCACTGAGAGCAAGGAATTCACAGTCTTGCTCATCAGTCTGCGGGCGGGCGGCGTTGGGCTCAACTTGACGAGCGCCGGGAGAGTATTCATGATGGATCCGTGGTGGAGTTTCGCGGTAGAGGCACAAGCCATCGACCGTGTCCATCGAATGGGCCAGGAAGAGGAGGTGCAGGTGAAGCGATTCGTGGTGCAGGGGAGTGTGGAGGAGCGGATGTTGAAGATCCAAGATAGAAAGAAGTTCATGTGAGTATCCCGACCAGATGGCCTTGGTGGTGTCTAGAGCACCATGGCCTGCCCTTCATTGACATAGACATGCTAATATTCGCGAATCTAGTGCGACGTCTCTGGGCATGATGAGCGACGAAGAGAAGAAGTTGCAGCGTATTGAGGACATGAGGGAGTTGCTGAGCTGAGAATCTGATGTGATGGCATGAAATTCATGATACAGCGCGCATGGGAATAAACAAGTATTCGGCATAGGACGGCGCAATGTTTGGGCATTAGACATATATGATGATTCACACGACACGGCTCTTGGTTGAAAGTGGCATTTAGAGCTGGAGTTGAAGGGGGATTACAGGGACAAAAACACGTTGTAGTAAATTCTAATCACACATACTTACCAAAATCTATGGGATGGACGAATCAAAGGGTCTACGGAGTTGTTGTTTCATGTTGAAGATCCGTGCAGGCTTCTTCTACCTTACTAGGCTGCTCAACATCGTGATCTAAGTCAGAAAGACACTACTGTCGTCATCTCGTACTGCCAAGGCCACTGATAGCTTAGGGGTGGTTGGATAGAGATAAAGTGTCGATCTTCGCCAACCACCACCGAAGCATTGGGTTAGTATTGTTACATTGCACAAACATGCTACCCACTGCCACTGTAACAATGCGCCCAAACCTGCTGTTCTCCGCAGTGGTAATCGAAGGCGGGGTTCGTTCCATCCACTGATTATCTCGACTTCCGGGGAAGGAGAAAATCAGTTGATAAACTAGCAATTGATTAGGTAGGTAGATGCGAGATGCCGGGGAGGAGGATCATAACATAAGATTTAAGGTAAGCGAGGCCTTGTAAGACATGTCTGAGCCCGCCAGCCCATTTCCTGGTTCTCAATTTGACAGTTCACTTCTTTTTCTGTCCAATTGACATAGGCAGAGGGTTTGGGAAAATGTCATTACCGTTAGCTATACGCAAAGGTGTCGCGCTGCTATGTGCAGCAGCATTTACATCTGCTCTCCAGACCTTGCCGCCGGTCAATGAGGTTTCAAACGAGGGGGGATCATCCCCATTGTCAATTGGGTCTGTGACCAAGACTATCTACATAGAGAAGGGTTTTGCCTCTACCCGAGATACAGACGGCCTCACTCTGATCCCACCAAGCGCTGATGAATTTGCCTCGCTGTTCCAACAGGATATTACAGACCTCACGGGCTTCAACTGGACCCTTGAGCAGGTAGACAGCCTGCCTAGCACCACCAATGCCTCCGGAATCTTCCTTGGAGCCTTCACAGGCAATGATTCCACACTGACATACGAAAACGGGGACCCCACGTCGGAGGGCTACCAACTCGACGTGAGCTCTACTGCAGCATTCATTCGAGGGACAGGAGCTCGCGGGATGTGGTGGGGGACTCGCAGCCTTTTGCAACTGGCTCTTATAGGCAACGGTACCTTGCCTACAGGGAGCAGGATCGACGCACCCGCGTATCCCACGAGAGGCTTCATGCTCGATGCGGGGCGCAAGTGGTATGCGCCCGAGTTCCTGAAGGAGATGTGCAGCTTTGTATCCTTCTTCAAGATGAGCGAGTTCCATTATCACCTGAGCGACAACTACCCGCTCAACCGCGGACGCAATGAGACCTGGCAGGATGTGTATTCACACTTCTCACTGCGGCCCGAAGACGAGTCTCTCCTCGGCATACTCCACGGACGGGAGAATGAGACGCTCTCCCGGGATGACTTTGCTGATCTCCAGAGTCACTGCGCGGCCAGAGGCGTGACTGTGATCCCGGAGATTGAAGCCCCAGGCCACTGCCTGTACCTGACCAAATGGAAGCCGGAACTATCATTGGCAAAGAGGGACCTGCTGAACCTCACGCACCCCGAGACCATCCCCACAGTCAAACGGATCTGGTCCGAGTTCCTCCCCTGGTTCGAGACCAAGGAGGTGCACATCGGCGCGGACGAGTACGACTCGACCCTCGCCGACGACTACATCACCTTCGTCAATGAGATGGCCAGCTTCGTCAACGCCACGGCCGGCAAGCAGATCCGCATCTGGGGCACCAACGAGCCCTCGGAGAACCTGACCATCTCCAAGGATGTCATCGTGCAGCACTGGCAGTACGGCGAGTCGGACCCCCTGAAGCTCGTCGCCGACGGCTACACCATGATCAACACGGAGGACTGGTGGGCCTATATGGGCATGAAGAACGACCACATGCCCATCCTCCCCGCCAAGTACCCGCAGTTCTTCAACGAGAGCCGCATCTTCGACTTCGCGGGCGTGGACGGCTGGCAGTGGCAGCCGTCGCTGATCAACCCGTTCAACGCCAGCATGCAGCTGGCGGAGGGCGAGCCGCTAAACAAGGGCGCCATCACGGCGGCGTGGAACGACAACGGGCCGGACGCGTCGACGCAGCTGGAGGCCTACTACACGATGCGCCGGGGCATCGCGCTCGTCGGGGCGAGGGCGTGGAGCGGGAGCCGCGGGCCGGAGCTCGAGGAGGCGCTGGTCGCGCCGAGCATCGACTTCTTCTCGCCTCTTGCCCCGGGGCAGAACCTGGGTCGGATCATACCCCGGAGGGAGGGAGAGAGCAGGGACGGGCCCCTCGTCTCGTGGACTGGGTCGGGAGGAGGGAACGGCACAGAGGAGCTCGGGTACGGCAGCAAGGGTATGAACTACACGCTGCAGCTCTCGGCTACTGGGCCGTTCAGCCTAGCCGGGCCTGACAATAAGCTGTCTCTGAAATGTAGCGGCGAGTTGGTATTCAACGCGGACGGCTACGAGTACCCCCTGCGGCATGTGGCTGCTCAGGACGCGCTCGTGCTGGACCCGGGACACCCAGGTCGGATCTGGGTCAATGTTTCGACCTCAGCGCACGAGCCGGTGCGTGTGTCGACGCCTGCGAACATCACCATCTCGACGGACGTGCTGCACGGCAGTGTTGTCTGGCTGGATGGGAAGGTGGCCGGGCGTTTCGAGGTTTTCGTGTTCGGGGGCCGCAACACGCAGTTTAGCTGGAGTCAGATGGCCTTTGTTGCGCCGTTGGAGACTGTTAGGGGAGGGTTGGAGGAGCTGGTGTTGTACGAGGACACTGTGTTTGAGAAGGAGGAGGGTTCCTTGAGAACTCGTGCGTCGAAGCACACGCGCCGGCGGAGCCGAGATACCTAGATCAACGTTTTAGAATATCAGAACCAAGTTCAGACAGACTCGCTTGTTCATTGCAGTGGCATACGACCCGTTAATAATCTAGCCAGTGAGACGATCTCCATCTCAACCAAGGCTCGGTCTTCGGGGAGCCGTTTGCGATAGCTGTCCAGATCTATGTATATGTCCAAAAGACGCTCCCTTTGCTCGGGAGTGGCCAACTCATATGTGAGGATAATACCCCTTTGCGAGGATGTCACTGCGACGAACGCCTCATAGCGGCAGAAGTACGGGATGAAGTTCCAGACTTGCACGCAGAGCGCCCTCAGGTCCTTGAGCAGGGCGGCTGTGTCTGGGAGGCCGTGAGCGCAGCTCCAGTCGTAGCGCATGCGGAGGATGCACACGCGGAAGCCGAAGAAGGCGATGAGGCCCTGTGCGGCGTGGAGGTTTGATATGTGGTAGCTCGTTCCTGTGATTGAGGTTGGGTCTTTCTCCTCGGTTGCCTCGCCGAGCTCAAACATCTTGTTGAGAAAACCAGATGTGATGGTGCCTGCTTCCTGGTCCGTCCGGCGGAACTCTTCTGTGATGTCCTCTAGATTGGGTGAAACCGTCGTTGACTCTGTAGGTTTCCACAGAGATTGGCGGTAGCGTATGAGGTCTGGCATCTTGGCACATATACCTGTGAGTTGGAAAAGAGCTAACTTGAGAGGCGCCTTCATCTGCTTTAGCTCGGGGTAATCGTACATGGCGTTCGAGATTGCGTCCCTCCACGGCGGATCATTCATGATGTTCCTCCAGCCAGTCAGTATCCAATAAGGAACCTGAACAGCTGCTGTCAATCAAGCCATATCATTCAAAAGAGAAAAGGCATTTGGTGCGGGTATAGACCTACTAGAATACCGTAGTTCTCGCAGACGAGACTGGTATAGAACCCATCATCGGGTTTAGGGGGTCCCATAGCGGCTAGCAGAGTAGTGATGCCCTTCTCGTGGAGCATAGTTCGCCTCCCCGGGTTGAAGAGATCTTCTGTCCGCTGCAGGATGGTGATAGCAGCAAGCGTCTCTACCGTAAAGGCGGTGTGAGATCCAAGAGCTTGACGCAGGCTTTTGATAGCCCGGCCGTACGCCGGCATCGTGACGAACTCGACCAGGGGCACGCGGCGACGGAAATCCGCCCAGACGGAGCAGAAGAGGTATATGACATCGCAGAGACAGGGGAACTCTGACAGTCGCTTGGGGAGATGCTTGAGATACTTAGTCTGTATGATCATCCCTCGATCCGGGGCGTTGTTTAGATGAAGCACCAGGCGCGCCGCGATGCCGTCAGCGATGGTGGTGGGGGGGAACTGAGGGCTGGGCGTCCGGGACGGGAGTTGAAGCTGAAGCTGATGAGTCTCTCTACCATCGCCATCTTGGTCGATGGGCGTCTCAAGCACAGGTTTGTGGTCGGCATGGAGCCCATCAGGGACGAACTTGAGCAACGTCGACGGACCAGGGCACGTGACGCCTCTCCTCTGGCAAGCACCGCACTGCGGCCAATACTGGTCGCACTACATCTAGGAAGGATTCATTTAGCTAGTGACGAAGGAAATCACTCGGTGTACTCGGCAGATGTCCAGGCCCGACCTTTATTTTCCGAACCTTGCATGTCCTGCAGCCCCTGGAGCGGGGCACACCGGGCATCGTGAGCGAGAAGGCTGAGCGCAGTATATCAAGGCGAGGCCCAGCAGTACAGTTGATTCCTGGGAGAGAAGTTTCTCAGCCTGCTGGATGAGGTGATGTTGACGGGAGAGAGGGAGAAGGAAGGCATGAGAAGATGTCTAATATTAGAGCGTTGTGTTGGGGGCCGTCCGTCAGTTTGCCCTGGCTGCGGATGACTATGAGATTGGGAATGGGGCTTTTGGGTATAGCCGCGGGCCCCTGTTACCAGGCTAGTCATTTTGGATGACGTTAATTGCCGTACGGCAGCCTTGAAACGTTGATTTAGGGTTCCAACGGCGCGAAGCCTCATGATGCATTTTTGTGTGCATTTCTTGGAGGTGTTGAACTCAGTGGAGGAGATGGAAAGGTCAGCCAAACGCCATCAGCGCGGCATAGAACCATTCATAGGGGCTGTGTTAGTGATCGACAGGGCGCTGGCCTCTGTATTAGTGTACTCCAGTGCCATCAGCTAGGTGGTCCAGTGGAGTTAGTGAGGGCCCAGTGATCATCTAATTGGCACCTGGGCGCTGAGCTGCCACTGACAAGAGACTCGCATTTGGAGAACAACCATTGATCTTGTCTTGCCTGACTGCATACTTCTATACCTACCTACACTACGGAAACTCATGTTCTTGAAATCCTGAAGAATTCCATTCAATACTTGGCAACAACAGTCTCTCTGCAGCCTGGATCAGCCGGATCCGCCTGAAGCAAACGACTTGAGATGGTCGGCATGTCTGGTGGCAATAGTGACACTGAGTTGCCCCTCGCGATCCAGGACATAATAGTCCATCAAATCCTGGATGATCTCCTGCTTGATCTTCACAGCTAGATCTGTGTCACCTGCGACCTCGTTCTGTAGGAAGGAATTGAATTCGCCTGAGCACACCATCGTCTCGATCGTTCTGCCGACAGTGAGTGGCCGATCTTGGACTTTCACTCCTTCGACCACATCGTGAGCGTAAATAGTTGGAGGGTTGACAAAAAGGTTCGGGTTCTCGTCCAAGCCTCTACCCGGGGGCTTGATCAGCTTGAACCGGCCCCGGAGAGAAAGATTCGTGAGAGGGAAAGTGGTGACCAGGGGGATGAAGAAATCTGACCAAACGCATGGCCGACCATTTTGGCGGAAATGAGGGTTATCAAGCATGAGGCAATTTTTCAGTCTTAGGTCTTTGAGTGTCTCTATATGGGCGCTGAGAAAATCCATGAAGATGAATGTCACCACCTCGACGTTTGTCAAGCGGAGTTTTCGCAGCCGAGGCCAAGTATGTTCCGTTGGCCAGAAATCCGCAATTTCGCCATAGAAGGGATACCCGCGGTCGTGGAAAACGCTGAAAAACTTGAGCTTCATGTCTTCGAGATGGGAAGCTGCGCAGAGGAAACTCTTGGCTCGGTTGTTGGCCAGAATTCGAGCGGCCGGTCGGAACCCCTGCCGTCCCTCTCGGTCATTCTTGACGTAGATACATAGATCCAAGACGCTGAGATTGGGGCCGATTTTCATCATCTGAGAATAGACATCACTCTCTCCCCAGATCTCAGTCTCTCTGTCAAACACCTCGATGCCCAGCGCATCAACCCGCAGACTCCTGAGTTGGGTCTCGCTGGTGTTACGCAATATTGGGCCCAGTATATAAACACTGGGAACAGCAATTCTGGGTGGGAAGATTCCAAGTTCGTAGGCCGGTAGCGTAAAGTAATCTCTGAGATCACAGTGCGCTCTGCTTATAAATCGGTATGATGGGTTGCTGTGCAGATGATATGGTGGCGGCGTACCACGAGTGTAGTGACAAATATTCAGATTTTGAAGCTTAGTGAAGCGGCTGCAGACAATCTCCATGCCTTTCGAACGCTCCAAGGACCTGAAAGCGGCGTCCTGAGCAGCAAGCAGCGCATTGTAATGGCCCCAGCTCTCCATCCATCCCTCCTCTGACCAGACCATGACATCCACATCAGTTGGATGTTTGACTGTGAGGCTTATAGCATGCTTCCAGTCATTGATGCTGCCAAAGGAACGAAATACATTTGTCACGCAAGTAATGGCGGATATGTGCTGGCTGAAGAAAGGGTGCAAGGAAATTTCATTTAGTCGGGCAATGCTCTCTGGCACAAGAGCGAAAGTCACTTTTGTACCAAGAGCAGATCGGCCGACATGACCTAAAAGCCGGCAGACAAGACGGACGCTGTACACATCCCACTTGCTGGGGAGATATCCGAAGATTTGGAGGAGGACCTCGTCAGGAATGGACTGAATTGTGACCTTCATGGCGTCTGCAAAATGTAAGTATGAGCTTAAAAGGTATTCACTCTCCCATCAATACTCACAAGTAGCTTTTGGGGTGCTTGTTTGCTATATGGTTTCTATGATTCTCTTCACATCCGACTGATAGACATGTGTCCATTGCGAAGCAGAAGAAAGAAGAGGACGACGAGCAGGTGCTGACGGCGGCCTTATAAAGGAGGGGTAGCAAAGCAAGACATCTTTCAATTGGTCGGTTAAGATTGGGCACAACGCCTTGTCAGGCCGTGTATGTGTGGCGAGCCCGCAGTCAAACTGCTGTTTCATGCATACAAATATGCATGTGGTAATCCGCATGAGTGTTGCACTTTTGAGCAGACTTATAAAATCCCGAAAACTTGTTTATCTAAGCCCCCTATCTGAGGAGGGGAAACCAATTAGAAGGGCCGCCTTTAGAACCAATATCAATGCTCTTGGCAGTCAGTTGAGCCAAGCCTTGTTGTATTGATACACCAACTTAGGTGGAGCTAGGAAGTGAATGGTGGTATTGTACCCCATGATGCCACCGCTCACTGTATGCCAACAAGGCAATACGGCGTCCCTGATGTCGCCTTTAGTGTAAATCGTTTTCCAAAATTTTTTTTTTTTAAACTGGCGATGTTCTATCTTGACCTCAAGAACTGCGTCTGGAGCTAGAACTAGCAAAAAATGGAACTATCGGATACCGATAGACTAGTCAGTTCGATCTGCCCCGTACTGGAATCGAACCAGTGATCTTATCATTACTAGTGATACGCTTTACCACTGAGCCAACGGGGCTTCTGATCGTTGATTGGATGGATCAGTGGTAAATGCATTCATATTCACGATCCAGCGTTTTGCAACCTAGTCAGGTGTTCGAGAGACCGATGAGGAGCTTGTCCAATACTCAATGAAGAAGTCTTGAGCTTAACTAACTTGAAGCATTGCTAGAATTCCGAAGAACTCAGTCTTTATGAAAATATCCCGCGCGGGTTACAATCTTTTATTCAAGAGAAGAACGAATTCCTCGGGAGGGCCTCTTACGAAATATGAATATCAAACGGGACAAACTCCATTGCAACAAGTAGATTAAGTAGTATGAATTCAAGGCCGACTTGGATACAAAAGACTACATTTATTTCGTCTCAGCCTCGAGAGCATCTGCCATCTGGCCAAGCGTGTCGAACTTCCAGTCATAAATCTCACCCTCGCGGTTTCCCATCACCGCGCCAGGGCGCACAATCCAGCTCGACTTGATGCCCATCTTCTTCGCGGGCTGGTGGTCGTGAAACTGGCTCTGCGCGGTCTGTATGATCTGGCCCTTCTCGAAGCCTAGCTTGCTCTTGACCTGGTCGAGCATGTACTCGAAGTTGCGCAGGTCGGGCTTGTAGCTGCCCACGTCCTGGGCAGTGATGATCAGATCAAAGGGGACGCCCTGCAGAGGGCCAGCATTGGTTCGGGAGAAGGAGTCGCGGTCCACGTTGGAAAGAATGACGAGCTTGAAATGCTTCGAGAGACGGCGCAGGGCGTCGACGGAGTCTGGGAAGGCGGGCCATTCGCCCACAGACTTGCCATAGGCGATTGACTGCTCGTCTGTGGGCTGGGGGAGACCGAGCTTTGTGGCGATCTGGGGGAGGATCTTGGCAATCAGGACATCGTAGGTCAGGCCTGGGGTGGCTGCTTGCTGAGCCGCCTCGGCTTCATGGTAGACTGCCAGAAGTTTCTCTCGGGAGAACGAGTTGGTTGCATTGTGTGAGGCAAGGAATGGCTGCATTCCAGCCAAAAGTCCAGCTTCCCAATCGATTATTGTGCCGAAGCAGTCAAAGGTGAGAACTTTGTAGTCGGTAAGCTTGGACATTTTCGTTATGCTGACCTTTCCTTTGGATAGCGAGCTTGGTATGGATAGAGATTAACGATATTGAGGTTGGCTTTCTTCGAGCTTTTGTTTTCTGGCTAGATTATACTAGACAGAAAGGAGCTAAATGTAGTTATTGTAAGTACTTGAGTTGAAATGGATTAGATCGCTAGTTCATTCTCGATTCGTCTCGCCGTCTTATATCATCTTCATGGACCTCTGATGAAGTAATAGCTTGAAGAGGTTACTTTCGGGTTAGAAATATCGTTGAGGTGGGGGATCGTCGGCTGCGGTGCCGATTCCGGAGCCGGACCGGTGTGCAGGCGTGGACGGCCGAGATTTCTCCCCAATTCAAACTATGGTTCAAACGGAATAAGATCAAAGCCAAACTAACAATTAAACCTCCATATGGGTTTCTACTCAATTTGAGACTCATTCTGTTCCTAGGAGAGCTTTAAGACGAAGAATTTGAGGACACCGATTCCGGAACCGGGCCGGACTGCTGGCGACAAACGACAACTCGTTATCTAGTATCATGAAGTGTACCAGTAGACAGATCCAAGTTTTGGATTTCATTCTAGACCCTGTCAATTTGCTAATCTTTAGCACCAGATCCCGACCCCAGGAACTCGGTACTAGCGGCTTAAGGCCCGGAACTTGTTTTCTAAGACCTATCAAAGGTGAGAAATGTCATTTTTAGGGCGTGGAGATAAACGAGCAAACGGCCACCATCGGCATTGTGTGGACAGGAATCGAATCATGATGTAATTAGACCAACAACATGGGGGCAAATTGGCAACTAAAACTCTTTTCGGCGCAATTATACTTGATCTAGACTGTAAGACCGAGCGCGCCTTCTGAAAACACAAACCTTCCGGTTCCCAGAGTATCATTGATAGAGAAATGGTCACCGGACCGGACATATGAGTGGCGAGTTGCAGGCCATCGAGAAAAGGGCGTGTTAGTGTTGAACTTTGGTCCTCCAAGAGCTTGAGAGAAGGGAGAACACACGGCTTTCAGTCGGTCATTGGAATCAACGAAACGACAAATCTTAATTATACATGGGTGTGATCGGATTATTTCTTATTGGGATGTATAATACATAGTGAGGGGGAAAATGACAGTTGTGAAGGATATGAAAGGACGAGAGCTCTCTTCTTAGGACAGCTCCTTATATGTTGGAAGTTTCCAGCTAGACCCATACTCAGGGATGTCGAAAGAGTTGATCCCCAGGAAGGAAGCCGTGCTAAGGATAAAGTTGGCAATGGAGACCCCCCAGGAAGACGAAGGCATAGACTTGAAAACGTTCTTCTCGGGCAGACCTTTTTGAATGTCATTTATCATCGGGTGAAATGTCTCCTGGTAAGCTTCCAGGGCTCTTGGAATGCCATCGCCATTGCCGTGCTCACCCACGCCGCAGTGTTTCCCAATCTCACCAGCTAGGACATAGGCTCCCACCATTGCAGATGTAGTTCCCATCCCAGTTGCCACTGACGAACAGAATGCTGCATCTCCCACCAGAGAAATCCGCCCCTGAGACCAAGATGGAAGCTTGACGACGCCCAGCTCTTGGTAACTGAAGTTTTCAGTTGTCTTCAAATGGCTCGAGATACTCCTTGCTTCCCACCCGGCATCCTGGAAGATCTCCTCGAATGCGGCCTTCTCCTCTTCCAAACCTTTCAGATGAGCATTCTTGAGACGATCCGAGTCGGTTTGGCAGAACAGATACACCTGAAGTTCATCCGGGTTGGCTCTCCTGGTCATAATGGCTCTCTTTCCGGGGGCCATGTATGTCGTCGCAACATATTCTTCACCTTTCTGAATTGGTCGGGGTATAGTAAAGTAGGCCGCAAAGGTACCGCCAAGAGGATAGAACCGGTCTGATGCGCCAGTACCAAGCATCATCTTGCGCAACCGAGAGTTTTGGCCATCGGCCCCGACAACGAGATCGAATTTGTCAGACTCCCCATCTGAGAAGTTCACATGGACTGCGTTCCTGTCTTGCTGGAAGTTCTCGATTGATTTCCCAAAAACAAACTTGGTCCGGTGCTTCACCGCCGCATCGTGAAGCATACGACACAAGTCTCCTCTCATTATCTCGAAATCAGTCGTGAGAGAGTTTGAACTGCCCGGGTTTGCGGGAAAGGTTGCCCTTCGCCTTCCTGAGCTGTCAACAACCAGAATGCCCTGCTCTGGGGCTTTCTTGGAGCGATATTCCTGCTCGAGGCCCATGCGCTTCAGCACCTCGACACCGTGGCCCCTCAAGTCCACCTGGAGTCCGGTGGCTCGCAGGCAGGGAAATCTCTCTACGACGGTGATGTCGTGGCCGATTTTAGATAGCCAGTAGGCGAGGGCGTTGCCAGCAATCCCGCCGCCGGCGATGAGTACCTTGAGCTGTGCCATTGGGGGATGGTTTTTTAGAATTTTCGTCGTCTTCTAAATGATGAATAAGGGAGAAAAGGGATTTTCTTGGCATGATATATAGAGAGGCATGATATAGAAATATTCCTTGATTGACCCTGAAATGGGCGGACTTATAAAGCGATATGTCGGCATGTGCTGGTCTTTATGTCCGTCGACTTCGGCCGGCAGACTGACGGACTAACGGACTCAACACTTCGGCCGAAGTAAAGCGGCATCTGCGCTAAAGGTGGCGGCCATTGCCAATTTGATCGAGTTTGGGCTAAAAGATTTGATTTGAATGACTCGACATTATTCTAGTATTTATGTTATCTTTATCCCCGTCTACTTCTGTTTAGTCACGTAGTGGTGGTTGTGATCGATCGAGGCGACCTACTTGCTTACTAGGTCTAACAAGCTATACTCTGGATCTCCCGAAGAAGGCAAATCTAGGAACAAAATTTTGGGTTAAAGAATTGAATAGATGACAGATTATTTAGAAGAGAAAATCGATGAAAATTAGAGATGTGTTATTCGAGTTCACTCCCATTCATGCGATACTTTCATTTCGGTGCGAAAACGCATTCAACTTCCAAAGAGCCAACAAAATCCCAATTTTGAAGAAACGTCCGATAGAGAATTTCGGTGGCAATATTTAGATGGATTCTTTTCCTTTTTGGGGGCACTGATTTAAAATTATTTGCCCATCACGAGCGCGAGATCGTGAGCTTAAGATATTGTGTCAGTTGCGAACGGGTTGCTCTTTACTTAATGTTGTATTACTACTACTAGCTGTAAGAGAGATATATCCGGCAGCGTATGGAACTCCTCCTGTGCGCACGATTCCAGATTGAACCCATATAATATGGATTGAGGATTAAAGCTGAATAGTCGTCGAATTTAGGTTATTCCTTAGACTTCTTAGGTTAACTACATAACCTGAGTCGTGCAATGTAGCGTGCTGTGTTTAATAGGTCATACCGCGCCGCCTATTATGATTCTCTTGTGAGTTATAGGGTAAAGGGTTTCGCAATTTGCTATCCGCGTAGGCTAGAGCCGAATGAGCCGAATGAGCCGAATGGAACTTTGACTATTCGCAGATATGCATGTTATTCGTGCAAGCTGCGGATTGTGGATATATTATACGCTCAACTAAATTACAAGGGTAATGTGATATGGACATTGCAGAAAGCGGGTTGTGACATGCATCGGCTGTGTGATTGGTAATGACGGAACTACTGAGAGCCGACACGTTATGGACGACTTGGGAAAGATATGACGAATAACCAGGCCATTTACTTTAGGTCCAATATTATGTGTGTGAGTGCCCATGCAGGTGAATGTATCCGGACATGGGGCTACATGGCCCTAAAGCAGGAATCATGCAGAAAAACATGTTGAACGAATTGCATGCAGTTCAATCCGACCCTACCTGTAGGACTCAACGGTTCGCCATCCGATATGCAGAACGGTGAGGGAGAGGTGCTTTGAAGTTATCCACAAAGTGGAGGTAGTCTCGTCCGCTATAGAGCAATGAGCGAATAACCGATGCACGGGAGCGTCTGGAATATGTACGGTCAACCCGAACAACTCATACATACATAAATAGCGAGAACCGAACAGCGTAGATCCAATGGTTGGTGGGAGTGGCCAAACCGGGGAAGCATCGGGGCAGGGGGGCTGAAAAATGGAGAAAAGCCTTCTTTGGACACCTATCCGATGCATATACGTGGCGTGGTCAGCAGTTCATATGCCCCGGAAACTCAGACGAGTTTGAAAGGTCCAAGAGGGGGCCGTCTTGGCATTTTGGAATGATAAGCTCGCGGGCCTGACGAAATTGAGTTTTCTCCTCAAACACATCTACCCGCCCCTCAAACCGGGTCCGTTCACCTCCATTTCCCCACCAAGAAGGATAGGCAAAGGGATAATCGTGATGACGAAACACTGAGAAGGCGGCCATATTGTTCGAAATCCTTTTGAAACTATCTTCAATCCAAACTACGCGTCTTCCCGACGCTCCCGCACCTCGATTCGCAATTAAAACCTCGACACACAGGAAGTTAAATCTTACCATCAATTATCATGGGTTCGCCCCCACGTCAATCGCCTGGGACTTCAACTGCCCCTGCTGCGGCGCTAACTTCTACGCAAATAGAGGGAGAAGATATTCTTGTGTGTATGAGGCTCGGCTGCCATATCCAGCTAACTGCTGACAGGTATCTAGGAAGCGGAGGAGGACAATGATGCCAGTGATGCTGATTCGGCAATTGGTTCTGTGGGTGAAACTCTGGCTATATGTCGTGATCTCAATACTAATCTAGGAAAAAGGTCGCCGGAAGTAGCCTCACGTCACTCCGCTCGAGCGTGTTGAGATATCAGGAAGAAAATGGCAGAACCTATCATGCTATGAGTTCCGGAAGTTAGTCGCTAGCATTCTTCGACCTAATCGCTCATTTGCTAACCAGGTTTTGGCGGTTTGATTAGAATATAACTATCCCAATGACGAGGATGAGAGTAAACGACTTGGTGAGTAAGGGGATAATTCCTTGAATATTGGGATCCTCAACTAATAAAAGCCAAGATCTTCAGCACAATCTTTGGCTATTTACACTCCGTGGAGAATTGGGACTTTGTCCCAAGATCCAGAACGGTCCAGCTAAGCGAGTTCTGGATGCTGGAACCGGAACAGGCATCTGGGCGATTGAATATGGTACGTCGAGATTCGAGACCAAGAACTGCTCATGTTCACTGACAGAGTTGATATACTAAAGCCGACGTATATCCTGAATCAGAGGTATTAACACATTTCGCTTTATCTATGCAGCCCAGCTTCTCTGATTAACCAACTCTTGAAATAGGTCATTGGTGTTGATCTCAGCCCTATCCAACCCTCTCTGTATGGCTCTACTCCGCGTCTTACCCTCTCCACTTCAAATGAGCCAAGATTAGCTGACTACCAAGTCAATGAGAAGAACCCCACCAAACTGCAGTTTCGAGGTCGACGATCTCGAAAAAGAGTGGACCTGGACACGACCGTTCGACTTGATCTTCGCTCGAGTGCTCACAGCATGCTTCGAAGAAATGCAAAGCTTCGTCGACAAGTCATTCGAGTGAGTTTACCACCCTCGAACCTCTCCCGCGTCAACACTAATACAATCCAGAAATCTCGAACCCGGAGGCTATCTCGAGATGCAAGATTTGACCCACCCTCTCGGCTGCGATGACGGCTCCTTGGATCTTGAATCCCCGCTGGGCCAATTCGGCCCACTGGTTATCAAAGCCTGCACCTTAGCCGGGCGCCCCATCGACATTGCCCCCAAGTATGGGGAATTTATGAAGAAGGCTGGATTCGTAGATATTGTACACAGACAATACAAGTGGCCTACTAATTCATGGCCCAAGGATAAACACCACAAGGAGATTGGAGCGTGGTCATTTGAGAACTTGAACACCGGTCTTGAAGGCTTGCTGCTTGCCCTCTTTACCAGGCACCTGGGGTGGTCCGTGGAGGAGGTCACGGTATATTGTGCGCAGGCACGAAAGCAGCTTCGGGATCTCAAAGTCCATGCCTATATTCCCATGTGAGTCAAGAACACTTGTTTCGAATAGACATGTTTTGATACTGACAAGATTTCTGCTAGACACGTTTGGTATGGCCGGAAACCAGAAGGGGAGTAGGAACGGACGTCGCCGGCTCAACCCAAGATTATATGCAAATGCAGTTAGCCTAGCTTTGAACTTTGATATTTCCTGGTTTAATGGAGTCTCTGGTTCTGAAAATCAGATTTTCCAGTGATAGCCTTGAGTGAGCCTCCCCTAATGACGCTTCGCGCCGGGTTGTACTCTAAGCCCAAGGTCTCCTAGAAAATAATCCTTTGCGACCTCTTATCTTCCTTTCTTTCTTTCTCTCTCTCTCTCTCACTCTTCTTTTTCTTTTTCAACGTGCACATACATACACACTCTCTCTTTATCTTCGATTTCAAGGCCACAAGGATGATACAACCCGGTATAATCTGACCATACTAAGTGGACGTTCAATGATTGCAAGCAGGACCAATCTGACCATAGACTACACGCTAATAATCCAATGAGAACACTGTGCGATTAGCTGTCCCGAGACGGACAAATGATCTGCAGGGGCATGGGTGGCTAAGGGATGGCTTGGGGGCTGTCACAAAATGCAACGACTGGCCAACCAGGCAAAATGAAAATGGCTTGCCGTTGCAAGTTTCCAGTGCATCATTGCTAAATATAAACACCTGTATCTGGGCTCCTTTGCGACGTTGGTTGTAGGGTCACCAGATTCTGAGGCTGGTGCAGTTTCAGCAAGTCGGCAGCGCCGCCTCAGTGGTCACTGGCCCCGGAGTAAGCATTAATTTAATGGCTTACTATGTACAGGGCAGATCGGGCATTTAGAGGCTCCATCAAGCTCAGGTACCTGAATAGGCAGGGTCAAGTTGGAAGCTGTCAGCTGGTGGTCGGGCGGTCTCCGGGCTGTATCCGCGCTGTAGTCAGCTCACTGCGCACATGCAGGAGAATTTTGGCCCATGTGGTGCTGAGACATGGTCTCATCAGCCAGCCCGTAAGACATACTGATTGAGGAAGACGGGTTCTGTGAAGAGAGATGCAATTACTGTAAAGTAGGGAAGTGGGAGGCGAACTTTTCCTGGCCCCATAACAGACCCCTAGAAGATAGTGGACTGCCCCCCAGGCACAGCACGGAATCGGCACCGAAGCTTCTTCCAAAAGCCAGTGCTTCGGCTCCAAACCGCTGAAGTTCTGCCGCAAGGTGCCCCGTGCGTCCAGAAGCGAGATTAATTAGGAGCCCCTTGTGACCGGCACTTGAAGTTCTTCGATTCGCCCAAAGGCGAGCCAGAAGAGTGGCGATCGGCAGCGCCAATTTCCAAGGCTGGGGGCGCAGATTTGCATTTTGGAACATCAAGCTTTATCACAGATCACGAGCGGACGCAATCACGGGGGAATGGGTCACCCCATATGCGAGTAACAGTTGAATTAAGACTATGGTATCATTTTTAGTTTAGTACTCCCACTTAAATCTCATACAATCCAATGATCTATTGGCTAAGAACCACACGCTGCGCTTAGAGGAGGGCAACGGCAACAAGACCAGCGAAGGCGGCGGCGCCAACAAGGCCGGCAGTCTGGCGGGAGCCAGCGCCGCCCTTGTCATTGTTGCTGCTGGTAGAGTTGTTGCTGCTGTTGGTGTTGTTCTTGCTATCGTCGCTGCTGGAGCCGCCGGTCTGCGAGGGCCAGCTGAGGCTGGAGCACGAGGTCTGCTCGAGGACGCTGCTGTCGAAGGTGACGCCGGACATGAGGCTGGTGAGGTCGTCCGAGCAGGCCTTGACGAGGTTGCTGATGTCGGTGACGTGCTCCTTGTGCCAGCTGGAGAACTGGGACCAGTAGGAGCTGTACTCGGAGGCGAGGGTGCCGGTGACGGCGGGGATCTCGCAGGACTTAGTGGCGGAGCCGGTCAAGGTGAGGATGTTGGTGTTTTTAGGGGTGGGGAGGTCGAGCAGGCCAGGACCGTACTTGAGGGCAGCGCTGGCGCAGGCGGCGGTGTCACGCTCGTCGAGGACGGCAGTGGGAGCGGGAGGCTGGGCAGCAGCGGCGGCGCCAGAGACGGCGGCGGCCAGAACGGTCATCTTGTTGAAGAGCATTTTGACGGTTGGATTGGTAGTGAGGTAGAGACTGGTGGGAATATGGAAAGAATGAAAGTCTTGAAGTTACTCGAGTGAACAGAGAATGAAAGTCTGACTGTCTAATCTGAAATCAGTCCATCGTAGGGGACGTGGGGAGAACCTCCTTTAATACCCATCCATTGGCCTGGGGGTGATGCTGATCGTATTCATCAAACGATACGCAGACAGGGGAAATTGCTCACCGTACGCCACAAGAATATCACCACTTGAAGGAGTAATGCCAAGAGCGTGAGGGTAATCACTCTCTGCCTTGTGGGACTAGCATACTCGCTGGGGCGTTTTGGACCAGTCTTGGTGTAGCAGCAGGCACACAGGATTCATGCGTTTGCTCAGGAGCTGAATGCTGACACAGGCTAGCAAACTAGCCAAGCCAACTTACGGCGACCAACAGCCGCCACAAAGCATATTCAGGGGGGGAACCGCCGCCGAGATCAGCCTTAGTTTGTTGGTCAATTTGATTTTACCCCATGGCTGACCACATCCTCGCCCTGATTGGGAGGCTTGGATCATAAAGCCAACGCTGCCCCATTCGTTTCACATTTTTGTGAAGCAGGCTGGACGCCAAGGGCTCAGCATCTCCACATAAGTTACGCTCCTGAGGGAATCACGTTCGAGAAAAAGGTGCTAATTAGCTGGCTGGCTAGTGTTCAAGCATAACCGAGCCTTGATGGTGGTGACATAGCATGCATAAGCTGGCCCAACTGCTACGTTGGAGCCAAACCCACAGGAGACTGAAAATTGTTACTATCTTTGGTAGAATCGACGTGACCTCGACCCGTTCAGTCCAGCCGCCTCTCCTAGGTTTGACCTTCGTCTTGTCCATAAGGCAATCCTTGCTGGTCCCTTTCGGAGGCAAATTAAATTGTGCAGGCCCAAGAGTTACTAATCTGCTAGTGCTGTAGAGATAAGGAACGGCGCCTCGGCACGCCCTACATGACGCATGGATCAAAGGCAGACTTGAGACACAGAGTGCACTGCATTTGGGGAAATTTTGTTGAGCCTTGACTGCCCGCTTATTGTTGCCGTCACCCGTCAGCCTTGTTAACCGCTTTTGACTTCTGGCCCATTAAGTTATGCGATTCCTGCAGGTGGTTGAACAGCAAGTACTCTCTTTGATTTCATCTTTCTCTTCCATCTGCGCTCTTTTCGCGTTAGCCGTTTGCCTTCATAGCTGCATTATCTTGCCCCCTAAACCTAGATTGAAATCCTTTCCGCAAAGGGATAAAAAGATTGCACCTAAGTCAACAAAGCTGCTTGGAAGATGTACCTGCATATGTGGATCTAAACAGCCCGTTCGATCGACAACGAATGATTCCAGCACACGTTCAATCCCGGCAATTAACCACGCATAATTACATAAGTGTTTGATCTAGGCTTGATCACAGCTGGGATGCGCCAATTTCTTTCCCCGGCTACTTAAGTTGTGATTTGCAGATCATGTCTGCGTGCGTATCATGGAGAAGGTCTGGAGAAACAAAATGTAATACTGAGTCTTTGTGTTTCCGACATCTCATAACTGGAATGAAAGAGGGAAGAGGGCTTTGCAACTGGTTCTAGTACCTAAAAGCTTGATCAGTCCTCACAGTAAAACGGAAAATACTACCCTTCATAAGCGTAAGGCAAAAGAACCTTGTGTATGCTAGTCTTACGTTGGTTGGCTCTAAAGCAAACCAGGGGCTTCAAACGAGGCGCTTACGTAGGATGATATGAAGTGTTGGTTGGTCGAGAACTTCCGACCTTCTCGACTTGCTGACGGTTGGTGGCGACGAGGGCTGACATTACACGAAGGCCTGGACCAGCTTGGTGGTTACCCTGACTTGCCGCCATACCAGCCGCTTTCCGCCCGGCTGGGTAAATATTACTCCCTGTTAAGTGTGTGTTAGTGAGCTAGCTACTTGAGGAAATATTTTTTTGGCGAGTTGTATCTGATTTGATCTATTACGATGAAGTTGGCTTACGAGCTCAGGAAGCCAAACAAGCTCTTGTAAACTGTAGCGCAAGGCGATGATAGTCATACTCAAAGCTGCTGGTTCTTTTAGTTATTATGATCATCACAACGAATCATACGAGAGAATATAATGCCGATTGAACTTGATGAGAGATTGGAGGTTGTGGCGCCAAGCCGCAGCATCTTGCCTTTCTGGATCCAGCTTTAGGTTAAGCATGCTGGGGTCAACCAAGCCCTCCCAGTTGCGTATATGCAATTGAGTGGAACTCGTGTATGTCGAGTTGGATATATCGACAACGAGAAGTGGGCAGAATTTCAATTTTAATCCAAGGAACCGAATTAGAAAAACAAAACACAAGGGATAAGGGATTTCATTGTTCCTGTTGCTATGTGGGTATTGCCCACGTATTCTCCTTCTAAATACAAATAACTTCTCTTATAGTATCGATTCCCTTTTGAACTGTCGTTGCCTGGACCCTTGAGATGTCTCTTTGGCCCTGTTAACAAGACCAAGACTGCTGCCCAGTGAATGTGCAAATCCAGGAGGCTAGGGACTGCCTCCTTACATCCACCGACTAGCCTCACGTATCGATTGTATGCTTTCGTTACTTTATTTTGGCCCTCTAGAATGTCCGCTACACTCTGTCGTACGTTTATAGTGAGAAAGAGCTTGGATTTTAGCAATGCCTATTCACCAACGAGACAAATGCTCAAGTCCATAAAGTCCGTGGGCTCTCACCGACTGAATTCAAGATTACTCAGTTGCCCTAGCGACTCAGAATAAAGTCTGGAATATTTCTTTGGGATCAAGGCCCATGACTAGAAATGTATTTATCGGAAAAGGGCCTCGGCTGCATCCAGACATACTTTCTTGTTACCATGGAATCATTATAGTAAATCTTGACAACGCCAAAGTCAGTTGTGGAAAATGATTGAACAAACAAAAGCAGCGGACCTTTGTAAATGAGCGCTCATGACAGAAAGCTCGCATCCCTTCTTCATTATAGCCGTGACTCCCTCTGCTGATATGCATAGATCTAGTTCGTCCAAATACGGGCCGTCGGAACCAAGTTTTGTAAACGAGAGAATGCGGAAGCGAGCTTCTTGAAACAAAGAAGAACATTGAAGGTAGAGCTTCTAAGTCTTCCCTGATCTTCTGAAATACCAGTTGACCATGCAAGCAAACGGAGAGTTTGATCTAGATTTCCCGCGACTGAACGATGCACTTGCGCGATATTGCGATATGGCAATGAGTTTGAGGGATTGAGGATGAGTTGAGCTGTTGCTCAGTCTCCCGCATGGTAGGTAAACTTCCAGAAAAGGTTCCCAGGAACCAGAGTGCGGGATAGATGTTGGAAGTTCATTCTCCATTCGTCAAGGATACTTTCTGATAGGCCATGATAAAATCATATCAGGTTGAATGCTTTTTTCCTAGCTATTATAAAAATGGTTCCGAAGAACGTCGTCTTACTTTAGCAAGTTATTTACTTCATGTTTTTCCTTGCTTTAACTACAACCAATTGAAATGAGTTTGTTTATTAGAGGATTTCTCTTTGAGTGAGTTTAAATTATGGTTAATTATCTGAGGTCGGGGTACTTGGACAAGCGTTGGCCATCAAGCTGGGAAAATCGTGCCCACGAATGCATTGCCAACTGGTCAGGCGGATCACCAGATGGCGAAGTCCTCTGATGGGAGCTGGGTTCAAAGTATCTAGATCTTTGACGTAATTAGGTATACAAACGAAGGATTTGTCGCTATGTATGATCTCTTATGCCTACTTGTGGGCCAACAATAGTTGCTCACCTAGACATGTCGGGATTGATGGAATTCCGATGGATCATGACCGTGAGTGATAATATTAGGCACGCGCCCATGACGAAACTTGAATGAGCAGCTAAGTTAACTAAAGGCCCGCAATGGATTGAGACCGAAGGACATCATATCTGTTAATAATGAAAAGGCATTCTTACACAAGACTAGTAACCATATCAATTTCATTCCAAAAATAGGACAGAAGAAAGAAGTGAGAGGGTAGAAAGATTGAATCCATTGTCTCAAAAGTTTACCCGTAGAATGCATGATTTGAATTTCAAAGCTGAATAGAAAGGATGGAGAGAGTAAATTGCCGGAACAGGTACGCCATAGTGCCAGATGTTAACGAGCTTTATTGAAAGAATCAGTAAGTCCACAATTATCATAGACTCGAGTCAAAAATTTCACGTTTATTCTTTAAATTAATTCAATGCACGGAAAAGTGATGTCCGATCTTGCCAAGTGTAGTCCTGAAGAAGATGAACCCGGTCACTGCAAAATGAAAATGTGCCGAACAGGGGAACTACTTTTTTATTCAAGCTGGTAGTTTCTAGCGTCAAAATGCACGGAAATATACACTATCGTCACAAATAAGCAGCGGGGGTTGTAGTGACTTTTCCCGGAGCTGTCACATTCTGGGATGGGATGGGCATTTTCTGCTCTGGAGGGCGTAAAGCTGGTTTTCGTCGTAGATTTAGGTGGGAAGAGATGATAGGTGTGCATGCAGATCCTTTTGACATACAGCTATTGCACTGAGGCAGAGCTTGATGCCCAAGGGGGATAAAGCTTACACATCTTGTTCTAAGCATAAGTTTCCTTTTATGCTGGGACTTTGTCCGTGTCTAGGTAGGTACTGGTACACACAGCTGGCCCGCCAACCCCTGTCATATCACGCGACTCATCCATGTCAACGGGAGAGCTCCATGGTGATGATCATCGGCGCGTCCCTAAAGGGGAGACTCCATGGGTCCACCTCCGGTCAATATACCAGCCAGGAAGGTTCTCTTCCGTGGCAGAGGCTTTCCAGTTCCAGGTCAACGTGGAGTGTCAAACATTAGGCGTGTCTAGCATGTCGTGTCGAACTTTGGTGGTGTTAAATGGTTCAAAAATAACCAAGCTGGCCGCAGATCTTTCGGTCGGGGAATTGATTCAGGCGCTGTCCACGACGCTGCACCCCCCCTCCACTTAAATGATATATTACTTCGTGTTAAGAATAGAATGGGCTTCGGCATGCTTACGCTGTACGGAAGCTTTGGTAGTTTTGCTTTTGTGTTTCATGCGTCATCGCTATAATCATTCAAAATCACCATATCCCCCCTAAACCAGCGCTTTTCCTCTCTTCATGCCAAGCTTGACGCCAAGCTCATCGCGATCCTCCCGCATCCGATGCAGAATAGACTCTATTGCGACCTTCGACTGCGGTCCTGTCGAAAAACGACTATTCTTTTAGTCCTTGCATTATTTGCTATCACGACTACCGTCCTCTTGTGTGGCACAGGGAGCCCGACATCGAACACGCGGCCTGCCGAAGCCTCCGACATATCAAAACAGACATTTGCTCCATGCACGAGGAAGACAGAGGCATGGAGGACAATCCGATCTAAACATGATACGTTGATCGAGGACAAGTTTACGTGCGTCATCCACGGCCATTTCCTTTATATTCTTCCCCCATTGCTCACCGTGTGGTCAAAAATCCAGAGTCGCCGTGTCCACCTTCCATCGACCCAACGAGTTGAAGCGCATTCTCGGCATCCTCCTCTCCGACCATATCCCCTCCCTTCTCGAAGTCGTCGTAATATGGAACAACTTTGGCGAAGAACCACCCGCCGCTTACGATTCTGAACATGGCGTCAGGGTTCGATACCGCATCCCTCCACGAGACAGCCTGAATGAGAAGCTCTGGCCGGATCCCGAATACCGCACTCAGGCTGTTCTTCTATCAGACGATGACGTTTACTACCGAGCCGAGGACCTGGAATTCGTCTTCCAGAGCTGGCGGAAGTTCGGAAAGGACAGAATGACGGGCGCTTTGGCGAGGTGCGCGACACCTGATAACAACGGACAGTGGGAATACACATTTTGCACGGGTCACAGTATCGACAAGTACTCCATCATTCTGTCGAACCTGGCCTTTGCTCATATTGGACTGCTGGACTATTACTTCTCCGACGATCCCGCCATGACCGCGGTCCGCAACCTGGTCGACGACAAATTCAACTGCGAGGACATCGCGCTCAACTTCGCCGCGTCGCTGCTCACGGGATCGGGGCCTCTGCTCGTTCAGGGGCGGGACCAGTACGTCAACCTGGACCCGTCCACCGGCATCAGCAGGAACTCGGGGCACATGGAGGCGAGGAGTCAGTGCCTCAACGACTTTGCTCACGCGTTCCAGTGCATGCCCCTGGTTGACGAGTCAGCACGGATAGAGCGCGGGTACAGGTTCAACGTCTGGTACAAGTCGCTCTGGGACCGGTTTACGTATCGATGAGCCGGGGAGCCAGTGGAAATGGATGCCGCGTCGATCTAAATATACTGATTACGTACCCTCATGAGACCACGAAGGCATAGCGCATACCGGGACGCCCACCTTTCCGGGCTGAGAACCCTGCTTCAAAAATTACCCCTGTTGAGATAATGTATATGCTACTCATTAATTTCCCTAATTATTTCTAGCTAATAACATTCATTCTCTATCAATATTTGAATAGCTAGACTACTTCTGTTGGGATATGAAATCGCGTTATCCATTGATGGCAATGGCTCAACATAGCAAGGTGATATAACTATTTGCTGTCAGGCTGAGTGGATGTAGTCAAGCTGGGAATGTTCACCTGTGGCATAGCAGGATCCAAGGTATATAAGAGGAAAACACCATTCTCTTAGATGGACAAAATCCAGAAACCAATGTACAACCCCACTGACCCGTTATAAACCCTCGAGTTACCCTATCATTCGCTGATGTCTCCAATTTCCTCTGGAAATGCCCGTTCTTATTCTTAGCTGGCTAAACATTCAGAAACTGCTTTCTAAAAAAAAAACTGTTTGCTGAAGGTGAGATTGAGACTGTAGGCTCGGTTACTTGATGATTCGAGGACCGATAATCGGTAATCTCAGTGATCCTTACGATTTTAGATACCTGAACTAAGCTCCATATCAAAGCCTACGGCTATTGATGGCCCTTTCTCGAATAGGAACACCATAAATAGCTGTATAGTGCCATTATTTTAGAAAGTATATCTATCTTAGTCTGCTATGTGACCTGTGACTATGCCGTGGACAAGAACTTCACCCTGGAGTGAGCGACAACATCCCGCCGTTGAAACTTAAGAGATCGATAAGGGAAAGCAGATCAATTTGAATTTGAAGGGGGCCTAATCCTGTCGGAAATCGCTTTTTTCGGGTGATGAATCTCACAAATTGACCTGCTGATTCGCAGCCTGATCACTCATGAACAATTGAAGATTCGAAGGAACCACCACTTGCATCTACTTCTCTGGGACAGGTCGCCCAGGATAGGCGCCCGACTAGCTTCATGATGAAATATTTTGACAAAGGAAAAATACCAAAAAGAATTGGGGAGCTGAGAAGGTCATTTATGGAAGAGGCGGGCAGAGGAGATACTGGTTATTATTGATGAGTAGAGACTAATAGACCCCCGGCCGGTTTCATGCCCTGATATTTTCGAAAAAGAAAAAAAAGTGAAAAAGTAAGTCTGTCGAATTGAGTCGATGTGAATGACCATAGCTTATACTCTTTGTATTGGCTATCTGCTTGCATCTGGGTTCCGTATGCCTTGGCATGGGATAAGCGCTTGAACGAGGCGAAGTTGCGACAGTGTGAGCCGGAGTTTTCCACACTTCACACCAGGGTCTGCGCCATAGTTTGACCAAAAGAGGCGTATTGTTGCTTTCGAGCCCACACTGCCACGGCAGTTCATGCGTGAATGACTGTGTCTTGCAGGCGGTGAACCTGAGGTTGCACGAGAAGTTAGGTAATATAATCTCACTCCACCTCCGCTCAGTTCGCATTTCCAAACACTGCTCCTTCATCATTCGTGAGCATCACAACAAGATCGTGAACTTAGCAGATCGGCCTACCATGGAAGACTGGCATCGGAAATACATGCTTGCGGAGAGCGACAGCTTCCATGTCGAGATGCTGGGGGTGGGATACTCGGAGCTGATCCGTGATCTCGAATCCGACCAGCTTGACACCGACGCAATTGAGCGCCGCGTCCAGCAGCTGGCCAACAAGGCCGATATCTCAAAGGGATTTTGCGCAAGTTGCCGCAATCTATTTAATCACTGGCCTGCCCTCGATGAAAAGGAATGGGACTCTGCTGTTCTGAGATACTTCAACACAGAGGAGTTAGAAGCCTTCTCCCGCGCCGGATGCAAGTTCTGCGCCTTCATCATGGGCAGGTTCCAGCACCACGAGGGACTCCTTGATAAATTCCGCAAGATTGAGGCAAGATTCGCTGAGGAGGACGAACCTGCCAGGTGTTCGTTGGCTGTTCAGAATGTCGGGGAAGGGATTGGAGAGAACGCGACGAGTCAGGCGCTCTGGGTGAACCTGCCTGGCAAAGAAGTCTCACACTGCAACTACGCTTGTGACCAAGAGCTGGCTGATTTTGTATCTGAAGTTCTTCCCAAAGATGGTGAGTAGAGGGATGCAATTTCTAGGTTCCTTGTTGGAGATGACGAAGCACTGACATGATGATAACATAGCCAAACTTTGGGACGAAGATATTGAGTCCTTAGACCTCGTCAAAACGTGGCTCTCTGACTGTGATGAGACTCACCAAAAGGAGTGTAGCAGCCGAAAGCTGCAGGATGGGCCAGGCCGATTGATTTCGATCCAGGCCGACCCCATCAAGTTGGTCGAGACGGCATCGCTAGAAAGCCTTCCCCAGTATGCTACTCTGACGTACTGCTGGGGAAAAGCCGCCTTTTTCAAATTGACACAAGACACATATGCCGAGTTTCTGGCCGGCGTTTCGCTTGACCGCCTGCCACAAACATTCCAAGACGCCGTCATAGTTGCAAGACGCCTGGGATTATCACACATTTGGATCGATGCCCTCTGTATCATACAAGAGGAGCCTGGCAAGGCGGATTGGCTGAAAGAATCTGGTCGAATGAGGTCAGTGTACGGTGGCTCACATGTTACCCTTGCAGCAAGTTCGGCGACCGATGTCCATCAAGGCTTCCTAGCATCTGCATTGTCCCCCAAGTACCAAGGTGGCTTCTATGCGCAGGTATCCACCGACAAGTACACCAGAAAGCAGAACTTTCACAGCGCCGGAGTATTTTTCGAATCTATTCTGCAGACCCCCCTGGCTGAGCGTGCTTGGGCTCTTGGAGAGAGACTTCTTTCGCGTCGCACCGTCCAGTTCAGTGAATACGGCGTCTTTTGGCAGTGCCATGCTACATCCCGATCCGAGTTTATCCCCGGCGGGTTTGGGGGGCACCCAGGGCCGACTCTCATGTTTGCGGATGAAGAGCCGCTGCCATGGATGGACGTCATGTGCCAGTACTCTGAGGCTAAGCTCACATATGCATCTGATCGACTGCCCGCGTTATCTGGTATTGCAGCACGCCAGCGCGAGATCACCGGAGATAAATACTTGGCGGGTTTGTGGGAGCAAGATTTGGTCCCCTCTCTGCTGTGGTTTAGCCTGGATGCTACTGAAATGAAGGAGCGGCGTTCACCCAGCTGGACCTGGGCTTCCATCGATGGACCATGCAGCGTCAAGGAATTCACTAAGAAGGGCGGAAAGCCGCAAGCAAGACTTTTGGAATCGTGGACGAAGCTCCTTGGACCAGACCCCTTTGGCGCAGTCACGGACGGTGGAATTACACTGGCCTGCCAGTCTCTTATACCAGCCACACTCGACCGTGAGGGGCCACAGAGCCTTGATACCGGGTCCGACTCCCCCGAGGTACCTGAAACCAAGAAGGTGCCCTCGGTTACGATCCAGGAATCTAGTCTCCTACCATTTCCGGTAAAGTTGGATTGTATTGAACAAGAAGCAGCCAGGAATGAGTCCGTGTACCTCCTTCCTGTCATGGCCGGTCGTGTGTCTATGTATGTCGATGAAGCCGAAGAGATGAAGTGCGAGGACCCACACGTCGAGTATGCTGGCCTTGTTCTTAGGTCTGTTGACAACATGCCTGGCCATTTTGTCCGTCTTGGTCTCTTTGGATTTTCAAACCAACCGTGGGAGCCTGGAGTGGCGGGGAGAGATCTGTATGCTGATTTCAGTAGTGCCCTGGAGGAACGGGGTGAGGAGACAGCCAAGTCGGTTTGCTTGGAGATCAACGAGGATGCAGACTATCCGAAGCAGCGATTTGTGATCAAGATCAAGTGAGACGCTTAGGATGGGCTATACTATCAGTGATCGGGTAGCTTTATGAAACACATTGGGAGAGAATGTTTATTGCAGAGAGGTGCGACACTCAACGCTCTTTATAGTTTATGAAATACCTCTTGTTTTCTGATGAGTTCATTCTTATATGCATAGTCCAACTGTATCATTTTCACGAATCGCACCCTAGCTCAACATATATGTAACAAAGATCGTCTCTTACTTGACAAAGTTCTGCGTACATGGGCATTTTTACGAATTATGAGGCAATCAATCGCCCACAGTCATCCAAAAGTCACGTCGAACCTGGATACTCACTGCACGCAGTCAAAGAGAGCGACACGCCATGCGAAAAACCAGGAGAAGAATCACAAGCAGTATTATTTTCTCAGCGATTGCATACCTAGGCAAGTTGGCCGAGTGGTTAAGGCGGTGGGTTTAAGAGTCAAGATGCTAAATCTATGGCGTTTATTTCCACTATCGCGAGATGCGTGGGTTCGAACCCCACACTTGTCAAAAGATATAATTCTTTTTTTGCGCTTTTAGGGAAGTTCGGAGCCTGGACAAAGAGTATTCAACTCCTTAATGGTGTATGCATCTGTGATCTTTAAGGTCAGAATAGATTGATATCGTTGTTATCAAGTTGTATCGTGCACAGTGTGTTCATTGTGCCGAGATGTCGGGGTCTAGGATCTATCAAGATCTGCCTACTGCAAAGTAGAGGTTCGGTGCTTTCTTCTAGGCTCGCGGTGATGTGACAGAATTCTGCTCTCAAGTCTCGAGGTCGTGCGTGGCGGCAATCTCACAGCAAAGACAGAAAATGTCGTTGGGAGTAAGCCGGAGTATGGGAGGATGCCGTTAGAGTGCTAGTTACAGATTCCGCTCTCCACCTTATACTATCTAGATTTCTAACAAGCAAAGCACTGTTACAGCAAAAAGGGATTGGGATAACAGGAAAATTTAGCTGTCCCAAGCCTAAGAAAGCCGTTGGTCGCGTGTATGTGGTTAACAGAGCAGACGTGGAGAGCCATTAAAGACCAATGAGAAACGAATCAGCTGGTATGTTTTAACTATAACTCGGACTGAAAGAAACAGCGAGATTCTAGTCGAATGCTGAACAAGTTCGCGCTTGTGTAGATGCATGGTACTCCAGATAGAGAGGGAATGTCCTGCATAAACCACCTTTGACTTTTTCTTGTTATCTAGCAAATAGTCTAGGCCTTCGATTCAGTTTCGTTAATCTTCTTCCAAGACTCCCGGTTGGAAACCCTTCCCCACCAAGATGCGAGGTTCTCACGTTGCTCTATGGCGGGTCCTTCGCCAGCGTAAAAAAGAGCAATTACGACCGGCATGTAGAATACATCTACAATAGTGAATCGAGAGCCAGCAAAATAGTCTTGAGTGGACAAGATCTTATCGAGAACGTTTAGCTTGTTGTGAAGCTGGTCGATACTATTCTTGGTCGCAGTCTCATCTGAGTGTTCGCCCCTAGCCCTAGCTCTGAGATTAGAAAATAGCTTCGCCACCCCAAAGCCAAAACCACACGAAGAAAGGGAAAGTAGGAAGAAGCTGTAGGAGAAAGAGAGAGATGCGCCACGGGCTCTTACGGATTGAATAGTCTCAGGGTCAAGACTTGGAGGGCTGGATCGTAGAACTGCGAGAATTCTACTGATGCAAACTGCTCAAATAAAGCCGAAGCCTGGACATCATCAACAGCAGGCAAAAGGTCGATTCCCTGGTCCCGGTATTTTGATGCCAGGTACCGAGCAATGGCTCGCGACTCTACAACTCATGTTAGAATACTGGAGCGGTTGTCACAATGTTTTGTAATAACTTGCCGTAGAGGCGTAGCGCGCCATCTTCAAGTGCTGGAATCTGTCCAAACGGCATCAATTCATCATAGGGAGCTCGCTAGCAAGAAGGTTAGAGCGATATACGACTAGGAACGTCTTATTTTACCTTCTGCTCTCCGGCCAAGAAATCGACTGAGACGAACTCAAAGTCGATACCTTTCTCCGCTAGAACGAGGAGAACACGGCGGCTGCATAAAGACATGGGATGACCGTAGAGTTTAAGAGCCATTGTAGAGTGCACGTAGAATAGTGACGGTCGATACTTGTGTTTATTTTCCCCTTTACCTCCGGCATATGAATGTAGTACGGGGCCTCGAGACTGGATGGAAACAGTACACAAGCTGGATTTATATGTCGAGGCACAAGTCTATTCATCGCCCCAATCCGCCTCTCTAGGTATGGGTGATAAATTCATCGGCGCCAAAAGCCGTCGTCCGAGACCGAAAGTCCGGGCGCTTTGGTTATGCTCTTTAACTTTGATTTGTAAGTTTATGAATGCAAATATTCGTGGGACCTGTTCAAGTGTGAGTTGGGTGCTAAGCGAGACATTTGTAAGTAGCGGTCCAAGGGTTTGCTGGGAGATTACAACACTAGTGACATGTCTTCGAAAAACGGGAGTCTAGATTGCTCCCGGTTTCGTGGGCGTTACACTCTTCACTCGTCTTCTTCAGCCGAAGCTGTTCCCCCCATGACTTCTCACGATTGCGCCACCTTGCTTCATCACCCAGCTCGCTTTAGCTCGCTACCTAAAAGATTGTCGAAAATGGACCGCTCAGGTGTTGTACAAATGCTTGTCGAAGCATGGCGTTCTCGTGGCTCATAACTAGAACGAAAACAGATGTTCAAGCTGGACGAGAAGAGTGGACGAGAAGAGAGCCATCGGCAATTGTAGGCCGCCCCGTGTTTTACTAGGATGATCTAATATCTGCTACGGATAGTACTGGATCTAAGCTTCCCAGCCGCAAAGGGAATCCGTGAGATACAGAGTGTGGGGTGCTCATGATAGTACTGATCAGCCTGTCCAGCATTCCACAATGGACGAACGCTAAGTTGGATGAAATAACCGCCGAGGAAGCTAGCGCACTCTGCAGGGAGGGGCGGTACTGGGATTGAAACGATGACCTCCCTTATCCCCTGCTTGCTCATGTCGCTGGGGGCCTTGAATTGGTTCTGAGGCGATAGCGATGGGCCCGTCGCCACATAGTTGCTCAAGTTAAAGAGAGAACGGCAGTAGTTCATATATTTCGGCATTGCCTTGGACAATTTGATCACCATGGGTTGCTTCAACGTCTGAAGTTCCGTCGTCGAGAGTGTTATGAACCAATACCTTTGAAAGTGCATAGGTAAAAGATCAAGAGATTGTACTTGCTATTCGAGAGGAGGAGTCGTTCAGGTCGCGAAATTGATCGATCCGAACCGTGGGGTAGTTTCATTCGGCTGAACCAGGGAATGCCTGGATGATCAGTTTCCGGTTTCACTCACGCCAATATGTAAGACTTATTAATCCCTCACGCACTCTGCCTCCTTTCACGGAATGAGCCTTCCTGAAGATTTTACTCCGCGTGGAATACCCGTTGTAAGAAGATACTCGTTCGGTCTTGATCCAGAGACTCCCACTGTCTGCACCGGCTTGGATCTTGTTCGTAATTAACTCATATATACACACACTGCCAGGAATACTGAATACCTTGCCTTGAGTAGCCAATTCCTCCATAATTGATTAATCAGATTCCTCGTCCTACTCAGCCCTGAATCTTTAACAGCAAGCATTGGCCAAATGCCTCGACTAATAGAACCAATGAACATTGGCCGTTGCGCCCTGAAGCACCGCATCGTCATGGCTCCCATGACACGCTTGAGGGCAGATGACGACCAGGTCCCTCGAGATCTAGTTCTTCTCTACTACTCTCAGAGAGCATCCGTCCCAGGCACTTTACTCATTTCTGAGGCTACCTTCATATCACCCAAGTCACGGGGGAGAGATGAAAATGCCCCCGGCATCTTCACCAGCCAACAAGTTGAGGAGTGGAAACGAATAACGGACGATGTGCATGCAAAGGGGTCCTACATATTCATGCAGCTGTGGCATGTAGGCCGTGCCGCTCGCCAGCATGCCCTTGATCGAGCAGGTTTGGAGATGGTGAGCAGCAGCAACATCCCCATCAGCGACCAGCACCCGACCCCGCGGGCAATGACGACGGAGGAGATCTGGGAGTGCATCGGTGACTTCGCTCAGGCAGCCAAAAACGCAGTCTCTGCTGGCTTTGATGGCGTGGAGATTCATGCCGCCAACGGGTATCTTATTGACCAATTCACCCAGGATACCTGTAACAAACGAACCGACGAGTGGGGAGGGAGCATTGAGAAACGGAGTCGCTTCTGCCTTGAGATTGTAAAAGCCGTTTCCGAAGCCATTGGTCCTGACAGAGTGGCTGTGCGTCTCTCGCCATTCAGTGACTTCCAAGGGATGCGCATGGAAGACCTAATACCGCAATTTACGCACATTATATCAAAGTTGAGAAAGCTCAAGTTGGCTTATTTGCACCTTATTGAGCCCCGTGTTTCTGGAAATGCCGACAAACAGGCGGGCAGCGGAGAAAGCTTGGATTTCGCCATCAAGGCTTGGAACAAGGCTGGTCCCATCATTCTTGCCGGGGGGTACTCTCTTGCTGAAGTAGAGGAGGCTCTAGAGACGCGACTCCAAAGCGAGGACGTAGGATTTGCATTTGGCCGGCACTTCATCTCCAATCCAGATCTGCCGTACAGGCTCGCAAATAATATTCCTCTCACACCTTACCAGCGTGACACCTTTTACAAGGTGAAGAGCCCTGACGGATACACAGATTACAGCTTTTCTGATGAATGGAAGGCTGAGGCTCCCTAGTATCAGCAATGAAGTCGACAAAGTGATCATACCTTTTTTCAAATGCAGTACGATAGATATCAGGTAGAAACTTCAATAGTAAAGTAAAGCGATCTATCTATACCGTGTCACTTCACATTGATGAAAGTCTCCACGGCAGTATATGACGGGGTGCAGCACGGGAACACCAAAATGCGGGGGCGAAGTATGGAGGAGACCCTGTTTACTCGAGCCCTTCTCATCGTGCTTGATATGATCGATAGATAGCTGATCACAACGGAGGCTTGCTTCAAATCATCTTCACCCTTCGATCTCATATCAGTTGATACACTTCCCAGAAATTATGGCTGCTCTCCCTCACAAGCTGGACGTTCTCGTCATCGGTGGAGGCAATGCTGGCTTCAGCGCCGCCGTCTCCGCCGCTCAATCCGGCGCCGGCAGCGTCCTGCTCATCGACAGAGCGCCCGAGGAGTGGGCAGGTGGAAACACATATTTCACCGCCGGTGCATACCGTACCGTGCATGGGGGGCTGCAGGACCTGCTCTCCCTTGTTAACAACGTCTCCCAGGAGCAGGCAGGCAAGATCGAGCTTGCTCCCTACTCCGAGCAGGACTTCATGGATGACTTGAACAAGGTCTGCATGGGGCGGTCCGATCCTGGGCTGGCTGAGAAGCTCGTCTCCGAGTCCAACGAGGCCGTCAAGTGGCTCCATGGCAATGGCATCCGGTTCCAGCTGTCGTTCAATCGCCAGGCCTATGAAGTTGACGGGAAGATCAAGTTCTGGGGCGGTCTCTCTCTCAAGACTCAGGACGGCGGGAAAGGTCTTATTGCCGACCACCGGGCCGCGGCAGAGCGACACAATGTGCAGGTGTCTTGGTCGACACTTATGAGCGAAATTCAACGCAACGGCGACGGTTCATTCACCGTCACTCTCCAGGTAGACAGTGTACCGCAGAAACTGTCCGTCGGGGCTGTCATCTTTGCTGCTGGAGGCTTCGAGTCTAACGCTCAGATGCGCAGCCAGTTCCTGGGACCCGGCTGGGACATGGCCATGGTCCGTGGCACGCCCTATAATACCGGAGACTGCCTGAACTATGCCGTCCGCGAGCTCGATGCAAAGGCAGTGGGAAATTGGTCTGGTTGCCACTCCGTCGCGTGGGATGCAAATGCTAACCCTGATACTGGTGATCGTGTTGCGTCCAACGAGTACACCAAGTCTGGATACCCGCTTGGGCTCATGTTCAACATCGACGGCCAGCGATTTGTCGACGAGGGGATCGATATGAGAAACTATACATATGCCAAGTTCGGCCGTGCTATCTTACAGCAGCCCGAGCACATTGCTTTCCAGGTCTGGGATGCTCAAACGAGCCCATGGCTCCGGTCAGAGGAATACCGCGAGGAGCGTGTGGAGCGCATCACCGCGTCTACGCTGGAGGAACTCGCAACCAAGTGCGGCGGCCGGGGCCTCAGAGACGAGGAATCTTTCCTCAGAAACCTCAGAGAATACAACGAGGCCGTCTATGCCCACCGTCGGGAAAATCCAAACGTGAAGTGGGATCCCGCCGTCAAGGACGGTCTGTCCACCCAATCGTCCAAGAAGCAGCTGGCGTTGGCAAAGTCGAACTGGGCCCTGCCTGTAGAGCTGGGGCCTTTCGTCGCTGTCAAGGTCACTTGTGGCATCACTTTTACCTTTGGCGGCTTGAAGGTTGACCCTGAGACCGCGGGATTGGTCAGTGCATCAACCGGCAAGCTCATGCCGGGTCTGTTCTGCGTAGGTGAGATGATGGGTGGGCTGTTCTACTCCAACTATCCTGGCGGCAGCGGACTGACATCCGGAGCCGTCTTCGGAAGGAAGGCTGGAAGGGCCGCAGCAGCTATCAGCAAGAAGATGTTGGTGGGAGAATCTACCTCTAGGACATTCTCAAGAAAACTGTAGGATTGGATGTGGGAGAAAGGCCCAGCTGAGATTTCTCTGAAACTACTAATAGCTAGACTAGATTGCAAAATTTGTTTTCTTGTTCCATTTCTAAGACTTTGGAATTTTCATTAGTCGATATTTCTCATCGCCGGTCAGCAATTATCTTCTTTGCTTAAGTAGATATGTAATGGCATGCTGATCTACTTGCCTCGTTATCCTCTTGAACAAGAAAAATTATAACTAGACAGCCAAGGTAGGTGAGATCCTGATAATCCAGACAGATTCCATTGTATCCCCAGTAAATCAAATAATTTATTGATAAGTTTATTATTTAAAAATTCCTCGTAGTGTTTCCCATTGACGGCCTCTTTGTTGGTGGTGAGTGATGGTTGAGGTCAAAGTTGAAACTCCTGCCTCTCATCTACAAAAAGACCCAGTGCCTAGTATTCCGCTATCTCTAGAGAGCTAAAGAAGGTTTATTTGGAAAGCTGTCAGCCACCTAAGTCAATTAAACCTTGATATATGGAGCACTAATGGTGTGGCTCTTGTTTGAAAAGAGGCTGGAAGTCTTATCTTCTCATGACAGACTAGAAGATCTTTAATGACCAAATATACCGAGTAAGTGTTCGGCATGTTATAATAGGAATACTCTCTTTATCTAGAGGGGGCCTGAAAACGCATCCCTATGTCGTGCCCGCCCTATGACTTGCATGTAAAGGGCGGTGATCTACATCCTCAGTCTTAGAGTCATCTACCCTATGAAGCTCATTCTTCAAGAGAAGTATAAATTTTAATACATGAGTATTTCAACTTCGGAAAATGTAGAGTTTTTATACCCTTACATGTAGTCTATTCCTCGTCCTTGGGCTGGCTGACGACGCCATGCTCTACTCACCTCAAGTCGTTTGCTAATATCCTGAGATGATATTGAAAGGCAATGGTATTTATGTAGCCGGTGAGCTCGCTTGTGTATAAACACCCCTTTTGTCTCTTACCCAAATCACGCCAACAAAAAAGTATCCTCTAACGCTACCACCTTTGCAAGTATGGATCAGGTTAACTATGTGTATCAGTACTATATTTCCGCAGGATGGGGACGTTCCTAACGTATGATTGGTAGTACGGAGCTCCTTTCCGCGAGATTTTGAGGGGCGTCTCGTCTCCCGCCGATGAAAAAGGTTTGACTGGCGGCTACAAAACCCGAGCTCGTCTAGCTTCCCCATTTCACGACCTATATCTCAGTCAAAATATTTAGTAACTTCAGTATTCATTTTATGCACCATAAAGCAGTCGGCCTGGGAGATACCCTTGTTACTTGTCCATCGTGATATGCAGCAACATATAATCTATACTGTTATTAGGGGTCCTAACGCGGTGTGTTCGGCAGAGCCTGTAAGCTTCTTAGAAGTCGCCAGTTCTGTCACTTTTTAATAGAACTGGAGCAGTGGCAGTCTTTCACGTTGTTTAGCATCACCAACATCAGAAGTCATCCGAATACTAGTTTACTTGTTCTCTAAAGCTAGCCCCCAATCGAGCTTCAGATGAGCAAGATACGTTTCGAAAGACAGTCAGCAGCATGTGGCAGGCTTGTTGCTCAATGTCAGTGTATTCCCACAAAACTTCGCGTCATTCATGGATCAGGATTGGGCCCGGTAGTTGTCTTGAACGGGCAGCCAGCAGGTGGACACTTCGCCGCATTTGAGCGACCCGATGCTTTGGTGCGGGACGTTGAAGAAATTTTGTATAGAGCACGACCATTAACATATAGTTAAACAGTTTATGATTAGGCGGAACTGGTCAATTCTCCACAGCCGAGTCTCGAGTCCACTCTCTAGTTCCGTAAAACCGGCGCAGCCCACAGCCCCTTTTATTAAAGTGTACTTTCTTGGAAATAAGAGACGGAAAAATTAAGTAGAGTAAATATCTAAGAGTCCTAGTATGCTCCCTCTATTATTTGACGGGTACGTTCGCTTAGGATAGAGCTTGATGGCCTCTATTTTCAGTCTCAACATGGTTGGACGAAGAGCCAAGTATCTAGAGATTCTGCATGGTAGTGCTGAACAAGAACAGCTTGGATGACAAATTCTTACCATATGGGCAGACATTCCCGTGGTATTACCAGAGGAGACAGGGCTGAACTCGGATTTCTCAGATGAGTTAGCCCTCGATGGATCACTTGCACGGGCCATCCTTCCTTGTTCAGTCATGCCACAAGATGCTGGTTCAGTCCCGAAGCGAACTAGACTAGGAGTCTAGCGAATCCTTCCTTGAGGCGTAGACAGGACATCCTTGAGCCAGAGTATGCACCTAACATGGCAGTGGTTCTCCAGTACGGAGAAACAAGTCCAGGAGTGTGGCCAGAGCCCTGAGAAGGTTCAACATTTCACAGGACATCCGCGATCCGGCAATGTCTGCCACCGTAATAAAAAGACGAGCTGGTGGGACCGTTTCGCCTGGGTCATCGTTCCAACTACCTTGTAGGATTGCTGGGTTGTCCCTCTATCCCCCAGTCCGTTTTATGTGGCGGTCCTAGCTCATGAAATAAATCTGCTGGTTCAAGAAGGCGTTTCCCACTTGTCTCCTTGTTGATAATTCGCTAGGACCCGACGATGAGCCAGAGCGCCGGAATTTCTTACAGCATTGGTTCGATCTTTTTGGCGTTTGCTTAATTTAGCGATGCCATTTCTTCTTGGCCTTGAGAAACGTGGACATTTACTTCCCTCGTTACTTATTTTCTTTCTTTCAATCTAGGGCGTTGGTGGGATTTTCCAGCATTACCCCCACGCACATCTGTGCACCAACATCACCAACATGATCGATCTCACGCCCGAGGCCCACGAGAACTATGTCGGGTGCGTAGTCACGAGCGTCTTGACGACGTTAATTCTGGCTCTCAGAATTTACTCTAGACTAGACAGCGGCCAGAGGTTGTTGCTCTGCGACTATCTGTGCATTCTATCCTACGCCATCTTCATTGGATACTGTGCTCTGCTATGGAACTGTCAGTGACGATCTCAACACCCCTCATCATGAGGATCACCTCTTCCGCCAGTTATCAATTTTCGTCTTGGGCAATGTCAGCGATTAATGCCGGTGAACTAGATATTTTCCACGTTTCCGAGGTCGGTGCATTCGAAGGCCAATTCACACCTACGAACCACCCCACGGTCAGCGCCAAAGAGACCGGCGATTTTATGAAGGTATAGGGAAACAGGGCTCCTTGCAGAGCATTCACAGTCCGGGGGCTTATATTCACTCTCTAGATGGGGTACATTGCCATGATCCTATTCACGACCATGGTCTCTGTGGTTAAAGTGAGCATCTTGTCGTTTTACTGGACCATCTTTTCCATCGACGCTCTACAAAGACGCATCATCATCGGCACACTGGCTCTTTCGATTGCCTGGTTCATCGGGTTCATATTCACCATCATTTTTCAGTGCAAACCGGTCAGCGCCTTGTGGGAGAAGTGGTTTGAAGTCGGGCACTGCCTGTCGACACCGAAGCTCTTGCTGGCAGTCGAACTGTCCAACTTACTCATCGACGTCGTCATTTTATCCATCCCGGCATTTTTTGTGAACCGACTGCAGTTGGACACTCGGAAGAAGTGGGCGGTGCTGGGCATGTTCTTGATGGGAGCGGCGTAAGTCAGAAAGGTTCGCCACCATGGTTTGATTGAGATGGCTGCTAACGAGAGGAAACCAGCGTCTGCGTGGTGAGCATTGTCAGAATAACACATATTTGGAAGCCGCCTAATGTTGTCGCAAACTGTGAGTCCCCCCTGGCACATTAACCCCTCGCCAAATCGCTAATCTCGCACACCACAGTCGATACCTCCAAGACGATCCTCTGGTCAACGATACAGATGGGCATGGCCATCATTTGCGCATGCCTACCTACTCTGGGTCACCTTATCAAGAGCAGCAAATTGAGCTCCAAGGCTAGAACATGGTACGGTTCTCTACGCGATCGACAGGGAAGCTCGGGATATCAAATCAGCAGCAATCGCAGCAACACCGGTCGGCCATGGGCAGGGGACGGGAACGATCGATTTCACGCAGCGGCAGGTAAAGCCTGGGACAAGCTCCCGAACGATGGTTCAGAGTCGGACCATATCCCTCTGGATCCTCTGCCGCCCAAGCAAATACGAGTTCAGAAGGATATACAAGTGTCGTGATAGGCTTTGCGTCTGCCGCTTCTGTGTCTCGGCTTGCGCTTCTGCAGTTTTTTCTTCATTATAGCACAAACACCCTAATAATTTCACAAGTGATTTGTATCATGGCAGACATTGCGTGAGACCAATAATCGGAGTATTATACCGTGTGGGGAGCAAGGATCCAAGTCCCCGAGCCACATGCTGGTTCTCGATACGGAGTGGACTCGTTATTTCATGGCAAACGCGTGGCATAAGGGAAAACCCAGCGGGTCAAACAGGGCCAAAATGCCCGTCGTCCGGGCTCTCAGGTGAGTGCGGAATCGCGGATTCATTCAACTGAGGAACTTGAGTCCTCTTTTCTCTTGCAACGGGAGTCTAGTACCAATGCGTCTAAGCTTGAAGCAGGGGACAGGTCCCTCCGAGTCAATCCCTCCAATGAATAGCGTTCTCCCCTGACTCGTCGCGATCCCTGTCTAATGAGGCTCTCCACCCTCAACAGTCAGGACGCCGAAACGGGCATTGCCGCATCCTATTCCTGCGGACAAGCCAACCCTAGATTGCAATGGAAGGATGAACTAGCAGGGAATGGCTTTGACTTGTCTAGATACCTTAGTACTTGCAAGGGAACTGTGAGAAGTCCAAGACCCTGATGAAAACGTCCTCCAGTAGGCGCTCTTGCCGCCCATACCAACTTGATAGCCGGCCGATCTAGAGCTTGAAAATACAAGGCTGTAAATACATTGCGGCTAGTGACATAGACTGCATAAAGTTTTCCTTGTCTAAACTGTGTTCGGCGAGGAAATAGCACCGACGTATCTCTCTAACCCCCGGGCCTGAGCTATACCATCCATCTGCATGCATTATCGACGGCCCTCTTATTCCAATACGGGAGCCACTTAATCCTACCATCTGGAACAAGCGGGCACTGACTGGATGCGGTCCCTCACATGGCATTATTGGGCTCGAACTGCTGCAAATGTGGCAGATCGCGGCATCCACTGCCACGTTTAATCAACCATGTCCCATCTTTTCTTTTTGGAGCCGCGTTCCCTCTCTCCCTACTCTCATACTCGTACAACCCCTGCTTCAGGACGCCAAACACTGGAATATATTGAATCGTTCAGCCATGGCGCCTGTTTTTTCTAAGCAGCCGCTGAAGACTGTGGCCAAGGTGGGCTTCCAGCTGGCGACTCCTTTCTACTTCCTCTACCTAGCTCTGCGTATGAGCATCTCCTCCCTTCGCCAAGACTCCCGCTGGTCCATGAAGGAGGCAATCGTCAATGCCTTTTTCCGTGCCAACTTCCACTTGTTGACCGCCACACGGGACCAGCTCGAGGAGCGAACGACGCCCGGAAAGCTCGGTGATCAATATGTCCGCATTGAGCCTGCCGATACCAAGTACCTCAAGGGCGCCCTCACCCCCGGCGCGATCCAGCCAAAGAGCTTGCCTGGTGTCTGGTTCCCTGGTCCACCATCGGGCGATTCGACAGATGAGAAGGTTGTGATCTATTTCCCCGGAGGAGCCTTCGTTGTCGGCTTCGAGGCATCTTTCCTAGGACCAATCGTTGCCGATGGCCTTACAAAGGAACTGGGTGCCACGAGACTGTTGTTTGCTCAGTACCGCCTGGCGCGTGATGAACAATCCCGATTCCCGGCTGCTATTCAAGATGCTGTCACATTCTACTCATATGTTCTCTCCCAAGGTGTAAAGGCCTCCAACATTATCATCTCTGGTGACTCCGCTGGTGGCAATGTGTGCCTCGGGTTACTCCGCTACCTTGAATCCGAGCAGAGTGAGCTACCAAAGCCTTCTGCTGCCCTTGCCTGGTCTCCGTGGGTTTCCGTGCCAACTGATGCCGGAGCTCAGTTCGCCAAGCTGCCAAACGCGGAGAAGGATCTGATCTACCCCGAATTCCTTCAATGGGGCGCCGATTCATACCGACCAGTATCTCAGCCGGACGAGGAGGCCGAGAGTTACCTCGATCCGCTAAAGTACCCCTTCAAACTCACGGTGCCGCTGTTCATCCAAGCTGGAGGTCTGGAGGGATTCCGGGATCAGATCCACCAGTTTGCGGAGAAGATGACCCAGGAGAATAGGGAGGACCTCGTCAGATATCACGAGTCACCACTTGTGGCTCACGACCTTGTCCTCCTCCACGGCCATATTGGAAAGACTGAGCTGAATCAGACAGCTGTGAGAGATGCAAATGAGTTCATCCAGAGTACAAAGTAATGGCCTAGCGGGGTATCTGTATTTACTCTAGATTCGGACTTGTTTTGATGCATAAAGCGCTTTGTGGGTTAGAATGATTGGCTCTTTCACTTACACACTCATCAAGTTTTCCATCGTGGGAAACGGTAATATAAATATTAATACCCCAGCCATCGCTAGATGAATCATTCTGAAGATGTTTCGTTCTGATGATAAATTCTTCAATCCTAAAACCTGACGGATAGTCCATCCAGCTAATCGAAGACATGTGTAAAGATGCTCAAAGAAATACTGTAGTACCAAAGTGGTTCAACCCAACATGATCCATCTAAGCCAAAGGTTTCTGATTCATAAGTTCAGGGTCAGCCTAAGATTTCTTGGAGCTCTAAACATTTTTTTTATTTCCCTAGCATTACCTCTCAACCTCGTAGCATACTCGAAGTATGTATACACATCGTTCTTTCATGGTCATCAAGCTGTGAAGTATAGTGGAGTTTTCTATCACCATCTCCAGGAAACTATGTGTATTTCTAAACTATTTTGTTACCCTGGTTTGAAACTTATACTGGGATAGATATTTCTGATATATCCCAGTTACCAGCAGCCAGCTGCGGCTTTGGTAATCCCTACTTCAATTATGTTGCTTGAAGTACTTCCTTGGCTTGCTCTCTTTAGATATCAGGACAATAAATCGGAGCCCGATTGTTCTCCATGCTATTCGCTCTAAATAGCTATGAATTTGAGCTGACGAATCGTGCAGGGTTTTGGATTTAATAATCTCGAACACAAAACCAACTACCTCACTCTTTGACTCCTGGCTCTTATTCCATTTAATTGCCCTTAACATAAGTGCTTTGCTCTAGTATCTACATACGGTGTAGGATGACATTTGTTCTTCCCTAACATCATGAAGGATAGGCGAGCGTTGATGAGCCTAAAATTTTGAAATCTACGAAGTTGGATTACTTCTCAGATAGGATAAGCCCATGCCTCTTTACATACTAACGTTCTCTAGAGTTGAAATACACTGACTGCAAAAATCTCAGCACAGCAATGTACTGTCGCATACTGTAAAACAATTTGAAGGGACGGGAAGAGCAAAAAGAAATCTACAACAGCCGGTATTCACTGGTCGTCACCGACCCAACTACTAATCGGCCCCTTGTGAGCTTAACGTGCGGAGAGCAAACGGGATCCAGTGCTGCCTCACAGGTATGATCGTAGATGACAGTAGGTGAGAGTATGTGGCTTATATAGGTATGTTTTCTCGGCAGATCGGCTCCTCGATCTCCATTCCATATAGATCCTACAGTCCATCCCGCTGAATGATTACATAAATTCTTCATCCGTTTATTTAAATCCCTTTTCCAGATTACCTCTATATAACATTAATATATTAATCCTAGAATTGCTTTATTCAATGACTTATCCGGGTTGGAGAGTGTATAGAGATTTGATCCATTATTAATACAAACATCAACCACACCCTTATTCTCATATATTGAGTTGGGGTTATGTTCTATAGCCAGATCTTTATGTACCTTATAAACAGATTCCATAAGTCAAAAACTGGTATGCGTTTCACTTCCTTCACTGTGTTCTTTCAGAAACTCGTCCCTGAAATCGGTGTCTTTCTAAGCTGTTTACCTAACGGGTTGCAAATGTGAGCTCTGCATATTGCATGAACTACCAGATTCAAAAAGATTCCATCTCTAGAACCAAAGGCACTTTTGCTTTAGGCATCATGAGGCAACGTCTCTTTACCCGCCTCTAGCAGATCTACATCGCTTGGTACACTTATGATGTGGTTTGGGTCGCTCTTTCCTGAGCATAGTATTTCGTTGAATAATGGAACTTCATCTGTTTTGAGATCCTTAATAATTGCCATTCGCACACACATCTACAATTCGCTGTGATGAAGTCTCAACCTTTAGCTAAACACGGACCCTCCCTTGATGATGATGATATCTTGTGCGTCGATGTATCACGGCAAAAGACACGCATCTAACTAGAGCTAAAAGCTAGGTTAAATTAAAACATAGGAAGTAGGTAGTATGAAGTTGGTTAATAATATATTACTGTGCCTCTAGCGGGTCCATGTCTATCTAGGTACTCAAACAAGCCTCATTTTTGCGCTTCTACTCAAGGTACACCGATTCGTCTCCATCTCGTTTTTTCGTACGGCGGGCTCGACTAACTCCCTTTTGCAATAAGAAAGCAAAATATATGAAACAACCTGATGATCACGTCCGAGAACCATTCCGGTGAAGACTTTTGGAACTTTAATATACATGATATAGATATACATGATGTAGATATATTCATTCATTATGACGACTCGTCGAGGTTTGAAACCTCAGCCAAGACATCGAGGAGAATCAAACGCTCTCTCCCATGTGGGTCGCCGGCTTTAATAGCTCTCTCTATTTTGGCTCTGGTATGTTTGCGAAAAGACGTCATTAAGCCAATGAGAGATGCGTACCATTCCTGATTTCGGGCAACAAATTACTTCCACATTCAATTATCCGCGGAGCCGGATAACTTTCGACAACAGCGGAAAAGCATCAACGTAATCCCTCAACATCGCCTCTGAGAACTACATCATCAACTGTTCCAAAATTGATGCACATCCTGGACTCGAAAATGCCTGTTCAAAAATATCCGCTATCACCACCCAGCCTCGATGAGCTGGCCCAGACCTTGAGCGCGCCACTTGCAGCCAACTATGAGGAGTCGGCAGTGAGTGTCGTTGACTGCCCCGATCTTCGGCAGGCGCCCTTCCATCTCGCTTCCCAGGGTTTATCGGGAGATGAGAAGATTGCGGATGTCGGTGGCCAGCCGAATCTTTTCCCCCAGCCTAATCTCGAGAGCAAGTGGTCAATGGTCAGCATCGGCACAGCTATAGACATGAGCGCCGATAAAGGATCTCTCATTGGGGCTGGGGCGGGCCCATTTCACATCCTGGGACAAAATTCCGAGCTGGCGCCAAATCTAAGCTGGAAGGACGGCACCGTCACTAATGAGTCTCGCTTCATCAAGATCGACGGGGCCACCAACGCTGTTGTCGTCGACAAGAGTCCATCCGTGGACTGCGGACTGATGGTGAATCTGTTCGGATCCCTGGGCGAGCCAGGCCCGGTACTCAAAATCACCGCGCGGAAGAGAAAAGGTCAGGAGAAGAGTTTCTCGGAATGCATCAGAAAGGGCCTGCATGCTGCCTACGGCGACTTGCGGACGGTCAGTCTCGGGGGCGTCTTTGTCGTCAAGTCAGGGAAAGCCCTCTACCACGTAATGCCGGACTTCCCCTCTCAGCCCTTCAATGGGCGGAAAGACGTAGACAATTGGCTCACATTCCATGATTTCAATGGACCCATCGTCTGTCTCTCCGTCCTACATTCAGCCGACCCTGGCAATGAGATGGGGCTGCGGATAGAGCATACGCATTGCTTCTCTGCGACAGGAGAGAACTCTGGGGGTCACTATCATTATGATCTTGATGTCACGGCAGAAACAGTCGAGTACGAGGCGTACTTTAACACTGCCAAGGTGATCTATCGAATTGACAGAGCCACTGCGGCCTAGTACACCAGGCAGGGTCTACATGCTCGAAGACATTAGTGGTAAGATCTGCTATCCCTGGCAAAACACTGTGCCGGATCATCGTACATCCCATTGACGACTTTGAGCTAGACCCGTCAACCCCAGTCCTATGTCATATGCTTCCCGGGGCAAGGGCAACAACAGGGAAGGGGTCGTCAGGATGATATCTTCATGTGACTCAGCGGGCCGTGGAGTTAGTGCAGTGTCCAAGGTCATTACCGCAGCTAATATGCTTCATCTTCTATAAAGATTTAGATTGTACCCATAAAACATGGTTTCAGGTCGAAAATGTGATATCGTCGAGTGGGTGTTGGTTGAAACACTGTGTGATTCCTCGGAGAAGTAGATGGAAGACCCAGACCGATATGGTTGCCGCTCACGCCACAGTCGATTCTTTAACGTGGGAGACATTTCTTCATGACGGCAAAAAGCGAGATAAAAACAATCTTACAAAGAAACAAACACGAATCAGCATTAAGGCATATGCCAACACCCAGGTCTAGCGCGACCCAGAACGATGGTTGACCCTTGCCCTTGGCCTCTACGCTTCCAAATTAAGTAGACTAGACCTCCCCTCCCGCTCTTTAGCACGCTCACGTTACCCGTAGTCAGGCTATAATAGAGGAGATGCGACGATTTTGGTGTGAAGGAAGGGCTTGCCACACCACCCGAGCAGGAACAAATATCCGGGGAGCGGGCGTTCTGGAAATGGCATTTCGGGCTGAGCGAACTATGCAATTTGACACAATATGTATCTTTACGACAGCCGGAGTTGGCGCAAGGTAAGCCAGGGGTAGGTTGGGGCCATGTCGCCGCATACTTGAGAAAATCAACGTGGCAAACAAGCATCCTGAAGGAGCTATTTGCGAACCATTTCATCTCATCGTTTACGCGCGTGCTGGGGAAGAACAGCACCGCGGAGAAAGAAAAACTGATCTGATGGAGAGTGGAACAGGATTCTCGCTTCCCTGAAACGCAGTTTGCTGGAGAAGTCCGGGTGTTTGCCGGCCGCCAAGACGTTGAGAACTGGTTAGTTGGCCAATTGGCCATCAATCCATGGCAGAGTGCAAGTGGAATCAAATGGTAATTAGTCGGAACAGAGCCTTGGAAGCTGTCGGGTTCGTCGGAACAGCAGCACGGCCAATCACCACCTGGACTCGGCCGGCTGGGAGTCGGACCTCCAAGCAAAATTTGCTGCGTAAGGCTTATAAAGATGACATTCCAGGGCATGGAAAACGGCCTGGCCCCTGGTTGGAGAACGCATAGCGATCCGTGATAAGATTTTGTCACCATCAACATCGGGGCCGGTTTGGGGCTGTCACAGTTGCATGAATTGACGTGACAGGGGGCCGACAGGGAAATCACCTGACGACAGGGGCCTGACGAGAAAACATTGGACGGAGAAAATCTCAGCTTCTGCCCCAAGAGGATGTGTTGGGCGGAGGAGAGAAATTTTCTCTATCAGCAGAGGCATCCTTAGCTGCATGTGAACGGCGCTGTCCCTGCATTAGCACGGGTAAGCCATACATATGGGATGCAGCAGCATGCAGTCTACGAGAAGAGACGAACAGAAGGGACTATGCTCATACAGGAAAGCTGCCTGCGAACGCCGGTGTAGGAGCGGTAGCGGAATTCTTGCCGTTCATCATCCTTAGATCCCGTCCCATCCCGTACTTTATCTTGTCGACATCTGGATAGAACTGCGCTGTGAAATGGAGCCAATTGAAGAAAAGAGATACGTGTAATGTGTCAACTGCGTATAATCAAAGAGCCACATGCGAGCAAGCCTGGATATCCGAGGGAGTGGAAGGCCGGGAGCGAATGGAGAGGCGCAAAATAGAGCCTCGACGAGCCGGTTTCTGGAGTCTGGCCCTTGGATGGCGGGATGAGATCAGGGTTCCTCCCGGCCCACACGGCTGAGAGTCCAGGAGGCCCCGGGTTCGGACTTGAATGTCGACCCAGAAGCTGAGCAAGCTCGAACCACTCACTTACATCTGCCCGTTGACTTCTGCCATGGCCTCGCAACGCGATTTGTCCCGGTTTCTCGGGTTTGGACTGTTCTCGATCGCACCTGGGCCGACCCCCAGCTCGCCGCCTCCAGCATTAGAGTACATAACGTCTAAGTGTCCTTGCATATCGAGCCTCGGACTCGCTCATCTTTATGCCGCAAGACCAGCATCTCTCACCGCAAGGGCCACATAAGTATATTCGCCTTCTATTCCTAGTTCCGGGGTTTTATAACCTTCATCTGGTGGTTCTGGGCAAAAGAAGCGAGGATTCCATCATATCCTTTATGTGTTGTCAACAGCGAGCCCGGATTACTCCCTTGCTTGGAACCTGAACAACAAAAATTACATACCAGACATCTCACTTTCATACCTTATCTTCTTTCACTGCCAACTTCCTGCAACCCACATACCTCTGAGTTAAGTAATTATGCAAGACTTTGAAACAAAGACCATCGTCGTGCTCGGCGCGGGGTGGGCCGGCATCACCCTCACCCACCAGCTCCTCAAGCACGTCCTCCCCAAGGTCCCTGAGCTGAGGGTCGTCCTCGTATCCCCAAACACCCATTTCTTCTGGAACATTGCCGCCCCGCGCGGCATCATCCCAAACACCCTCACCGACGACGAGCTCTTCGTCCCCATCGCCCCGGCCTTCGCCAAGTACCCGCCCACCGCCTTCGAGTTCGTCCTCGCGACCGCCGAGGCCATCGAGCCCCAGTCCAACACCGTCGTCGTCCGCCTGGGCGACTGCGAGGCCGCCAAGCTTAGCGAAGGCGAGGACCTGAGGGAGATCGCCTACGACCAGCTGGTCGTCGCCGTCGGGTCCCGCGTCTTCCACAACCTGCCCCTCAAGGCGGTAGGGAACCACGCCGAGACCCTGGCGGCACTCCACGATCTGCAGGCCAAGGTCGCCTCGGCCAGGTCCATCGTCGTCGGCGGAGCGGGGCCCACCGCTGTCGAGGTGGCCGGGGAGCTCGCCTCTCACTACGGGCGGTCCAAGGAGATCACCCTGGTCGCGAACAGCGACCTGGTGCTGGCTGATCAGACGCATAACGTGCGCGTGACCGCCGAGAAGGACCTGCTCAAACTCGGGGTGAAGATCATCCATCACAACCGGGCTGAGAAGAGCGAAGATGGGGATAAGAGAGCGATCCATCTCTCTAGAGGTGGCACCATCTATGCAGACTTGTTCCTCCCACTGTACGGCGTCGTCGTGAACAATGCCTGCATCCCCCAGGAGTTTCTGGACTGGGAAGGCAACCTAAAGCTCGACCAGACCCTCCGCGTGCAGGGGACACAGAACATCTGGGGGATCGGCGACGTCGGAAACGTAGAGGTGAAGCTCCTCGTTGCTCTGGAGGGCCAGACCGGGCACCTCATCAACGCTCTCGAGGCCGTCCTGACTGGCGTGGGATCTTCAATGGAAGTATACCACCCGACCAACAAGACCATCATCTTCTTCTGCTTTGGCCGGTGGCGTGCGTCAGGCCAGATCGGCAACTGGAAGATTCCCGGCTTCTTCGTCAGCATGTTCAAGGGGCGGCGACTGTTTGTTGACAATGCGCAGAGTTACGTGAACGGGAAGACCAGGCAGCCTGCTGCTTGAACATGCGATCTCTGAATGAAGTTCTCTCTCTTGTCACCCTTCCTCCCTTTGTTTCCCTTTTTCCTCTGGCGTTTTGGTATGCAAGCATTTGGTATTTCCGAGATATCCTAGAGTACGCAGTTCAAGCTGTGTGCATGTTTGACTCGCAGTCAGTTTGATGAATTATATACCCACGCACGAATTCTCTTCATTTTCATCTCTCTTACCTCACGGTCTGTGTCTTGGATGCTAAGTCACCAAGTGCTACAGACCATTTCCGTTCTTCGTGCGATCTAGTTCGTCTAGTTCTGCGAGAGTTAATTGTCCATTGCTACTTTTCACTTGATATGAATATTAAAATAAGCGCCCAGAATGTATATTGGCAGCTATCAGCATTTCTATTAAATAATTAAAGATTAAAGAGAACCATCTTTGACTATTCAATTTGTCTAATCTTTCTTCTAAGATTTATCTCCCTCCTTCTCATCGTCGATGACCTTTTCCTCCGTCACCGTCATGCCAGACGACTTCGGCCCCTTGCCGAGCATGCCCTTGAACACGCGAACCATGCTATGCCGCCCCTCCCAGAGGGGGAAGAGACCAACGGCGATGGAGCTCCCGAACAGCCAGATGATGCCCACCGTGACCCAGCCGGTGAAGAAGGGCTTCGAGAAGACGTAGGCCGAGCCGTACATGGGCATCGGCCAGAGGACCAGGAACGCCAGGGTCATGCACACGGTCATGATCTTGGCCACCTTGGAGGCCTTGTTGAGCTTCGCCTTGTCCTCCTCGGGGGCCACGATGACGAATCCAGCAACCGGTCCGTTCTCTGAATCTTCAATGACCATGTCCGATGAGTCGGCGTCGTCGCCTTGCTTGATAGCAGCCATTGACGCCCAGTCGTAGTTGTCGGCGCCAAAGACGAAGGTCAGTACAGGGACGAGGATGACGGGGCTGAGCAGGGCGACGACGTTTCCAGCCAACATTGGGTTGTTGGACCCGAGTGTCTCGACCGTGAGAACGCCATCGTACTCCTTGGCGCAGGTGACAGTCCAGGCAATGAGGGCAAAGATGAGTCCCAGGACCGGGGAGACGGCAGCGGCGATCCAGTTCTGGCGCGACCAGAGAAGCGTGAGGGCGGCTGGGATGACGGCCGCGGAGATCATGACGCCCATCCACACGTAGAGCCATCCCATGCTGATGCCGGCGTAGAACAGCCCGACACTGAATCCAGCCATAATGACACCGTACAGAATAACGGAAGAGTGAGACATGGCGATCAGACGCTGGCCTGACGCCTGGGGGTTAACATAGGTCCTAAAATACAAGTTAGTTTGGATTGGCCGTTAATAGAGATCCAGAGGTAAAGCATACTTGTAAATATCATAGGTGAAGATGGAAGACACAGCAATAAGCTGAGCAGAGGCGGCCGAGGTCACGGCCATGAAGATCATGATCAGGGTGCAGACGGCGCCAGACTTGCCGAGCAGGCCAACCGCCGCGTACGGCAGCACAAGACCGGCAGACACATCGGCCGCGTTCATGCGGTCGGGGTAGGTCGGGAAGGACGGGCTGCTCTCGAGAGCCAGGGCGCTCAGTCCCATGGTAGTGGCGCACAACCAGGGAATTGCGAACCAGGAGAGGCCTCCGATGATGTACCCAGGCAGGGCTGCAACTGGGTGTGCTGCGATGGCCTTGTTGTAGTAGCCTGGAGTACCAGTAGTCAGCAACCCCGGATGCTTCTTGATAAGTTTAGGGACGGAGATGGCCACACGTACCGTTGTCCATGAACACTGTACCGAAGTTGCCGACGATGTTGATGACGAAGAAGATGATGCCCTCTCTGGACCTCATGGTGAGGTATGATCCCTCCGCGTTGCCATCAACAGGGTGCGAGGCAGCGGCTTCCACGAGCCTGTCGTACACTTCGGAGGGGGAGCCCAATTCAGTGCCAGTGGCGTACGCGGTGAGTGCAAAGATGAGGATGATGACGAGGATGATGACGGTGTGAACCTAGAGCCCGAGCAAGTTAGTCACGGCCAGCCATTGCATGCGGTCAAGATGAACGGTTGGTATTACGTACATAGTCAGTGAGGAACGTCGCCTTGATTCTGACAGAGGGTGTTATATTAGTCAAGTCTTGAGAAGACACACTCGGTCACAGAAGACTTACCCTCCGAACATGGTGTAAATAACAACGCCGAGAGGTAGGAGGAAACAAGCAGCGGCAGTGTGCATGCCCGTGAGAGATGTTACAACAGCGGAACCACCTGTCAGCAGCATAGCGGTGACCAAAATGTTGGTGAACAGTCCAAAGCAGATGTATACGCAATGAGTGACACGGCCTGTTATTCTCGGGGGTCAGTGCCACGTGGAAGGTAACAGCTCACATGGGCTAGATATGAAGTAGAGTCTGAGGGCAGATTTACATACCGTAGCGAGCGCGGATAACTTCAAGGAAGGTGTGCGCGTTGGGTGCTCGTCTCTTGAGCTCGATTGCCAGAGTTGCGAAGAGAATGATCTGGACAGTGGCTCCGGAAGCGTACTGTGCAAGCGATTAGTTATTGTGTCTCCCACGTACACACACATATCATCAACATGATATCAATCATGAGGATAGCTTGTGATGGGGTGGAGGGAAATTTCTCACCCAGAATGGTCCAGATACACCATATCTGTATGCCACTCCAGAAGACTGGAGGAGAGTCGCGGCCCATGTCCAACTGGACACCACAGCAGAAGCAACCAGACCTGACTTGACAGTTCTACCAGCCGTGTTGAACATCTCCGAGGTTTGCTTCTCATTGTTGTACCTGTGAGTATGAGAGCAAGATGTGAGCCAAAGCATAACCCAGTATCCAATGGGCTCAATCAGCCTACCGTTTCAAAACCCAGGTCGTGGCTATCATGCCCAGAGCGAAGAGGAACCCGAGACCAACAACGATGCCATAGCCATAGGCCTGGCTCAGAGGGGGTGCGATGGCGCCCGAGGACGCTCCGCCTCCGCCTGCCATGTCTTTGTCGATGAGTGCGTGAGAAGGTGTGGACGTGGAAATCAGGCAATTCCTTGGCCAAGCTTGGGACTGGGTTCAGATATGCTCAATAGTATTCAATGTATGTTCTATCACCCTTTGGAACTTTCGAATGAGATGATCTGCAATGCGAGGCGATCTCAAACTATATAATAATTCATGCTCATGATAACCACCCCCATCATATCACCTCCCCGCCCTTTTCGGCCGCCAGATCTCCGTACGTGCAGCGATGTCATCTCTCGGGGGAGAGGGGTTTGTTAGCAGAGTTTCGAAGATGGTGAGCTTACTGGTTGATAAGGCTCGTCGAATTGATTCGGCATCTGCTGCAAGGCCCAGAGGGTAAACTCTATCGAGGTAGCATCCGGTCTGGGGATGGCTGAGGTGAATGATAGGGAAATCCCGGCACACACCTCGCCCGGGGGAGAGGGCGCTGTGCAGTTCGTGATTCGTCGACGATCACAGCTGGAACTGGGAGGGCGCGAGATAAGGAGGCAGGTTTCTGTCATAACCTTTACTGTCATCAGCAGCGTTGCAATCAAACGGGTGGGGTTGGCTGATAAGGATCCGGGGTCGCGCTGATAAGGCCATGCTCCAGACGGAGACAAGGCAATTCATTAATCATCGCGGGTCTTTATCAGGAGCCAAGCAGATCCTGCTCCCCACGGGGGCGTCGAGGGCAAGGCCTGGGTGGCTGCTTCGGCAGATGAGGCGTTGATTGCGGGACATCCCTCGTCAGGGCTGAGAATGGCTTATGTACGTCCATCTCCCACGAGTGTGTGTCATCCCACCTGTCCTATCTATCTAGAATTCAGCCTCTAATGCACTTTGGAAGACACTGGTGCATTAGTGTTCACTTATCAGTGAGATCCGGTCCTCCAATGCCGCCAATGCCTCTTCGATGATGATCATGGGCCAGGCAAAAGGTCGAGTCTTCGTCAATTACAGAATCATCCATTTGGAGGATGAGTGGAAACTGGCGATTGATTTCTGAGCCGTTCAAGCGGCAGGACAGCATGATATGCGCTTTCATTCACTGCTCACCAAGTGCAAATCGTAATTGGTTTGCATTGGGTATAGACAAACGCCAGGGAGCTTATCTAGCTGTGTCTCGGCAAACTTGTCCCAGAGAGCTGATGCAGTAGCTTATCCAAACAATTACTAAACCCCCAAATACATCATCCGTGTGGGAGGGGAAGATGGCATGTACGCCATTACAACTAAAGTGGTGCGCTCTAACACTCCGTATCGCTGATTTGAATACGGAGCAAAATAGTAAACTCGACAGCAAGGTAATCAGAGTTCAACCACGCTGTCTTGATGTAGTTGTATCAGATAACCCTAACTTAAGGCACCAAAATCAACTTCTTTAGAAATGGTCGACCTTCTGCATGGGGATCACCGCCTTGTCGTCGACCTGTATGCGTAAGCAGGCTCTGCGACGGTCAGCAAAGCAAGTCAATCATCTGTGACAGGAGAGCCTTCATATCTTTGTAAGTATCTATGTGCCATTCGTCGCGATATTCTCATGTGAGCCCCGGGCTAGCAGGTCTTTCACTGCCAGACTCCAGAGCGTGCGGATGCCAAATGAGGGCAAATACCAGTTCATCGCGCAATCTTCTCTCGTTGTTTCGATCCGAAAACAAAACCCATACATACTTTAATATGACATCTCAAATCCCAAGCAAAATCAGCTTCCAGCCGTCCGTTTGCTACAAAGTGACCGCCATTTATGCTCATGCACTCCCAACTCGACATCTTGCATCTTTATGATCAGTTCATATGCAGGTGAATCAGACATCTTAGAATTGATATACACGCTCCAAGATCTATTGACACATTTACCATCAATCAAGAGGATCAAATTAGACTCAATCTTTACCGTAGATGTGACTGTAAAAGAAGTTCAACCCCCAGTATGAAGACAGACCAAGACGACAGACCATCTCCAATCCCTCATTTCCCTCGGGCACGGCGACTCAGACATGAAAAGTTCAAAGAGGTTCCCCTGGTGCTTCACCACACCGCACTGCTCCAGTGCCGTTCCTCCAAGTAAAGGGCTTGCAGAGTTCCAACCACCAGCACCGGAGGGGACAGCCGCCTATTTCTGCCCGAGTCCTGTCCCCTTTAATTGCAAAATAATTGAATGCATCATTCGGCGATGGCACGCTTACCGTGGGAAACAATTCGGGGGTCGATACAGGAAAGGCTCTCCATCCTCCCCAGAGACGATCACGATAGGCTATCACTACAACTATCCAATCTCACTCGGGTCTTCGCCCAGGTCTTCGCCCCTGCCAGACTACAAAGATGCTTCGTCACAGGTCCCTGCCAAACATGACCACGGCCCTCCGGAACATTCCCCCGACATATCTGAAGAAAAGCTGTGGTGTTCGTCATCAACCTACGACAGTGACCGAGCATCGGGCACGGGCAAACTGACCAAGGAGGTGCAAGGAGGGTCGGCCACGACACTGCCCGCCACCACTGCGCCGGGCAACGAGGCGAATCCCAGAATACCATCGTTAGTCATAGCGATTAGAGAGCGGTCCAAGGCTCTCTCCAGGATCCTTGTCAAGGAACAAGCTACAGATGAGCGCGAGGAATACTGCGCGCATATTAAAGAGGCTACGGACTGCTACATTTCTACAGTGGAGGACATCCTTGAACATGCCAGGAGGGCAGAGAAGAGTCAATGGAAGGATCTGGAGGAGTAACTTCGCAGCTTAGGTCGAGATCTTTACGTCATTCCCAAGGATTGAATAGCTCCGGTATTCGGGGTTGGATCTACGGTTTAATATGTAAGAGTGTCACTGGCTTGGACGCGGTAACGGGAACCACATCTAGGATCGGGAACGGAAGAAGGCAATGGAAAAGAGGAGAAAGTAAAGGGCAAGCTCGCCAAAAATCCAGCAGTGCTAGAGCGCAATCACTTGATAGAATTGACAACAGTTTGTGCTTTGTTTCAGCGCCTCTGTGTCATCATGTGCTTCCTCCCCTTGCCAATAAAAGGTCACGATGGGTGCAACGCATTTCCGCCCTCGGGCTTCTCAGGCACGGGGGAGGAAAAAAACTAGGCGTATTTCGTGATGCCGTGGCCTAGCACAGTTCTATAGATGGTGAAATGACGGGATTTAAGACTGAGCTGGCACCCTGGGTGGGCTGGCTCGCAGGCAGTTCGCACTCCCTCGGCGAGAGGCTGAGCTTGTACGCCAGCAACAACGGAGGCATACAATCATCATGACCTTGATCAAACAACTGGAATTATGATACAGAACGAGTTTGCCCCAGCAATATGGATGTGAGACCAAACCTGGTCATTATATCCAAGTTCTGTGGACCGTCCCATTCATCAGCACCAAACGACAACATCAAGATCCAGTATATATTAGGCGCGAGCAAGCGATTCTCTACAAACCTCATTGAACCCGCCAGAAAACAAGAAAGAATATAACGATCGGCATAAATATGTGCTAAGCTCAAGGTCAACATGAAATGGCGCCCCTGGGTATCAGACAATCTCAAGGAGATGGCCGAGCACACGATCCCACCGACACTGCCTCCTCGATCATCAACCCTCATCCTCACGACGCCGCACCTATTGGAACTTCTCTGAGAAGCAACCTTTCTGATAATACAAAGGTGCGAATCGATCCCTCGGATAGAACCACGAGTGTTCATCTGAGTAGACGCGGTTCCGACGAAGGCACCATCATTGGGATTGTCGTTGCTGTCGTCGTCCTGCTGGTTTTGATCTTCATTCTTGCCATCCACTTTAGATACCAAAAGGGGGGGCAAAAGGCTGACAAGTCCAAGAAGGTTGAAAAGGAGAAGGAGAAGGAGAAGAAAAAGAAAAAGAAGGAGAAGGAGAAGAAAGAAAAGGAGGAGGAGGAACGACTGGAGGAGGAGAAGGCGAAGAGGAAGAAGAAGCGAAGGGAGAGGCGAAAGGAAACCGAGGAGAAACTGGCAAAGTTGGAAAGACACCAATGGAGGGAGAAAGAAAGAAAACGGATGAAAATGCGATATTCAGGAGACATGCATATGTTTGGCGGTCCTTTTTCGCAGCCCATGATGGTGCCTGTTGATGGCCAGGGGCATCCCCATCCATACAATGTCCCCACTGCGATGGATGCGCCCCAGGATCTGCCCCCAGACGCAATCTATTATCCTGATATCAACTACCATCCCCTGCCTGCTTCTCTGTTTAGATTCTGCCATGGGGTACCTCCTGGAGGCTCGCCAAGGCCTCCCGAGAGCCCTATTTGCACAGATTGCAGTGGGAGTTCGAACTCCACAGAAGATGGCTCATAATGTTTCTATGCATGATGTTCCGGAACCGGAGACAGTCAGGATGAAGAAATGGGCACAATTACTTGAAAGAATTGTATCAAGAAAGGTCATGGTCAAGATGGGCGATTAGGTGAAAATATAGACAGAAAAATCCAGATGTGAGACCCATTTTCCTTCCTAGACGGAACCTGTTTCCCTTGGATTGACTCCCAACTCCAAACTACAAGATACATCGCTTCCATAATACAGAGTCAAAACCCCCAAAGGTGGGAACTAAGAAGAAAGTAACTTGTGACAGAGACGTTAGCAAGGCTGACAAGCACAAAGAGCATGGAAAGACGTACGGTAATAGCACAATTTTCACACCTTACGGGACGGTTTTCAGCCCTCTGGTGGCGGATCTGCGGCTGGCGGATCTGCAGCTGCCGCTTCTGCTGCAGGTGGTGCTTCAGCAGCTCCTCCATCGGAATCTTTTGAGCTTCCAGAACTTCGAGAGCTTCCTTTGGAGCTCTTGCCGCTACGATGATGATGATGATGATGATGGTGATGATGTTTACGGTGCCGTTTTCTGTGGGAAAGACGAATCGTATAGCGATACATGAAACAGAAAATACAGACACCGATGAGGAAAAAGGCGATGACAAGACCTACTATGAGGCCTGTCCGTATGTTCGCATTCTTGGTGCCATCTTCAGAGAACTGACGGCGCTTGACGGCGCTTTGTATGGAAGCATCCTCGTGCAGAAAGTGGCGTTCATGAATCTGCTTCTGGCTTTGGTCTCGCTTCCCCGGATCAAGACGCTTATACGGCGCCAACGACCGGAGAGGTGGCAGGGACAGAGGGATATACATCCACGCTGCTAGATGAGATGTGCGCCTTATCTAGTAGCAGGATGGAGCCGTAGACAGTGTTACTCCGTCGGAACGACAGGCGCTGCAGACGCAGGGGTCACAGGGAAGTGCAGGGAATGGCAAGAGACAAACAAGCACATGTTGCTGTCATCTTTCCACAGGACGTGGAACAAACCAGTGTAGTCCGGCACAGGAGAGGAACTGAGTGGTGCTATTTATCAGGCAACCGAGGGCGCATACACTCAATCCATCAGGGTCCGTCCGGGTCCTTGATGGGATGATGTGGGACATGATGGGAGGGTTAGTGCATCAACCTGCATACGTCCATCGTGGCGAGACTGTAAGACATGCACGCCTGGGCTTTCATTGCCATGCTTTGGCGTATCACAGTCGAGGCGCACCTTTGGATGGTGGGTTTGAAGAGCCCAATGGCACCGTTGCGGGGTGGCTGGTCCGTCAACGGCTTCCAATCGATTAAATCGAGGCTCGAGTTGGAGGGGACGAGCCTACAGCTGTGCATATGTACTCTTTGAAAATCACTTGATAGAGCACACAGAGAGTGTAGCCCATGCTCTCTCCATCAACCCAATACCTTGGTCAAAAATTGCTGATAACAAGACCGGCGATTCATGGAAACAACGTCCTAAAACAGGCTATCAGAGGATATCTGGACGCTGGGGGGCAAAGCGGTGCCACAAGAGTTGAGGTAAATAGAAGAAAATAAGAAGCCGCAGAGCGAAGCTCGGGGGCGCTACCAAAGTGCCTCAGAGTCCGGGGTTGGTCAATGAAGGGGGGTGTCGCTCGAGAAGGCGTCCTGCGTGCTGATGCCATCCAACCACGATGCAGGAATGGGAGAGGGCGAGAGTCGAGATGGTGGTGGATGGGCGGCCCAGCTGCAGCCAACGTTTTCGAGTTCGGCGCCTGCAACCCTCACTGGTGTAGCGCAGCGAAATCAATCACGGAAGCTGACCCATGCAATGCACACAATAGCTCTGCATCGGGTGACCAGAACCAACATATGGGTGTCGGACAACGCATTGCGCCCAAAAAGTCGGGGACCACACGCGGGCCGTTGGTTCTCGCCTGTTGGACCCCGCCCCTCCAACCAGCCTCGATTTCGTCCATCCATGATGCACCCAGCCATCCATTTTGCTGCCGGCTTCGCTGGCCACGATGGTAGGCTGGCTGATGTCCGAAGGAGAGCCAGCTTTCAGCGCGATGCGGCCGCAGCATGGCTCCTCAGCGGAGGAGGGCCTCGTTGGGTACCAATGGCCTTGTCGCAAGCCTGCGCATGGTTCGCGGGCGGCTTGTCCTTTGTCCTTGGCGACCGGGTGGATGGAACCATTGGCATGTAGATAGAACAGGGCGGAATGCGCGAGTTCGTTGGATGGCGGAAGAGGCGAGGAGCGACGAGTGTCTGTCTGGTGGTGGCCGCGATGCAGCGACGTGCAGCGGGGAAAGAGGAAACTACTTCCCAAGTGCCTGCCTCCTGCCCGATGTAAAGACCAGACCGGCGCAACAGCTTCCACGGCGGCACGTGCCGCGAGTTCAGCACCTCTACCAAGCCCATGTCATCTATGCGACGATCATGTCGAATGCGCCGACTGGAACGAGCTGCGCTTGATGGGCCAAACCAGGCAGATGACTCCTTTACACTTATCAGTTCTATACTCGGCACGCGCTTTGGGTCTCATCAGGCACCATCGCTGCGGCATTGCCTATCTATCAAGGTTCTCTCCGGCAGCTGGTGCGAGAGAACCCAATGCAGCCAGCGCATGTATTTGCGCAATCTAGACCAATTCTTCGACAATCAAACGTTCATCTGCCCCTCCCATTCCATGCCGTGCCAGGCCAACGACAACCGTCAGAATCCCGCGCTTACGGAAGAGCAGCTACACGCATGCTGACAGCCGCCCGGAGCCCTACCATAGATCTAGATGCTTCCAAAGAAAGCTTCACAAAGGACCATACTGCGTAACACACGGAAAACAACCCTTCAAGGTCATCAAGGCGTTTGTATTGTTTTTGATAATCGTCTGCTGAAGTTTCCATGGAGATTCGTATATCAGCTGCCGCAAGTGTCGCATCAGGGACAAGGTTAGGAGTGATGCCTCCTAAACGTGACTTAACACTGACAGTGATTCACTCGGGTATCAGAAATGCGCTGAACGGTCCCAATCACTCTCTTCACGTCCTCATTTGCCTCTAATGGCTTCCATTCTAGGCTCCTGAGCGCCTGTTGAGCCTGGAGAAGGAGGCCGATAGCGTTGATGCCCATGTGCAAATGAGCGCCATGCGCTGGTTTTTCACTTGACGTCAAATCGACCCAGATAAGTCCCGTCTCTCCGACTCTGACAGCAAGAGGCGACCCTGTATCACCACATATCATAGTATCACATTACACCGCAGTCGCGTTATCGAGCAGATAGCCCGAGCCCAACGTCCCCATGGTCTCCTCGTCACTCGGGGGAGCGATGACAGCCTCTACATCCCAGTAGTCCTTTCCATAGAAGAGGGTAAGAGTCCAGTTTCATGCATCTGCAGTTGGGCAAGTATCCAAATGACCACAAACAACGAGACGTTTTCCATGCCTCTCGATCGCGCTATTGTAGCCACCTTGGTAAGTTCCATGGCTGTCTGTCTCATGCTTCTCAGGGACACTTCGATGTGAGCTCTGGGATCAAATTAACTACAACAGGGGCCGCATCAATGACATTGTTGTGTGTCCATCATTGCGTTGCAACGATCAAGTGCGGCTCATCTGCTTTGACATGGACACGGAAACAGTGTCAGTTGCCATGCTATCGGTACTCGGCTTCCAGAGACACGGAGACAAAAAGCAGTTGCCTTATTGTCGCCCGTGATCTGCAACACCTGTGCCGAATTCGGAAACGGATATTAGCATGATTGGTTTCCTCAAATGTCCTTCAAACCGCCCAAAGTTGCTCACTTACCAACTGTGAAGCATCTTGTGTTGCCATTTTCCAAGCGGCATCAGCTGCCTCATATTTTGTTACGCACCCAAGCACCTAAACCCTATCAAGTTCCAGAAAATGTACGTTTTACCATGCATGATTGTGCCAAAACAGATCAGGGGGTCAGCAATGTCAGCAACTATCGTCATGATGTTCAGGATCATCAGATCGCCTCGCTCCAGAAACACCCATCCTACCCGATTCCGACCATGTCAGTTTCATCCGCGCCACCATGCACAAAACCACTGTTTTCAGAGCTTCGACCTATCAGCTCAGTGAGACTAATTGCAACCTGCCGCTTTGCCCCCTGCCCAGCGTTTCATCTTAAGCCTCTTCTGCCCCTAACCCCTAGCCTATCCCCAAATCTGAGTTAGGTACCGCAGCTTATGATGCGAGCGGGTGTTGGAGCTTCTTCAAAGGGAACCAACGACACGCATTCGACTACAGCCAAGCGACATAGCATGGTTTGATCATCTTGAAAATGATTATGTATGCAAGTTGACGTGGGATCTAGACTGCATTCCGGATGCCAAGATGCAGGGGGCGGCGGCCTCGGTTTGTCATGCATTCTAATGAAAAGATATTACTTCCTTGATTGATTGTTGCCTTCTTTCAACAAGTTCCTCTGTGGCCTACTTGTCGCTCCTTCGTTGTTCGTGGTGATTGTTCTGTCGGTGGCCCGGTGAAGACTGTGCAGATAGCATCCAGTACCACATCGATCTTTGGTCAAGACGTTCATTTATTTGCTTCTTCACCTCGAACCGCAGGTCGCAGGTCGCTCATTCGCCGTTCACGTCCGTTCCGGGGATACCGGTATCCCTATCACGAGCTTGTCTCTCCAATCCCACCACTACCTTGTCTTCCTATACAGAACAATCTTTCGGCCAGGCGCCGGATCACTGACAAGATGACGAGACCAACTTCGCTAGTTGGACTCCTTCTCTGGGCAGGCACCGCCCATTCGTGGCCTCAGTTAGCACCATCAGTCGAATCAGCGTCAATCATTCCGTATACACCAGTTTCCGCCAGGTCACTGCCACAAGTCGATGAATCCGAATATTCAGAGACATTACATATCCCCTCCACACGACAGCCCGGTCTCCCAGTCGACGAGGATTGGAATGAATTTTCATATACCCTGCCCGCCGGTCTAACACGAGGCTTGCCAAACGATGATGAGGTAGTGCCGGGAACATTGACTCTGCCTATCATTCATGCCACCAAGCCCGGACTAGTAAGTCGGTCCGTCGAGGTGAAGCTTGAGAACCGGTCCGATGTCGCATACTATGCTCAACGTAGGTCTCACTTGTATCTACTCGCAGACGATGATGCTAACATAGAATACACAGTCCAATTCGGAACCCCTTCCCAGGCAATTTATGCTCAGCTTGACACCGGCTCCTTCGAGCTGTGGGTAAATCCCACATGCTCCGGCCTGTCCACCTCCGACGCCAAGTTCTGCGAAGCCGTAGGCAAATACAAGCCCGGGAGCTCCTCGTCATCCAAATCTCTGTCGAAGAGCGGGAAGCTCAACTACGGCATCGGCGGCGCCGAGGTCGACTACTACTCGGACACGATTGGCCTCTCGAGCTCCTCGAAGCTCAAGAACGTCCGCTTCGGCGTGGCCTCCAAGACTCAAGACCAGTTCGCAGGCGTGCTGGGTCTCGGCCATGGGAAAGGCTTTAACACGGACTACCCCAATTTCTTGGACGAGCTGTCGAACCAGAAGCTGATTGACACGAAATCGTTCAGCGTTGCGCTGGGCAGCAAGGCTGAGGATGGCGGCGTCATAGTCTTTGGCGGGGTTGACACCTCCAAGTTCTCCGGCAAGCTTGCAAGCCTTCCTTTGATTGCTGCCTCTGATGCTCCTGACAAGGTAGCGAGATACTGGGTATCGATGGAGTCAATCTCCCACAGTCCTCCCAACAACGGCAAGGGAAAGACATGGGACAACACGAAACTGCCCGTGTTCCTTGATACCGGAGCCACACTCACGCTTTTACCCACTGACGTGGTGAAGTCCATTGCTGCTGATCTCAAGACCACGGGATTGGATGACGCTGGATTCTACGGCGTGGACTGCAGCCTTGTTTCGCAACCCGGAACTGTGGACTTCAAGTTCAACGGCGTAACAATCAAGGTCCCCTACAAAGAGATCATCAGGGAATTCTCCTCGATGAAGAAATGCTACCTTGGTATTGCTGCCAGTGATAAGTATTCATTGCTTGGTGACACATTCCTCCGCTCGGCATACGGTCAGTATTGGCTACCCAAAAGAAATTCCTCAGTGACGACATAAATTCTAACTTTCCTCTCTTACCAGTTGTCTTTGACCTGGATTCAGACACAATTTTCATGGCACCGTACGACAACTGCGGGAGCTCCGTTTCCAAAATCACGTCCTCCAAAGACCTCGACGGTCTCAAGGGCACATGCACCAGCAGCAACGATGACGATACCGAGAACAGCGGAAATGGCACCGACAGCAATGACAGCAACAACCAAAAGTCCGCGACCTCAACATCAAGCTCCAAGACCGCATCCTCCACACAAGCGAATCAGCCGCTGACGACGAAAATCCCACTCATCTCCTCCGCGACGGAGGCACTCGACCTCGCCACCGGGTCCCCAAGCCTCGTCACCAGCACCACCAGCGCCTCGGGATCAGAGCATACGGGTCCTTCGGGAAACACCCGCGAAGGAAGCATCGACAACCTGCTTGGCCACGAAGGCGACGGCAATGCCGCAGGGCCACTATGTCGCCTTAGCAAGGCGCTTCTTGGGATCAGCCTGGCATCCATGGTTGTTCTTTTGATGTAGTTTTTTTTTTCTTCTATTTGGTAGCGTAACTGTATCTACGCGGAATTGACTAGAATGATTTTGATTTTGGCAGGCGATGAAAATTGAAGCTCTAGAGGTACTAAGGTCTTACTTTCTATACAACTCATGCGTTGGAAATTGAGTTACACTACAGCGGATTGAACATACATCAATATTTATCTCAAGCCCACCATCACTCGTGAATTCAAGTCCTTTAAAGAACACGAAACAACCCTTGTACCCTAGAAGGCATTTGGCCTTTTTGAGCAGCTACGTTTTGTTCACAAAGCATTTCCAATTTAGAGCACAACAAGCACACAAACAATCACAATAAGCAGTGGCAAGCCAGTTGGCGGAAGAAAGAATTTAGCTTTTTCTATTCAAATCATGTCCTTTCCCTGGGGAATTAATCGTTATATACGTTTTGTCGTAGAAGGGAACGGAACGCGCCCCGCGAGTTCCTTATGTACAAATTCACTTAGCCAACCTGTTGCTACCAAATCTAATAACCAATTCTTTTTCTTAGATCTGGGCAATGTATGGGGGACCGAAGCCCTTCTCGCCAAAGACAGCCAGGGGAAGGGTGGCCTTGGGGGTCTCGGTGACAGAGCCATCCTCGTTGATACCGAAGGCAACAGCGGCGTCAGGACCGTTCTGGTTGCCGAGGAAGATCTCGGAGCCGCTTGCGCTGATGCTGAGCATACGGGGGAGGACACCGCCAGTGGCAATCTCCTTCACGGGGGTGAGGAGACCACCGTCAACCTTGAAGTGGGCGAGGGAGTCGGAGTCGGCGCCGGTGAGACGGTTGGTGACGTAGAGGTCCTTGTTGTTAGGGTGAAGGACGATTCCACCTGCGGCAGCACCTTCGGGGGCGGTGCCGGAAACGAAGCTGGAGATGACCTGGGACTGGTTGACGGTGACGCCGGTGGCGGAGTAGCCGAGCTGGTTGACGATGATCTCGTTGGAGATCTCGCAGACAACCAAGTAGTGGGTAGCCTCGCCAGTGTTGGAAGGGTACCAGACACCATGGCGAGGACCGCAGCCAGCCTTGGTGGGGATGTTCTGGACAATCTCGTACTTGTCATCCTGGGTGTCCAGGATCATGATGTTGTCGAAGCCAAGATCGTTGATGGCGAAGTAGCGGCCAGAGGGGTCGAGGTTGGCCTGGTGAGGGTGAGAAGCATCCTGGTTGGGGCTCTTGGGGCCGGGAGTACCGGGAGCTGGGATGGTCTTGATGAGCTCGAGTCTGCCGCCGGCGATGTCCCAAACATCGACGGTACCGTTACCGTAGGCGGCACCGACAAGACGGGTGTTGTCCTTGTTGAAGCCGAGGTGGACGACACCGGAGCTGCCAGTGGCGGTGACCGACTCGGTCAGGGTGGCAGAGCCATTCTTGCCGTTGCCGCGCTCGAGGTTAAAGATGCGAAGGTCATCGCCGTTCTCGTTGACTGCGTACAGCTTGTTGGGCTCGACGAACTGGACCCAGGTAGGGGCACCAGTGACGTCGGCCTTGAGGGTGACATCGAACTTGGAGCCGTCATAGTTGGCGAGGAAGACGTTGCCAGTAGTGGTCATAAGAACCTGTGATGAAGGGAGGGTGCTGTTTGACCCGGGGTTGGGACGGCCACCATCGCAGCCGTCTCTCAAGGCACGGGCGGCGAGGGCACCGGCGCTGATGGCGGAGTAAGGAATCTTCATTGTGAGAGAGTTGTATGTGTTTGTTTCCTTGGTTGGTATGAAAAAGTCGTGGAAGCAGAGTGAGAAATGGTAGCAGATGCAAGCCTTTTTAAATACAGGGACCTTTTCAAAAGGATGGAGAAGAGAATGAGTGAATGGGAGGACAGACAGATGACTGGTGAGACAATGGAAGGGAAAGAATGTCAAAGAGAACTTGAACTGAAAACCAGCTTGAGTCCACAAGTGCAGAGGTGAGAAAAGGAACGGGAAGACGAGTCCCATATATACATGGGCCACATTGTGTAGCTCCTCTCTTTGAACACTTGCCAAATCAACTTAGAATGAGCACGGCAAAGCAAAAAGCACACTACCGGTGGCACAATAGACTGCACCACGCAGGCATATCCAGGCTAGAATGGGCCCTGGTCAAGTCGTTCGCGTTTCAAGGTGGCTCGGGCGCTGCTGGAAGAGACAATGAGTGGAGGCCGAAACACAGCCGCTGGTGCTGATCGGCATGATAATAAGCTTATGGAAGTGATGTGTCTGGTTCATGAGCCACAAAGGGAAGAAGGCAGGGTCAGCAGGGGTCGCGGGGACAAGGGCGAATGATGTGGTTCCGAGGAGCACAAGGCTCGGGTGGAGGAGATTCGCGAAACATCCAGTAGGAGGGAGGCAAACTCATCAATATCAGACGAAGCCCGAGATGCATTGAAAGCATTGGGCGCTGCGACTTGCCGTGCAGCTTCGTCATGAAACAAGGGGGACGGGCTTCCCAGTTGGGCGGCAAGGATTGGCTGGGCGACCACCACGACTCAGAGCACTGCAGGCGGCGTTCAGTTGACAGAGGCCCTGCACCAGTGGAGTTTAGAAGGGGCGTTAGGGGGGTGCAGCCGCTGGATCCTTCAGACTAACTGCCCGCCGACAGTTCTAGTCCCAGTGGAGCAGCCCCTTCCTGAAACTCAGATGCGCCATCAAGGACGCTCTGTCCTACAACACCTCCTTTTCCACTAAAATCGCCCGAAATCTTGATCAAAGTCGAGCTCGTGCATAGGGGCCGGTTTTGCTTTATTTTTAATCCTCCCCGTGGTTCACTCCCCGGTTCGTTGTTCTGCGAATTCGCTATGCCTAAACGCGCAGATTGATTGGCGGGCATTGCATCGCGATGTGGATGTTTCGAGCACAAGTAACACCAATCGGAAGATTGATCAACTAAGACAGAACAGAGTTGGGCGCTTAATATCCAATCGTAGCGACAGTCCACAAGCATCTTACTTGCATAACCCGGAGTGTTCAGATCACCAACCATCATTAATATGCTTCAACTACTCATAAGCATATTCGGAAGCTCCATCACCATCAGAGGACTCTGGCCAATCACGCCGGCCCCACTGATGTTTCAACCACCCGATCCTTCCCCAGCACATGGCCCAAGCCTGTTGGAACCAAGATTCGCCATCTTCGGGCACATCCTTTGTGATTGCGATGGTCCGGCATTAACTTGAAATGCGGAAGCTGTTCCTTGCAAGGCAGGACAAGGACCTCCGCCTCGGCTCCCAAGCCCTGCTCACCCACGATCGATGGAATTAGGTGTTGACGGAACGTAAGGTATGTAGAGGTCATTTTCATAAGCATCAGCCTGCCTCTGCCTCTCATCCAGCCTCTCCAGGAAAAGAAACGAAAAATAAGGCTGGGGGCTAGCGCAATAGCAGGCCGTCCTATGGCCGCAGTTTCAAGATCTGACAGTGCAATCTATCTATGGCTACGGGGCTCGGAGAAATCACAAGACGGACAGGGGCGCTTCCCCCACAAACTCCCATAGCGCGTATAGCACCGAATACCGCTAGAGTTGAGCACTACCACGGCCCGCTCACAGAGCAACGGCAGTAACCTCCCAGCCACTACATCGCACCGGCTGCTCCAAGTTACGCAGCCACCTTGGAGGCTGCGCCCACGCAAGCCACCACAACATCACTCAGCTGATAAGCCAAAACCACGATCGAATATTTAAGTGCTGAGGGCTGATCGGGGCCCTAAAAATAGGTGCATGGGGGTTTAAAGAAACTCTCTACCACAAATCTACAAACACACGGCACCTCTGCCTACCATCTCAACTTGCCCGCTTGTCCTACAATCAAAGCCGCACACACAAAGGTCTTTATCAACTCCTCCGCAACAAGAGAAAGACAATGGCTGCTGGCCAACGACCATTATCCTGTCGCTACCGTGACAGAAACCGCAATCCATTAGAACACTCATTACTAGTGAAGCAGCGCCGGAGCGCGCGGCTTCCTCAATCGGAGGACCCTCCCTTAACTCGGACGAACATTTTGCCCATAGTCCACCCTCACTTTATCATGCAGGCGAAGTAACATCAACCAGGCTGGCCCTCGAGAGTTTCACACGTAGTCACGTCGATCTTCCGACCTGCTCAAAAAGGTGGCTTTCCAAGAGGCTTTTCCCCCTCACCCCTGGCTCTTCAAATTGGGAAGTTCGCTGTTTCACATAAAGGCGTGCTGTAACTACTACCACTATATGTGTAATGCCGATCGGCATCAAGTTGCATTGCAGCTATAGGAATCGGCTTCAGTGTAGTGACCAGCTTCGTTGACACCTGCTCAGTTCGTAACCTCATTCATGAAGTTGACGTTGTGAATCAACGCATATTGCCTGAAGATCACAAGTCCGGCTCAACGAAAAGCATTCCCAATCGTCGTCCAGTATGGCTTGTCCAGAGGCATAGGCAAGCTTACCGAGTTTTCTTGGTCTCGCCTTTTGATCTGCCAGCAATTTCTCGCCAAAAGAATTCATATTCATTTGCAACGACTCCCATTAGCCAATACATTGTACATTTCTAGAATCTCGTCGCTCTAGAGTAAGTAGACAAAACACTCTCGGGTCTCTGAGAAGCACGATGCCGAAAAGTTCGCCGATTCCAGGCTGAGACTGTCTCATCATTCAACAAGATCAACCCCTACCAACATTGAAACAGGCGGGCTCCAACTCCCAAAACACAAGGTGACACGAGATACACGAGCTGTTGCCTTCATTTTGATGCGTGTATATATTGCTTGGATTGCCTAAGTGTGTATATAGAAGAATCCACGAGATATCTACAAAGCTCTCCCTCATCAGCCTCTCCATCAGAGCTTCAAAGAGAGACCGGACGGCTCCAACAGCCATTAATCTTTTCCAGCGAATGCAGCCCCATATGCTAAGGGGGCGGAAAGAACAAACAATAGACTAAAATGTTAAAAAAATATAGAGGGAACGGGTCAAGCTCTGCCTTGTCAAGGGAGCGATGATACTCACAGCCGCTGTCGCATACTAAATGGAAAGGGCGAGCCAGCGAGAGGGATGAATAAATGCATACAATGAATCGCAAAGACGCCACCGTCGTAACAAATCACCAATCGAGAATGATCGGGCCTTATAACCAGTAGAGGGCAAATCCGGCAATGATGATTGCCAGAGCGCTAGCACTGGACTTGGCGCTGCCACCCTTGGTGCTGTCGGTCGTGCTGTCTGTCGAGGTACCCTGGCAGAAGTCTCCATCCGCGCAGTTGCTATTGTTGTTACCTCCTGATGATGATGAGTTGTCACCGCTGCTCGTGTCGGTGCTGTTGTTCTCGTCACTGTGGTCTTTTCCAGGAGAACCGGTGGAACCTCCGGGGATGGTTTGCTTATCCTCGGTATCCTTGTCCTTGTCCTTGTCCTTGTCGGTGTTGGTGTCGTCCTTCTTTCCCTTTGTCATATCCAGACCGGTGGCCTGGAGGGAGGCGATAATGTGGTCCTTGTCGCCATCGACAACCGTATCGTTGGTGCCGCGCAGATCCTTGTAGTAGTAGCTCTTTCCCTTGTTGGTACCGATTCCGTTGCTGCCGTCATAGCACTCAATGGTAACCGACTCAACTTCGGCGTAAAAGAATCCAACCTTCTTAATGTCTTCAGCGTCCCAGTTGATCTTACCACCAGCCCAATCAATGGTACCCTGAGGGTTAGTCTCAAGACCACCAGGCCAGAGAGACAGCTGGACACGAGAAGGGGTCTGAGGGAAGCCCCAGTTCTGAGATGTCGCGTTCCAGGTATCCTTGCGCTCCTTGGTTCGTCCCAGCTTGCCATCGATCCACCACTCAATCTTGTCGGGTGTCCACCTCAGTTCATAGTCATGGAAGTTGTTGAATGAATCAGTGACAGATGTGTTGGCGGAGTTTTGATCTATTTGTCAAAGAGGTTAGCCTTGGTTCACTGAAGCCACACCCGTGAGCGCGTCCGTAGTGAGAGTGAGGGATGTTACGAACAGTTTGTGATGCCCTGGAAGTAAAAGTTGGTCTGTGTAGTGCCAAGATCGGTACCAATCCACTCAAAATCGATCTCATCCTTGACATCCGAGAAGAGAATGAAGGCAGTAACAACACCTGAGCCACGGCTGGTCTTCAAACGAGCCTTGACATTGCCGTACCACATGTAGGTTGTGGACGACATGACAGTGCCGACACTGCCCTTGGGCATGGTAAGAAGGGTGTTTCCGCCGTTCAAGACAGGCTCTCCTGATACCACCCAATCCGCCTTGTCGGAGTCACCAAGATATTCGCCAATATTCTTGACATTGTCAAGGCTGCCAAACTTGAGAGTCTTGTCCTTGCAGGTAGGCGCGGGGACGCAGGATTCCAGAGAGAAGGACGTCAGGGGATCGCAGCCACCAAGGCAGTATGCACCGATGCCACATTCGCCGTATTCTTTAGCAGTTAGATATATATTCATTGCAAGAAAAGAGAAAGAAAAAAGGATCAAGGAAACATACGGGAACAGCATGGTGTATCCTGAGGGCACTTGTTTCCAACACCACACTTAGCGGCTGCGGCCAGTGCTGAGCTGGCACCCAAGAGGGCGGCAAGGGCGAATGATTGCAACATGCTGTATGTATATGTACAATGAACCAGGTCGAAAACAGTCGCTCGGGTAGCGTGTATTAAGTCGCAATTCGTGATATTATTAAATTAAGCGTTGGGGTAAGCGCATGC